CAATCTTTTATGTCTCCCACGTCGAGTATAATTTTTTGTCCATAAGAATCGTATAACGTCATGAGTCTCAGAATTGAACGTACTTTTTACGTGACGTTCCTCGATTAACCCCTAGCCTCATGATTTATTTTATCAGTAAACTCTGAAGAAGACTTACTTCGTTATTAATCATTTCCTTGCAAAAACGCAAACTATATTGTAGTTTGTAAGTGATCAATCCAAGTATCAATATTAAATAGTATTTGAAAAGAAAAGAATAGACTAAAAACAAATATTACGAACGAAATATTCTTTCTAAACAATTACAAATATAAATTAAAAAAAAAGTATTATAAGCATTACAAGGGGTTCAATCTACATTTATTTAAACCCGTCACAGAATTGTGTTCTTCACAATTTATATATTCTGAAATCATGAACAAGTCTACAAGAAACAATGAAATTCGACAATTATAAAATAACTGCAATGTTATAATCTAACGATACGTAACAAGAATCAAAACGAAAGAGATTAGTAACCCGCAACTTGTTAATGTCCCAACGTATCTCAAAGTAAAAGAAATCGAACGGGTACGCTACGTCTCAACTACGTGAAAAATTCGAACAGAATTACAGTACTCTGAAACCACAGTTAAATCTACGAGAAACAATAGAATCCGTCAATCACCAAATAAATGGTACGTTACGATTTAACGATAATTAACAAAGAAATCACGTACTGTATCAAATGATGCGAATCAGTACCATTCCATCCGAGACAAACCATCGGCAAAAAACATCGGCGAGAAACGATCGAACCCAGAAGAACCAAAACGAAAAGGATCAGCAACCTGCAGCTTGTTAAGATCCCAACGTATCGCAAAGTGAAAGAAAGCGAACGATGAGTGGGCAGAGGGGGTCGGAGGGTAAGAGGGTGGGGCGAAGGTTATGGAGATAAAGAAATCAAGTGGGCAAGAAGAAGATTACGGTTGAGACGAAAAGGCGCGAAGGACGGCATAAAACGGAGCAAGATGGTGGAGGTCAAAGGGAGAAAGATAGCCGGAGACTTGAAGAGGGCTGCGGCGCAGGGAGGTCAGAGGGGTGCAGGACAATGACGCGGGGATTGGGGGGCAGCTAGAGAGGGCGAGCAAGTTTATGGAGGGAGCGGGGAGCGAAGGGAGCGCTGCAGACGCGCCTCGACAAGGGTAAATGTACGTACGAATGCACCCCAGATTGGCTTTGGGGTGGTTTCCATGGAGACCGATTTGCTCGGCCCGGGGAAGTCGCAGCCGCCGCCGCCTGCCGCCTGCCGCCGATGCCGCGGATATCCTGGAACCATCGCGGCGCGTCCGAACTTCAAAAAGTTCGGCTTGGTCGGCCGGCAGACATGTATTTGCCTAATTCTATCATCCCTCTGTGCCTCCGGCCACCTCGTGACTCCCTAATCCGCGTACACACGACGAGCCGCTCGGCGAGACGGCCCGGTAAACAGCAAACAGAGGAAAAACGAGTGCACGCGGAAATTGATTATCGGGTATCCGCGCCAATGTCAATAACGATCGCGTGCACGCGTCGAATTAACGCGATGGGATAACGAGTGGTGGATTTTTATTATTATTAGGTCGCGTAATGGGGAAGGTCGGATTGTCCAGCAGGAAAGGGGAGGTTGGTTTTTATAAACATTACTTGGTAAATATTCGTGTTGGTTTTTATTGATGCTATTATGTATCGTCGTAATGGTCTACTTTTAAATCTCGAATTTCCAAGATCTGAATAAACGTCAATCTTTTTAGGGGCAATAGGATAAGCTGTACAATAAACTTCTATAAACCTAATGTTAATTTGGATTCTGGTGATCAGAATGTGCAGCCTTTTCTTGTATTCGTGCTTTAGTGAGTTGGAGTTTTGAAATATGTAATTGATCAGCTGATTTGCTCATCAGGAATTTTATAAATATAAACGACACTTAATTCTTTCGAGTTTGAATGAAATACTACTTGTTTCATTATGAATTATAATGTTTCAGAATAAACGTGGACATTGAAGGAGTTAAATTTATTTCTTCCTTCTAATAAATTTATATATAAATTTCCCTCTTCTTCTAATGAATTATGTACAAGGAAATAATTCTGTCGAGAGTAGTTGCAATAGTACAAGGAGATAAAGGATTGATGTTTCTGAGAGAAAATGAATTTGATGGTTTCTCGAGTGTTTGTGCGTGAAGAATGGCTTTTAAGGATTTACTACATTGAATGGTTGGATTGTTGAGGTTCAGCGTGGAAGTGCCATATGTAGAAAACAGATTTTTGTGTTCAATAATGGTTGAAGGGTTGCAAAATCGATTTAGGTGGTTTGGGTTTTATCTTAAGCATGAATTGAAAGTCATATTTTCTGACTCTTTTGAAGAAATTGGAACTTGTTAATTAGCAACTATTGTCTTTAACTAATGATACTGTAATGATTACCTCCGAATACACAGATTTCAGTTACCGAGTTATAATGATTCAAATTAATCAAATTTTTCTTTCGAAATTATGTAATTGTTGCAACGAATGAGTGATATGTAAGAAGTCTGTATACGGTTGCTAATTGATAATTGTCGATGGCTGTTAATAGTTGCTCTTGATATTTTTTATTTATTGATGATTATTAGTGGTTGTGGATGCTTACTGATGATCGGTAATAGTTGTTGGTGATTGATGGATATTTCTTAATATTTGATATCTGAAGATACTTAACACTAACCATATCGGCACTTTTTCTACCGTAACTAGTCAAATAACTGGCTACAAAATAGAGATAACTGAATTAGGATACATTTGTTTCCGTGAAAACAGAAACAAAAGGAAAGATGAAAATTGAAAAATCAATTAATCGGACAATATAGGGATTGATATAAAATTAAATGAACAAAAGAAAACGCAGAACTTTAAATCCAGTCATTTGACTGGTTTCCGAAACGGTTAGTGTTAATGTTTGACATCTATTAATCTTGTTAATGATTGGAAATCGCCAGTATAAAATATAATTCACAAGTTTGTTCACAAAAGCATCAGTAATATTCAATAGAAACAGGTTCTAGTTTATTTACTGTTCCGAAGGAACTAGAAATCATTTCAGACATATTTTACAAGATGAATTTAAAACTTTAAACTTAACCTTCAGCCATGGTTCTTGAACAACCATACATTCTTTTAGTCAATGAAACCTTTACATTATAATATAATAGCAACAGTACACTGAACCATTATAAAAAAAGTTCCATAACCTTCATAAGAGTTTTCTACAACATTAAATGTAACAGCTGTATTGCAAATGGTCAAGATAAGGGGGAAGTCCATTTCTATAATCCACGTAATCGGATACCCAATAAGACGTGTGTGTCAAATTTAATGTCATACTCGAATTCGACAGACCTTCGATTCCCAGAATGGCGTCTGTTGGGAACTGCCCTTCTAAATATCAGCTCTTAGTTTCATGGAAAGCCCAGATACGAAAATTATCTTGTCGAGCAATCCCAGATCTGTGCCAACTTGATCTCTTCCGGCCCATCTGGCATGATCGTGCGACGGGTGCGAACAAACGAGGGTTGAAATTGCGAGCGAAGCAAGAAAGCCAACCCCTACTCGTCGAGCCTACTGGAACATCTGACTCGGTGCACAATTTTCGGCCAAATTTCTAACGTGTCACGATCCAGTCACAAATCACATTCAGATTTTTAATAGACACAGTGACCTACGAATAAAAAACGTGTTCCTCTTTCCCTCGATCTGTAATTCAATTGATAATCAATTATTACTAAGTACATATGCGTGTTAATTAATAAATACTGGAACTGCCGCGCCAATCTTATCATTGTTAAAATTATAGTTTTATGGTTTCAAACTGGAATCATAATTTCATACCTTCTTTATGTTTGAAACATTCTAGAGAATAGCTGTTATATTTGTGAATACGTTATACAACACTGCGTTAACGTTAAATTCGTTAAATAGGTTATTAAAAGATTGACACATAAAATGGTAACTAAATGAATAAAATTATAAGTGATTAAATCAAATAATAAGTAATAACTAGTTTTAAATTGTACTAAATTTGACTTGTTTTGTAACACAAGAAATTGCAAATAAGTTTTATGTGACTATTTTTTTGTACATTTCAACGAAAAAGTGTGACTGTAACTATTATATAAATAAAATATAGAACTTAATATAAACGTGTGTCTTCATATCTTTGCAAAAACATTGTTTTACCAATAACAATAACTATTTAATTATAACTAATAGTGACTTAGAATATCCATCAATTTAATCTTACTATATCTATCACTGTGACAGTCAATAGAATCATGAAATTTACAATTTTTTTATTCAGATATTCTCAATAACAAGTTTACCAAGAATAAAGATAAACGGGAAAAATTCGTCAGAAGCATAGTTTCAGTTTCCTTCCGATAAGCTTCACTGTTAGCTATGTTGCAATGATAAATCATCCCTATTAAAAATACAGCGCCAGACGCACAGCACGTAAATTCATATCATATCGGTTGAGTCTGAAACTGTATCGAATTGAAGTTTTGACACTAAAAGAGAAATAAGAACGTATATTTCGAAGTACCATAAAATTGAAATATGGCTGACGTCAAAAAGCAATTGAAAAGTTGCCCACACTTCTGTTACGCAGTATCGATATTGTATTGTATACAATATATATTATAATATATTCATTCGGAAAAGAAAAGTGTTGGCAAGAATGCAGTTGAAACTATTTCAATACAAAATGTGAATTTAGTTTTCAAATATTATTATATTTTAACGTACATTTTCAATACTTACATTGACACAAATTAACATTGAAAAGTTTCATTGTCCAGAGGTGCAGTGAACATAAAATGGTATTAATTTACTATAGCTACTTATATACATTAAACAGTGCTGGAATTATTTTTCTTATAATGAAACAGTAATTACATTTTACATTCTATATTACAGTAAAGGTAAAAAATATACGTAGTGTCAGTTTTAGGACATCGCAAGAAGCACTGACATGTAGGACGCGGACGCTTTCATAATCTGTGAACACAGTAATCGGAATTACACGTATCGCGAACATGAATTTCTTACTTTTTAATTAATTTCAGAAATCTAGTCTACATTTTGTATGGAAAAAATTTTCTCAATAAACGTCAATATTAGCATAAGTAAAATACGAGAAGCTTACTTTGGCAAAACTTTCCAAACTAAGAGGTGAAAACTTTCCGAAAGTTAGCGGCAATCCCTTCTGAGATCTCAAAATTAAAAGTATCATTTGTCGACTGAGAGTAGGCTGCAGGTTGTACCAAGCCATTTGGTATGCTGCATCGATGATCATTTGGCTCTAGAAATAAAAAAAAAATATTAAATTGGTCAAAAAGTCTTTTCGTTGTACTTTTCAATGTGGCGTTTAGGTCTTATATAAAATTTTTCTTTAAACTTCATTTAAAACTGCGACGAGACTTTTTGGACAGCCTAATACTTAATAAATGAATAAATAACGTAATAATAGTAATAAATAAAAAGGACATTTTTATAAAATAATTTAATATTATTAGCAATAATATATGCATTCCAATTTTTTATATATGGGTCGATGCTCTGTCGTTAACTAGTACATTTCCAATGAATAATCAGAAAACTCTTATGCTTAGGAGTTTGATTTCAATGCTACTCAACTTCATTACTTTCTTTCTGTTCGAAGTGATAAAGTTTAAGTGAGTTTTTTATGAAACCGGTAGATGGACTTGGATTGGGTTCGATGGCGTGATTTTCTTTCCGCTCTGCTGATTTCCGGGCCCACTTGGCTGCAAGCAACGAAAGGAATCAAACCTCGTCTTTCGTTCTTCTTACATTAAGGAACTTGGTCAATTTCATTAATTTTATGTTGTTGTCACAAAATACCTAACGACTACTACTGTTTCATAACAGCTGCAACTGATTATCGGAATGATTATATTCGAGGAAATAATTAATACGTTGACGCCAACGCTGTAATTTACATTTTCCAAATTTTGTATGCTATTAAAATTGTCAATTAGTAAATTCATTTTCAACTGCATGGCAATTTTTTCTATTTCCTAAATCAATTAAACATTACAACTATACTATCTAATATGATTAATATGTGATCCTTATAAAAATTGTAACAATAGATTTTTTTCTCTCTCTTCACATATTTATTATGATATTTAAGTGAAACTACTTATTTCTCATTTCAATGGGTACTGGGGTTCTAGTTTTAAAGAACTACACATTTGATGGTAAACACGCCGTCTAATGTGACGTTAAAATGTGAGCCACCGATGATACACGTTGTCGTCAAACCGTTAAAACAAGAATTCGTATTATTCGTTTGAAGATACTGGAATATTTAATAACGACGAAAAGGGCAACGAATTAATTAGTTCTCACGGCACAGAATTTGTTATTTCTAATATATTTAGTATAGCTTATGGAATTTACTAACCTTAACGTTGAGGTACTCCCCAGCGAAGCAATATATGTATATTTCAAAACTAATTGCGACATAGAAAGAAGAAGACTTGAATAACAAGGGAAGTCCATATTCTGATTTCAAAGACTGAAATTCAGAATTATATTTATGCAAAATACTATGTCTACATAGGTATTTTTTATTTATGAATAATAATAATAACAATAATATTACATTCATCCATAAGTATGAGAGATATATAACATATAAAATATATTAACATTGACTTCGCAGTATTACTATCAATTTTAATACAGTTAGCTCTACTTAGGATAATTCTTGCTAATTTACTAATTGAATTTCCCTTACAAGTATATTATATGGATATGTTATCAGATATTAAAAACAGAATTTAATAAAATTATATTTCAAATAATTTAATAAAACATTGTTTCAGTTGAATTTTCCCATTATCCTTTAAAATATTTCAACAGATGCACAGAACACTATTTGACCCATTTATTTTAAAAGTGACTTAAGTCCTTTTTTAAAAGAAATCATGTTAATGATTGTAATAATTACCATTCTACATTATCTTGTCCTTTTTAAACGGTTCTTTTATAATGGATTTAAAACACTTTCAAAGTAAACGGCTCATTTATATACAGATTACAAAGTACTTACAGTTATAGCAAGGAATCCTGCACAGCAAGTAAGCAGAGTATTCGATATCAATTGGAAAAGAGAAATATACGTAAAGAGCTTCTCAATTCTTTGTACAAATACGATGATTTCTTGATGTCGAAGTGTAACGAATCGTAATAACCCTTTGTCTCGAGAAGATATGTTCGCTAATACATTGCACAATATATCGATGTGACAACCTATGTGAAGTACCTAAAATGAATGACAACAATGACCTAAAAGTATTGATACTAATCATCAGTGCCATTATTTCATTTAAAACAATTGAACTCAATGTTTAAGTGACTAACTCCACTTTCTGAATGCACACAAATTTTAGTGTCAAAAGTCCTTGCTTCTTGGTGTATTTAATTTCAACAAATTTTTCTACTTCTCATTTTATGGAGTTAACCGCTTTAGTGACTTTATTTATAACATTCTAAGTTGAAAATATTTATTCATACGGAAATGAACTCTCTGTTGTTTTTCTCAATCCTTATCGTACGAATAGAGTTAACGTATTTTATAATAAGCATATAATCATTTGAAGCTTTAAGATGACATGTATACTCGTCAAACGCAGTTAACTGATCAGCACGTTCGCTACCAGCGCTTATTTCGGTGACGGTCTCCTCAATTATAATATTTTCTTCAGTCCAATAAAACTTCTAAACAAAATATTAGGAAAATGAAACTGAAACGCGTCATTGAGTTCTAAATATAATATCATAGTTTATAATTTCTAATAATTTAATTTAATTTAATTTTCATTATGTAAAATATACGATTACGGCCGTCCCAAACATGTGACACTGGTAGCGAACGTGTTAAGATGTCAACCATAAGCAAAGATTCCCGTGTGATACATTTCTCTTATCTATGCGTTTTCTAGCATTCTGGTAATTTAAAATATTCGTGGCACCTATATATACCATTCGGGGCGAAAGAGTTAACCCCTTGCTCTATGATTTCTTTCTGAACTGTGATCGATCTAACTGCTTTGTTATTAATGATTTATTTAAACCAACAGAAAATTCCAGTTTTATTCTATGTCAACGTGTATTCTAAGGTATAATTATTGATCACAGAGGAATAATATGCAATTTTCCTTCAAACAAATTAAATAATATTTATGTTTGTTAACACATCGTATATTTATTTCCATGTATCTTCGAGTAGTATTAAATAAATACTTGTATAGCTTCGTTAATATTTTTGGTAAATGTAGATAGTTGATTCCTTTTGTGTATGCTTGAAAGTATTTCTATTTGTAACGGAAATTCTCGAAAATATGTTGAATAATAAATAAATGAATCGAATGAAACTGATATAAGTTGAAATGAACAAAATGGCCCGCACGCAATGTGTTAAATTCTGTTTGAAATCTTCACCACGAGTCTGACACGACATCGTAGGATAAGGGGTTAATCAAGAGAGCCATCCCTCCCCGTGTTACACTATCCGATCGTTCACGCTTACCACCATCATGAGGAGAGCGCTAAAAATGCCGAACGCGTACGATGCCATCGTTTGAAAAACAACTTGAATAGCTACGACGAGTTCGTACGTGGGTGACTGGTTGGTGTCGAACGGCAAATCCATGTTCACGAGAAGCTGCCGATCCACCGAGTCGTTGGACCGCGGGATCGCGAACGAGGCGGCCGCGTACATGGACGGCGCGAACAGGTAGAGGAAAGAAATTGTGCTCGTTAAACGAAACGAAAAGTCCGCTGTTTTCGATATCAGATTATTTGTATCGAGAACAGCATACTTCACGCAATCTTCTTCCATGGTCGATATCATTTCACGTAGCGCGCTGCGACATATCGTTTAGTAAAGCCACCGGTCTTCTTCAGCTAAGAGCTACATTGACAGATACTTAAAACCTGAGGCGGACGAAACCAATTAGCCCATTCGTGTTATACCTTTACCACGTGATTTTGTTTACCAGTTTAAATATATTTATATAATAATATACATTTCAATAATCGATTGGAAACGCACAGAAATTTTCTATTTGGCATAAGTGAAAGAATATTCATGGGATAGACATGTCACTCGTTAGCAGTGAAAAAGACCCGTTTCAATTTTCTTATTTTCAAGTTACTAGTATAAAAGTATTGTATATCTGGAACTATTTTAAAAGTTGGTAGTTTCACTTGCACGTAATGAATGTCAACAGAGATTTAAGGAAATGTACTCTTATAATTCTTGTGAGAAGTATGTATGTTGGATAATAATATTAAATACTTAATGGTTTTAGAATTGAAAATCTTAAATTACTTGTTATACTGGTATCACAAGTGTAGATTAATATTTTTGGTCGTTTGGATTAAGAGGCCACGCATATTAATTTAAATGTTTATGCAACCAATTTTTATTTTCGTGATAAATGCACCGTAAAATTGTTCATCAAAGAATTTTCACATTATTCACTGAAATGAATTTTTCCTCCATGTACACGAATGCAGCACTAATTCTTAACACATTACGGACGAATGACGAGATGTCTCGAGTTTTTTGCGTAGTTTTAATATGTAACAATTGGTTACCGACAAATATTCTGAAAATTAATATAATCTTAAAACATTTGTCAGAACTAAATATTTGACATGACGATATTTTGTAATTAAGTATCGTGGCAGTAATTTAAAAATATTTAAAGCAATCAAATACATAAATGTCTACTATTCATGGGTGTTATTGTTTATAAAACAGAGAAGGAAATATGATAACGTTTGGCTATATGGAAGATTAATTCAGAACATATTATTTATAGAATAAAGAAGAAAATGTATTAACATTTAATGTTACGAAGGATTAATTACAAAGATATTATTTATAAATATTATTTCCGGGTACTGACAATTCTCGTCATCAAGCTACTTACCTATGATTTATCCAAGTGACGATAAATTTAACGATCAACAAACTGTACGGCAGAGAAACGCTTAAACAGTCGATTAACTTCACAAAACCGTCGGTCTTAAAGTGTTTAGCCATATACGAATATTGATAAAATTGTACCGTTACCAGAGAAGTAAACCAACATACTTTATACAGAGCTGGGAACGGTGTTCCCGGCCAAATGCCGACAAAAGAAAGCCCATACTTAACAGACCGACTAATTGTGTTTCGAAGTGTCATGTCGCGCGATATTTCTTTCATCTTTCGAAATTCTCGTCTTCGATTTGCCAATGCCCCTTATACTCGCAGCATCGTCACTGAAAGCACTCGACTCGACAGCAAGAACGTCGCGCGATAAACTGAAAACCTTCTCGAAAACCGTAGAAAAGTTTTCAACTGTAGCCCCCAACCGTTCCCTTCTATTCGCACGACCCGCATAAATATTCAATCTAACAGAATTACAGGTTCAGAACAATACAGATCAAGAAAAACGCGAATAGAATATGTAGCATCCGTTTTCTGTCAATAATCGATGATTCTCGTGAAATATACAGGAGCGAATGCACAACGCGTAAGCGCGTATTGTATCGATTGACGCGAAAGTTGCGGCGAAAGTTGCAGAACATTAATGTTTCGGAACTAAAGGAACAACAGTTTGAAATAAAAATGTACGATTCGAAGTGTTACAAGATTCAAACGTCACCGGGGTAAAAAAGAAATCGGAAGGTTAGTTTTATTTCTGCTGCCGATGGTTGTTGTGTTTCCGCCGCGGAGAAACGTGTATCGACGGGAAGAGTTAGAGTTAGTTCGAAATAATGTGTAAGTTGGAAGTTTTAAATATTAATATATTTTAACGTCTACTTTTGGTACATTGACACGTGACTGGTAATGGGAGTCCTGTTTCGAGCACTGTAACGATTCACCTCTCAAGAAGCTACTAACGACTGTATGAAGTCGAGTTTCCATTTGTACATCAAGGTATACTTTGAATAAAAATTATATTGTATTTATATTTCAACATGCTAACAATAATTTTCTTACTTTTCTTTCTATTAACACTAAACGTGCCGCAATTTGTCAAATGGCCGGTTTCAAAATATAATTGAAAATTCAATTTCTAACAAAATTTGGCCGTCTAAATTGTTTATTTCTACTTCGTAACCAATTATTTCACTGGTTACGACGTTTCTTACATATTCATTTGACGTTTAGTACTAAATATGGAACCGCAAAGGAAATTTTACTTTGACATGTCAGCCGCGCGTGAAGACCTACGCGCTGCGTCCTTCAGGTCGGAGGGTTTAACAAGGTGTACTCAGCCTCAATTTACGCGGCACATTTTTGCGCGAATCTCTTTTATACGCAGTAAATTGGAACACTATTCGCGCGGTAATTTTTATGCGCGATGTTAATTTATTAACGCTGAATAAAATGTACTTTTGTTTTCTGAAACGTCATTATTACTATTTCTTCCGTTTGGTTATGTAAAATAAATGTGTATTTCTAAAATTTATAACAGCTTTTCTGTCTAATATTTTGTTTTCTATTGTATCGGCACACTCTGTTTACACGATTTTCATTCGCGTAAAACGAATCCACGTGCTATGTATGCGCAAACGATGGAGTAAGTTCATACAAAACGTCCCGTATTTCTTGTGTACACCAATTTTTGCATCTTCGAAGGCCACAGTTGTTTCTGTGCATTAAACAGTGCTTCAATCATTTTACTTCGAATTACACGCTAATTCCCTTCTAGGTTCTAAATTACGGTACGCTGCGAATAGAAAATACGCGAGGTACAATTTTTAAGACATTGCCCAAAGCACTGACATGTAAGACGCTGACGCTTTCATAATCTGTGAACAGAATAAACAGAGATACGTATGTTATTATTGTTTATATTCATATATTATCTGTTATTATTATTACAGTAAGTTATAACTAAATTCATAAGATCAGAACATATGTGCAGTTGCAGTTAAATTTATTTGTGTTACAACTTAACTTTGACTCGTTATTATTTTATTTTGCAAATCTTATTTATGTGTACCATGCGATGAGAGTATTGTTCGTTATTAACATCAATATTCCAATAAAAAGATGTAAAGCTCTTACACTGGTAAAGCTCTCTAAACTCAAAACTGAAAATTTTCCGAAAGTTAACGGCAATCCCCTCTGAGATCTTAAAATCAAAAGTATCACATGCTGACTGATAGGAGACCGTAAATCGTACCAAGTCATTTCGTATGCTGCATCAATGAACATATTGCTCTATAAATTAGAGAAATATTTTACAGTGAAATTCATAGAAGTGTACATACTTACTACTCGTGTTATAATAAATAGAAATCTATAAAAAAATGTATACTGTTATATGAAAAACTTATAGTTACTCTTGATATTCGTAACATTTAGAATAATTACATTTAAAATTAAAAAAAATTTTTTTAATAAACAATGCTTTAAGAATTTGCAATAAATGAGAATCAATAAATTAATAATTTCAATAAATCAGAATCGAAAAGTGAAAATTTTGAAACCAAAATAATTAATTTAATTCTTTCACTGATGTTACGTAATTATTTTAAAGAACTCTAATAAATATTCTTGCTAAATAATAATACGAAGTGTGTATTATATATTATTGCTTATAACGAATATTATTTACGATACGTTCAAATTAATCTATAAAATTTAACCTTAACGTTGAGGTACTCTCCAGCGAAACAATATATGAATATTTCTACACAAATTGAGACGTAAAAGGAAGAAGACCTGAACAGCAAAGGAAGTCCATTTTCTTCATGTAATGACTGAAACACAAAATTATATTTACGTAAAATATTACTTACTAGTATCATATCCAGTATATATTCGCCTAAGAATTTTTATACTAATTTTAAATTGTGTTACAATATTTTTAGGATCATAAATTAAATGCAATTACATTTGGTGTGGATTAGACCACTTCATTTCGTTATTGTTACCTTCATTTTACGCATTTTTAGTCAAGAAATCGGTCGATTAACAAGATAATCCTTTTGCTACTACAGATGACTATAGTCACCCGCCACAAAAATGGAGCCAAAAGTTAAGACAATATACACAATAACAAAAATACGTTCATAGAAAAATTATATACATATTGTTATGAATAAAAATCCTTTTGCATCTAAAAGCAGGGTCACAACAGCGTTTTTGAGACAAAAGAGCCCCAAATGATGAAGACTGCGTGCACTTAATGTTTCCACTTTTGGCACGGTGCTCCGTTCTACACGAGGGATTTCGCGACGAGGCCCGCCGTAGCGAAAGGGTTAAATCTCAAAATGGAACAAGAAAACGAACGAATATAAAAATAGATATCTAACTTTGAAGTGTCATTGTTTTAAAATTAAAGCGTAGATTCTTCTGTATACCAGTTTACATATTATTAGAGAAATAATTGTTGCATAAAAATCGGCAGTTCAGTGGTCATTATCCAAAGTTTTGCACCGTTTTCATCAAACACAACGACGGTATAATACATCAAATTTAATTTGAAAAAGAATCGTCAAATTATTCATTGCAAACGTTAATTATTACGCAGTATTTCAATATTACTAAACAATACTGATACCACGAAAATGATACCGGCGTCCCGTTTGCAAAGGCGTAACACATAATCAGCAAATAGACATTTGTGCTTTCCAATGAAATCGAAAACTCTACGTTGTACTGGGTCGGCGCACTAACACTTTGCACATTTCATTCGTTACGACAGGAATAATATTCTTCTGCACGAGTTTCTTTTCTGTCCCGTAGCACTACTCGCCGGCGAATAACTTACCCGTCATTCATCCACAGAATAATTAATTTAGCGATCAACAAACTGTACGGCAGAGAGATACTCATACAGTCGACCACGGACGCGATGTCGTCGGTTCGAAAGTGTTTAATTATATATTTGTATTGGAAAAGCTGCCAAAAAGCAGTGGACATCAACCAGTAGAGTTTATGCAAACTGGGGAACGGCGTGCCGGGCCAAATGCCGACAAAATGGAGTCCATACTTCACAGACCGGCTGACCGTGCTCCGAAGCGTCATGTCACGCGTCGTTTTTTTCGTGTTTATTTTTCTCCAAATTCCCGTTGTCTTCGGCTCGCCAATGCCCATTATGCTCGAACCATCGTCACTCGAAACACACGACCCTGCTGCAAGCACGTCGCACGATGAACTGAAAAGCTTCTCAAAACCAATGCAGAAGTTAGCATACCACGTACCCCAATCGTGCGCTTCCCCTCGCGTGTTCAGCATGAATATTAAAAATTAGTGATTGCAGGTTTACGGGCAAACAGCAAGACACATCGGCATTATAGTTTCATCCGATTTCATCGTGCGCACCAACTTTGTTGCAATAATAAATGACCGGCATTAAGGATTCAGAAGTAGCCACGCGGCACGCGGACTTATGTAATATTGATGGGGAGAGATGTTGTGGTAAATCAAAGTTTCGGAACCTGAAGGGACAAACTTGTAGAAATAAAAATACTTGGCTCGCCGCCGTATAAAATTGTAACGCCACTGGAGTAAAGGAAAAGTTGATAAGTTAGTTTCTTTCCTGTCGGGGAAGCGTAGCATTTCTGTTATAAGAAGCAGATGTTAAGAAGAGGGACCAATTGAGGCGGCTGAAAAGTGTAAGTTGATTTTTTGAATATTGTTGTATTCTTTTTGTTTTTGTACAGTGATTTATTTGATGTACGTTCGTCGCGTTAACAGATGAATGAATAAAGGTGATTATTGGAAAGCTCGTTTGAAGTTAGCAAGTATCACATTGTTGCGTTTACGGCAATGATCAAACATTTAACTTGCAATGTTTATAAAATTCAATGGGCGTCAAATTGACACGTCCGTAAACCCAATGTTAATAAAATCTATTGTCAGTCACACACGGAGAAAATTGTGTTCTGTTAACTTGTAATTGAACCTTTCACTGTCAACCCAATTCACCGCCAATCATACATTAACGTCTTACGCTGGAAACAAGAGATTTGGCAAAGTCTTGTGCAAGAAATTTTGTTCTCGTCGATTTTACGGGGATATGTACACTATTTTTGTTCATTAATAACTATGTATAAAATGATACGTTTCAAAATAATCTAGTACTTGTAATGCAACAAGACTATTGATGTGTATAAGACATCATTAGCAATTTTAGAAGAAACATATCTCGACGTGCGTGGCATGTCTTTCCAGTGTAAGAGGTTAAGAAGACCAGAAACAAAACCTATTATTTTTAGTCGCAACAGAAAGTTTCATTATTTCACATAAACTTTGAAGTATTAATCCAAACAGAGGATTATTTGAATGAATCACTAGCTATGAAACTGTTTTAAAAAAAGAAGGAAGTTATATTTTGAATTAATAATTAAAGATTTTTATAACATAATCAAACTTTCTATTTAAACTAAGAATAATGGATTTCTTTCCGATCCCGAAATATAAATCAAAGTTCACCGAGAAACATCCGATTTCAGTAGAGCACAATTAACACTTCAGACATCCACCGACAATCTTAGTAAATTGTCAGGATCCAGCGTTGATTGTGGACATTCGACCAATTTCGAGCGTTCACCGTAAACGTTTCGTGGAACGATTTATTTTATTGTACTTTTTGCTCGCCGCAGGTATGCGTCAGCGATCTTCTTTACCGAACAGTTAACTTCATGACGCCATTACCGTAAAAGTCAAGCAGATCGGACATGACGTCATAAGGTACTTCTTGTTTCACTTGAACTATCCGGCCACCTCTTAAACGTCTCAACGTGTACCTAGGTGCACTGTGTATGTACACGGAAATTACGAGACTAGCGTTAAGTACTTACGGTTATAATAAGTAACTCTGGACAATATGTAACTAGAGTATTCAACAAGAACTCGCGGATATATGTAGAAAGTGTTCGCGTTATTTGCGGTATTATAACGTGGGTTGCTACAAAAGTATCGGGAATGAGAAAACTCGCAAATAAGTTTGAACAAATGGTTTCATTGTTTCTCAGAATATTCTACTTCGACGTTAATGCATTCTCCATTGTGTTGTGTCAGCATCTTGAAACTTAAAAATGTGAAGCTTTACGAAAATAAACAACTGATTGACAACGAGCTCCTGAAAATTTTGCAGCAACCTACGTAGTATTTGGAATAGTCGTAAACAATTCGATCATTCCATAATACTGTACTCACTAGTTAATTTGTTTTATTAATAAGGTTACAGTAGAAGCATGTGGCGTCGATCCCATGAAAATTAACAAGAGCTGCTAAGAATCTTACTGCTCGAGCTGAAACATGTCTAATTAATAATGGTAATCATTTTGGACACCTTATGCAGTTCTAACAATAAAAGAAACTAATGAGTACAATACCACGAACTAATTAAATTATTCGTGACCATTGTTGACCTTGAATAACTTTTAAGTCCATTGCATTCCAAAACGATTGAATTTCCATCGAAGCACGCCTTCATACAATGTAAACGAAAATTATAACATTCCATTTAAAAGATAAATCGTTGTATTTAACCTGTTAATCTGTAATTGTCAATCGTTATATTTAATCAGTTAAATATTTTATAAAACATTTCGTCATTTATACATTTTCTAAATATGTCATAAAATATTTTGTCGAAATAAATAATGAACAAGTGAAAAGTGATTTTCTTTTATTACTTTAAAAGTAACAATAGTTAATTCCCCGGTTAACAGGTTAACAGTGCTGATCAAATCGTTTTCTACAAAAAAAGTTTTCATGTTTATAAATAATACTCAACCAATTTCTACAGTTAAAATTGCTATTTCTTTTTTAAAAATACATTCCTTGGGAAGTATGAACAGAAACTGTTTTCGGAGTCGTATTCAACGCACGAAGGTCTCGAAGAATTGCCTCTTGAATTTGAAAACAAAATCGCGGAGATATCGGTTAGTCGTAATCATTTATACATGCCATCATTAAAAGGAGACCGGCAAGAACGGCAAACATATAGGCTGTCGTTTGATGAATAACTTGCGCGGTTATCGCAAGCTCGTAGGTAGACGACACGTTGGTGTCGAACGGTAAATGCATATTCAAGAGAAGCTGTCGATCCACTGAATCGTCAGATCGTAGAAACGCGAGAGTACCGGTTACATACACGCTCGACGAGATCAGTTACTAGAAGGAAATGATTGAGTTCGTTAAACGACACGAAAGTGCCGCCGCTACTGATATCAAACTATTTGTATCGATGTCAGCATATTACATATAATCTTCTTCTATGGTTGATATTATTTGAGTGGCTCAACATAATAGTGGTTTAACTTCTATTTCCGAGTTCTCGAGACGAAACAGCTTTTACGAAATACTCTTGGATTAATTATATGTCAATATTACAATGTTGATTATTGAAATTAGTAATTGTAATGAAGTGCGTGTTAGATCGTCAAACGTTAATACCAGACTGTCGATTTTTCTGTATTTATAACCAGTTCTATAATACAATAAGAAATTTCTTTGTGAAACAAAAATAAGGAAAGTACAGAAATTGAAATTAAAAAGTAAATATACGGTTCGATAGCTTTTAATACGGTGCTTGGTCAGTTTTCATTTAAAGCTAATATTTAAAGATAATAATGGTAGAAAATGCAGACCTATGTATATGATTCTGTTTTATTTAGTATTTTACGTTTCTGTATAAAAATGTGAATTTGCATTAAAATCCACGATCTAATTATTACGTCTCAACGTACAGTTCTATTTATTCACACATGATTAATACAAACGGAGGGAAAGCGAAAGAAATAATGGAATCAGTTGGTATAAATATGCGCCATGTTTCATACATAATACCCATGTGTGAATTCTAGATTAAATTCGAAATTACAATACGCTACAAGTAGAAAACACCCAAGATGTTACTATTAATACATTGCAAGGAGTACTGACATGTAAGATGCTGACGCCTTCATAATCTGCAAACAGAGAAATCAGAATTACACAAAATATTATTCAACTGTAATATAAATAAGATATATTTATTATTTCTTTCTGTTATTTCTATGAAGCAGTGAAATAGCAATGATTGATTTATACTGACCACAAATAGTTTCTTTCTAATCAGAATTATGCGAATTTGGCGTACAAATTCTTAATATTGAAATACGTTTACATCTACAACTAAATCTATTTGTGTTATAACCTAATTAAACTGATTTGATTATTTCTGGGCTATATTATTACAACCTATTATCTTGGCTATACCATTACTTTGACTGTATTATTAAAGATACGAATACAATAGAAAAATAATTCCTCTATTGTAAATTTATAATTATTCTTGGCTATAGATATTATCCTAAGTAAAATATAAAAACCTTACACGGGAAAAGCTTTCCAAACTCAATGTTGAAAACTTTCCGAAAGTTAGCGGCATTCCTTTCTGGGATCTTAAAATTAGAAGCACCAATTGTCGACTGATTGTAGGCTGCAAATCGTACCACGTAACTTGGTATGCTGCATCAATAATCATATCGCTCTAAAAATTAAACCGAAAATTAAAAATAATATGAGTTAGCATTACATAATCTAGATATTACCAACAATTTCAGTTATGAAAACATGTACAATAACATTATTTTTAATCGGAAAATTTTATACTTTCAATTTCACTTCCACCGAATGAAATATCAGTGACATTTTAATCGAACAGAATCGGCACACATATTCTATTCCGTCGAATTATTCCAGATAATACCTGTATGTCGAATAAATCACCTCACAGGGTATAAAATTCCTTATCCACTTGTTGTAATTCAAGAAGCATAATAACCTTAACATTGAGGTATTCTCCAGCGAAGCAATATATGAATATCTCTAAACAAAGTACCATGTAGAACCAACAACACTTGATGATTACGAGATTGCCACTACTAGCCTTTAATGACTGTAATACAGAAGTATTATTACGTGTAATATGTATATACAAATCATATGCAAGTGTAATTTAAAAAAAAGCAAAGTTCAATGACACTAATCACTAATTTTTCGTGCCCAGTAGTAAATTTATTATTATTAAACTTTCAAGGTACTCTTGCAAACTTAAAACAACATTATGTCACTACATGTTTCATTTAAATAATACCATACTTTTAACCATTTCAACGTACTTCTAGTACTCTTTGTATACATATATAATCAAACCAACATTACTTACCACTATAATAAGAAATCCTAAACAGCATGACGTTAAAGTGTTCGCCAAAAGTTGAAGAAGAGATATGTAGGTAAAGAATTTCTCAATTCTTTCTGTAAACATGATGATTTCTTGATGCCGCATTGCAACGAATCGTACTTGTCCTTCGTCTTTAGAAGATATATTCGTTAGTATATGGCATAATATATCAACGAGACATCCTATGTGAAGTATCTAAAAATAGTGACACTATGGCTAAAAGGTAATGCAAACTTTGCACTTTTAAATTTTTCATAAATGCATGGAACTTCGCCATCTAATGATTGAGGGAATAGTCCTATTCGTGATCCGACGACTTTAAATGATTCGTAAAATTAAAAGTTCTTAATCTAATGTAAATCATGAATTATTGTATATAACACTTATTCGACATTCGCGGAAAACGACCACGTTAAACCGGAATACCTCATTAAGCGGATACCTTATAAACTAGTTTCCAAATTTTAACCAGACATATTGACTAATATCTTTTAATATCTATAATATTTTAATATGTTCCGAAAAATATATTCTCAAGAAAACGTCAAATCTAGCATAATATGGAGAAAGTAAATCCAACGAAATATAAGCGATCGACAGAATCATTCACACTCACCATCATCAAGAGCAGAGCACCAAAGATGCCAAACGTGTAGGCTGCTGCAACTTGATGAATAACTTGTGCAGCCACAATAAGCTCGTAAGTAGGCGATACATTGGTGTCGAACGGTAAATCCATATTCAAGATAAGCTGTCGATCCAATGAATCGTTGTATCGTGGAACTGAGAGGGTACCGGCTGCATATGTCGTCGCTGCTACCAAATACACGAAAGCGATCGAGCTCGTTATGCGATACGAAAGATCCGACGTTTTGGGTATGATCTTATTGCTATCAATGGCGGCATATTTCACGCAATCTTCCTCCATGGTTGTTAAGATTTCACATAGCAAACTGCGAGATATCGTCAGTAGAGTCATCAGCCTCCGTTAACCGTAAGTTACATCGAATTACTTTAACCCTAGAAAGTCTGAGGAAGAGAGGTTCCTCGAATCCACCGAATTACAAATTTAAAGAAAGCATCATTTCTCTTACTTTCAAAAATTCCATGAAATTATTTCTTGTTGCTAATATCTTTAATATCACTACGGAACAATGATTTCGGGTTAGTAAAGTTATCGTTAAAGTCATGTGAGATGTAGATGCATCGCTCGAAGAGTTTGAAGAACGCAGCTACAGGTGCGTACCGGAAGCAACAAACTAACACTACCGAAAATAAAAGAACAAAACATCCTCTCAAGCAGCTAAATTTCTATATTTTATTTGAAAGAGGTGGAGTCTTACCCGTGATTCACCCAAGCAATCATTAATTTAATAGCCAGCACAGTGTTTGTCAAAGTAATACTCAAAGTATCGACTATTTTCATAAGGCTGTCAGTTTGAAGATGCTTGTAGATATACTTATATTGATATCCCTGGCACAGACCCACAGTCAAAATCCAAAAAAATTTATGTACACCTGGGAACATTGTGCCTGGCCAAATACCGACAAAATGAAGCCCATACTTGACAGACTTGCTAACTGTACTCGGCAGTTCTATTTCACCCGATACTTCTTTCTTCGTCCTCATTTTTCTAAGTTCCACTTATCCTTCATTCACCAGAGTCTATTACATTGGGATCATCGCGTCGATCACCCTTACATTCGATAGTATCGCAACAATGTTCTACGACGTACTGAAAACCTTCTCGAAAAAACAATAGGAAATAAAAGTTTCCCAGCCATCTGTTCCCCCTCGCATACCCTGCTTAAATATTCAAAATAAAAGATTACAGGTTTTACATGAACAAAAGATGCGTTCGCACAGTTTCAAGTTTTCATCGAATGTCGTGTGGTATCAAACTTCGTTTTAATAATAAATGATCGCTGTTAAATATTCCGAAGCAGCGCACACAGCACGTGAGCGCATGTTATATTCATTGGAACAGTGGTTGCAACAAATTAAAGTTCCGAGACTAAGGAAAACGAAAACATTTAGAAATGAAAAAGTATTTCCCTCAATACTATGGATTGAAACATTGTAAGGTAAAGAAGAAATTGAAAGGTTAGTTCCGTTTCTGCAACACGAGGTAGTGCTTCTTTCCATTCTAAAGAAGAAAGCTTTGTAAAGAAAGCAACTGACAATATTTTAAAGTAAAACGTAGGTTGAACAGTCCAGTGTTCATTATATTTTTACGATTAACTTTTACTTTTAATACACTCATATGTAATTGTCAATGACAGAAGATTGTATTTTAAGCACGTAGTAACAACAGGTTTATGTTATACAAACATAATTCTTTCTCGTATGTGATCGCCTTTTTTCATTTTGGTGGGCCACAGCTTTTTATGTGCATTACACGGTGTTCTAAACGTTTTACGCAGAATTACGCATGCAATTCATCGATGGGAACTATGCGGGGTGGATTCTTTACGACATCGCAAGAAGTACTGACATGTAAGATGCTGACGCTTTCATTATCTGCGGACACATTAATCAAATCACAAATTTTATTATATATTTTATTTTTTAGATATATGATGAATGAATTACTTTGTTTTCAATTTCAATATTACCAGAAATACAATATACAAATCTTACGCCAGTAAAGTTTTCCAAATTCAGTGTTGAAAACTTTCCGAAAGTTAACGGCATTCCCTTCTGGGATCTTAAAATTAGAAGCACCAATTGTCGACTGATTGTAGGCTGCAAATCGTACCAGGTAACTTGGTATGCTGCATCAAGCATCCTATCGCTCTAAAAATTAAACCGAAAATTAAGAATAATATGAGTTAGTATTACATAATCTAGATATTACCAACAGTTTCAGACATGAAAACAAGCACAATAACGTTATTTTTAATCGCAAAATTTTATACTTTCAATTTCATTTCCACCGAATGAAATATCAGTGACATTTTAATCGAACAGAATCTGCACACATATTCTATTCCGTTGAATTATTCCAGATAATACCTGTATGTCGAATAAATCACCTCACAGGGTATAAAATTCCTTATCCGCTTGTTTTAATTCAAGAAGCATAATAACCTTAGCACTGAGGTATTCTCCAGCGAAGCAATATATGAATATCTCTAAACAAAGTACCATGTAGAACCAACAACACTTGATGAGTATGATACGGCTACTATCTGTTCTCAATGACTGGAATACAAAATTATTATTATGTAAAATATACATACACAAATCAAATACATGTGAATACAATATACATTTTGTACCATTTAACTCTGCCATCTAAAGTATTTCAATTAAGATAAAACTGTATTATAAAATTAATAATATTAAGAAAATTAGCTTCGACAAATTATTTGGTTTCTTGTGCTTGTATCAGTTACATTGATCATTAATCTGCCGTCTTCAATAAGAACTTTTTTATTATCCAACTTTGAATTTATTTTTGTGAACTTAAAAGACTTGTAAATTTTGTTCATTTGAGTAAAACCATACTTTTAAGCGTTTCATATATATGTCTAGTACACTTTTGTATGCATACATAATGAAACTAGCATAACTTACAGCTATAATGATAAATCCCAAACAGCATGTCGTTAAAGTGTTCGCAAAAAGTTGAAAAAGAGATATGTAGGTAAAAAATTTCTCAATTCTTTCTGCAAACATGATGATTTCTTGATGCCGCATTGCAACGAATCGTACTTGTCCTTCGTCTTTAGAAGATATATTCGTTAGTATATGGCATAATATATCAACGAGACATCCTATGTGAAGTATCTAAAAATAGTGACACTATGGCTAAATAATAATGCAAACTTTGCACCTCATATACTCAGGTTCAAGAAATAAAAGATCAATAGAATCATTTAAACTGACCATCATCGTGAGCAGAGCACCAAAGATGCCAAACGTGTATGCTGCTGCCACTTGATGAATAACTTGTGCAGTCACAACAAGCTCGTAAGCAGGAGATTCATTGGTGTCGAACGGTAAATCCATATTCAAGATAAGCTGTCGATCCAACGAATCGTTGTATCGTGGTATCGATAGGGCACCGGCTGAATATGTAGTCGCTGCTACCAAATACACGAAAGCGATCGAGGTCGTTACACGATACGAAAGATCCGACGTTTTGGGTATGATCTTATTGCTATCAATGGCGGCATATTTCACGCAATCTTCCTCCATGGTTGTTAAGATTTCACATAGCAAACTGCGAGATATCGTCAGTAGAGTCATCAGCCTTCGTTAACCGTAAGTTACAGCGAATTATTTTAACCCTAGAAAGTCTGTGGAAGAGAGGTTCCTCGAATCCACCAAATTACAAATTTAAAGAAAGCATCATTTCTCTTACTTTCAAAAAGTTTCATGAAATTATTTCTTGTTGCTAATATCTTTAATATTACTACGGAACAATGATTTTGGGTTAGTAAACCGATTGTTAAAGTCGTGTGAGATGCAGATGCATCGCTTGAAGAGTTTGAAGAACGCTGTTACATGCGTGTACGGGTAGTAACAAACAAAAAAATTAAATTTCTTCTCACACAACAGAAACAATTTCGTATCAGATGCAAAAAAATCACGTATGTAATAAGCACATGAGTAATACAGTAATTTAAAATAAACGTACGGTGTCAGACAAGATGTCAATTTGATTTTATTCATTTGTTAGTAGGCCATAATAAAAATTGTGCAAATTCAGTGTATAAAAACGGTTTTTATATTATTTGCTTTTGATATGGCAAGGTGTACTCTTGAAATATATGTATTTGAAAGACAGTTTTTGGTGAAAAATATAATGAACTTAAGTGCATTCCGCGAGTCCCACCTTAATCTGTCACGTAACGACCCGAAACATAGCCTTTCTAGGATTAATCATTAAAACATTGTATAATTATTACTCTGTCCCACTATAATTTTACATACGACGAAAAGTATAATTCTTGTCTATTATTAAAGTAAAACCCATTTAATTATCTTAGTCGCAGTAATTTCTTGCATATAGACTAACCAAGAATGAAATAATAATTGGGTACCAGAAATTATTTTGTCGACTCATTTTTCTGTAAACCTTGTAATAAAGAACTGTAAAAGTCATTTGTTACTCAAAACTCGTATTACATCAAATAAATCAATATCTTTTATATTTTCAAATAACACTACCGAAAATAAAAGAACAAAACATCCTCTAAAACAATTAGATTTCTATTTTTATTTGAAAGAGAAGGAGACTTACCCATGATTCACCCAAGCAATCATTAATTTAATACCCAGAACAGTGTACGGCAAAGTAATACTCAAAGAGTCCATTGTTTCCATAAGGCTGTTAGTTTTGATATGAGTGAGCACATACTTGTACTGATATCCTTGGCAGAGACCCACAGTCAAAATCCAGAAAAATTTATGCACACCTGGGAACAATGTGCCTGGCCAAATACCGACGAAATGAAGCCCGTACTTGACAGACTTGCTAACTGTATTCGGCAGTTTCATGCCACCTGATACTCCTTTCTTCGTCCTCATTTTTCTAAGTTCCACTTATCCTTCATTCACCAGAGTCCATTACATTGGGATCATCGCGTCGATCACCCTTACATTCGATAGTATCGCAACAATGTTCCACGACGTACTGAAAACCTTCTCGAAAAAACAATAGGAAATAAAAGTTTCCCAGCCATCTGTTCCCCCTCGCATACCCTGCTTAAATATTCAAAATAAAAGATTACAGGTTTTACATGAACAAAAGATGCGTTCGCACAGTTTCAAGTTTTCATCGAATGTCGTGTGGTATCAAACTTCGCTTTAATAATAAATGATCGCTGTTAAATATTCCGAAGCAGCGCGCACAGCACGTGAGTGCATGTCATATTCATTGGAACAGTGGTTGCAACAATTTAAAGTTTCGAAACTAAGGAAAAAAAAGAATTTAGAAATGAAAATGTATTCCTTGGAATACTACCGGATTGAAGCATCACGAGGTGAAAAAGAAATTGGAATGTTAGTTCCGTTTCTGCAACAGGCGGTAGTGCTTCTTTTCATTCTAAGGAGAAAGCGTTGCAAAGAAGATAATACGTTCATGTTTTATACAAACGTAATTCTCTCTTGTGTGTGATCGTCTTTTTTTCATTTTAGTGGACCACGGCGGTTTATGTGCATTATACGGTGTTCCTAATGTTTTACGTATAATTACACATGCAATTCGTCGGTGGAAAATATACTGGGCGAAATTTTTACGACATCGCAAGAAGTACTGGATAGTGGATAGAGTGTTTGACAGAAGCTGGCGGAAAGATGTATAAGTGTAAAGTTTTTCAATTCTCTGTACAAATAGGATGATTTCTTGATGTCGATCAATGACGAATCGCAATTGACTTTCATTTTTAGGAGATATGTTCGTTAATATGTGGCACAGTATATCGACGTGACATCTTGCATGAAGTATCTAAAAGTAATAGAAATATATACAGGTTTTATAAAAACCATTTTATATTTGTGTGGGATGTACCACCTGACTTTGTCAGTTGGAATATTTCTGTTTAAAATCAGAATTACGAAAAAATGCTTGCTGTAAAAGCTGCATAGTCTTGCAGCTGCATGAGCTGTGTATTTACTTATATTCTGTAGTCAACATTCATAAATCACTGAAATATCACAATATTTTCTATTGCGTCAAGAATACTTATAAATACACAAATTTAATGAAATGGAACTCAGTAACAGGGTCACATTCTTTTTACTTTTGTATAAGGCAAATAGGTTAATTGACATGTCTTCTACCATGTCGCCGATGTATACAGGCAAGAATGTTTTTCCGGTACGTATCACGTCACGCATACGAAAGTGACAGTGATTTTTTCTTTAACTACGTCGTTTGTGTATGTCACTCACACTTTCTAGACTACGGAGCATTTTACTCATTAATTTCAATTATAACAGGATAAAAGGGAAGGAAAAAGTTATGTTCCTAATTAAAAGATCCCCCCATAAAGAAGCATCAGTTAATTAATTCAGATTTAAAGCATCAACTCTCTGATCCTTGTTTTAATAAAGTAGTTTATTGTGTTATAAAATAGAAGAAACGGAAATACAGATGGAGTACCGGATATACAGACAGATGAACAGCAAGGGAATAGAGAAATAAAAGTTCTATACTCCTAACAAATATGTCACTTTTATGATCCACGTCGTTCACCTTTCGAAATGCGCCGAATAAAATAAAGAAGCTATAAAGTGTCACTATAAAGTAACGAAAAAGTAACTGAATGAAAACCATTACGCTAGTAAGAGGTCATTAATAACTATGGAAACTACATTGTCCAGTAAATATTAACTTCATATAGCAACATATACAAAATGGAAAAATTATAATATTAAATCGTTTGATTGAATTGCATTATTATTATTGCACGTTCATTTAACTGAACGTCACCACATTGGGTAGCGTTATTTATAATATAGAAATGTTTTCGAATAACCATCGTTTAATTGAGTGAACTGTAGTAATTTGATTTGGTGTTATTTTCTTTATATTCAAACACGAACAGAACTTTCTGATAGACTTAAAATAATAATTGCTAGGACATGATCACTTTCACTCGTCCTCATCAACAGAAGAGAACTAAACTGAGAATGAGAACTTCTTTCGCTAAAGTGAAAAGTGAGTGCGCTCGTTAAACGATATAAAAGGTCCGTTGTTTTCGATATCATATTATTCGTATCGACAACAGCGTATTTCACACAATCGTCCTCTATGGTCGTTATTATTTTAGGTTACAATAATCTAAAGCAGTTAGACATATCAATACGTATTGGTATACCAATAAGTAATAACCTTAAAATTGTTAGGAAAAAAACATTTTTATGAGATGAATAATGAACTGTGGTAAGTCGGGGAGAGGTAGCACACTATTTTTTAAAAGAACTCTTACATCGTAAATATCGTTAATACTATACGAAAAGAATAGTTAACCCTTTGCACTCGGAAGGTGACTCTCAATCGCCATTTGACTCAGTAAACTATAAAATCTGATATTTAATATTGGACTTTATAATGCCTTACGTGAAATATTGGAATAAAATAGCTTTGTTCCTCAATGTACTTGTGATTTCCCTTCGAGTTAGTTTCAAGGAATATCATCTTCGCCTCGTCAAAAAATGTTAAACATTTCTAACGAGAAACTACTGAGTGCAAAGGGTTCAATTGGCTTGTGTGTAAGGTCCAGTATAGCAATGAGAACAATTGAAAGTATTAATATTTGACAATGTAAACGAGGTCAAGCGCTATGGTGTGTTAAAGGAAACCTGTTGGGAATATGTTGGGGTCGACGATGTTGCAATGATCCAATGCTCATTGTATCAGTATTGCATTTGCAACGCGATAACACATCACTGAACGATGAACTTTCAATTTCCAGTAAACAAAAGACATAACTTTACAATATTTCTTCATTAAATGTAAATGTATACAGTGCGTTACTCACATGAGCCAAGCCGGCCAGTAACAAAGACGTGCCGAAACTAATTCCGCCATTACTATCGAACCGAGCGCCGCGACTGGACGTCACCCCTTGCCCTTCTTCACTTTTATGCCACTGGCTTGACTTACGTGAGTAACGCGTGTACTTTCCTGCAGTAAGTACTGTCTCCTAACAGAAAACTTACCTACGATAAATCCAAACAACAAACAGCTTAACGATCAGCAAAGTGTAGTGCAAGATGATGCTCAGATAGACGATCACTTCCACGAAACTGTCGGTTTTCAACTGTATAAATTATATATTTGTACAGACATATTTGCCATATGGCTGTTGTTAACCAGTAAAGCTTATGTAACCCCGGGTACGGTGTGCCGGACAAATGCCGACAAAATGAAGTCCTTCACCGACCGGCTGACGGTACATCGAAGTGTCATCTCGAAACACAGGTGACCCCCGTATAACACGGTTGTTACGTTCCTAAAACAGTGTTATGTGAATCCGTGTTACACGAAACAAAGAATTAGTGCAAAAAAGGGAGCTAATTTCCAGAAATTAGAGAAACATAATTACCGTTTCTAAAGGAGGTTTAAATACAATCTAGCAAAAAGGAAACACGAAGTTTTAAAATGTAATTAACCCTTTGCACTCGATTTTCAATCGATTTCAATGTTTTTGGGTGTACCTTGTATTTATTTTAGGGAAACAAATTAAAGTAATTTTCCAACGTTCTGTAACAAATTTGTTTTGTCATCTCCAGCATGACATACGAGTGCAAAGGGTTAATTCTCCACGAAAAAAATAGGATTTCAAATTCTAATAAATTTCAAAACTCTGCAGGCAAATATGATACGACGTACACGCTCAAGTGAAAAATTTCCAATGAGACGTCTTGAGCACTTAAAATCTCTTATTTCGTTCCGTGTTGCCCGGGGATTTCTCTAATTTCGAGTTTAGCTCTTAAAAACTTGAAGCGTTGCGCGAGGATTTCTGTGATTCACAAACCGTGTTCTAGGATGCTGTGTTATATGAGGGTTTTTCCCAATTCGCAAACTGTGTTAGAGTGAAACTCTGTTATGCCGAGGTTATCTGTATTTCCTTTTCTCGTCGCCTTTCTCAGACGTCTCTTGATTTTGATTCGCCGAGGTCCATTATATTGGAACTTTCGCGTTATCACCCCCGATGAGACTTCAGCAGCGTCCTATGATAAACTGAAAATCTTCGTGAAAACGTTGCGCAACGGAACCCCGCAACCTCCAGCCATTTGTTTCCATTTGCATGGCGCGCATAAATATTCTAAATAAACGATTGCAGTTTCACCGAGAACAAAGGACAGGCGAAGAAGTGCGTGTTATAATTTCGGGTACATATTTCGCCGATGAATTGCAGTAGCATCAACCTCGTTGGAATAAATAAATGGGCTGCATTAAAAATACAAACGGAGATGCGTTTCGCATGCTCGCGTGTTACATTGATTCAAGAAGAAGTTGCAGTGAATTACGTTTTCGAAAGTAACCAAAAATATATGTAGAAATAAAAACGTGTCGTTCGAAGTTCCTTTCCATGGTACTGTCGGCAAGCAGGGGGATGAGTTGAAAAATTAGTCCATTTCTGTCAGTGCATGCGATCTCGGAAATTTTTGTATTTGAAAGTGAAAAGTAGAGGATTTCTGTGCATTTGTGGGAAGTTTGGAAGTGATATTACATGGAACGCAAACAATATGGAGGCATGTACAAAATATCGAAATGTGCTTTTCATAATAATTGTTAGGAAAATGAGTTTGTATAGTGGTTGTATATTTTTGATTGTATTCCTCGAAGTTTAGAGTCGCGAGTTTGGAACAGCGTGAGTAAATTTTCCAATATTATTACATCTTCATGCATAATCTAAATGCAATTATACGCGATTGAAAATGAAAAATCGTATTTCACTGCATACTCACCCTTAAAAACCGTTTCGAAGAAATAATTTTATGTGGCGCATTCAATTTTAAGAATACATTAGAATTATATGGATCTTTTATTGATCAGTTTTTCAATCAATAATTGTATATATGTTATAAATTTGATTCCAGTATTGATTTCGCGGGAACTTCTCTTAACATCGAAACTTTACGAGTAGAAGCGGACGGCGAAATATGTACTACGCTTTTGTTCCAATTTAAAGTAACGATTCGATACTTTGTTTTTATAACTCTAGTGACTGTAACTGGAAAACGATGAATACTTTTATTTCTCTGCTTTCTTTTTCAAACCGCTAAAAAACAACTACATAGCACAAAATGATAAGTCTATTTTGTTTAAGATAACAGGTGAATTTAATAATAGTCTTTCGTTCTAATTTACGTTATGCTATGTGTATAACACTTGCAAGGTTTATATTTCAATTTCAATTTCATCATTTCAAGACATCGCAAGGAGAACTGACATGTAAGATGCTGATGCCTTCATGATCTACAAATATAAAGAAAATAAAATTACTCATCCTGTCGAAAACTGAATAACAAACAGAATTTGGAAAATAATGAACGCAGATTGTAATAGAAATTTTGCGAATGCTGTCTGCGTTAAAATAATATTTTCAGTACCTTTGTACGCTTAATACGGAGAAGTACGCAAATGTTTTCGGAAACTATTCGCTGTGAATGACAAGTATGATCGTAGATAAAATAAAATGAAACTTACACTGGTAAAACTTTCCAAATTGAGATTCGAGAATTTCCCAAAAGTAAGTGGTAGACCCCTCTGAGCTCTTAATATTAACAGCACTACCTGCCGACTCACAGAAGGCTGTAAGTTGTACCATGGTATTTCATATGCCACCTTGGCAATCATTTTACTCTAAAAATTTAGAAACATCTGTTTTAATAATTATTTCTTAACGATTAATCAGGTTTAATTGTGAAATACCCGATGCTTTAACATTATGTTCACCGAAAGTGTCAAAAGTCACATTTCAAAATTTTACTCACTTTTCCTAAATTGACTTGAATGTTTCTATAATCAATTATATAAATATTATAGGAAAGCTTGAAAAGTGAAATGAGAAAATATAATTAAACTTAGAAAGCCATTGAAATAAACATTTTTAAAAATGTCTTTTGACACATTCGATGAAAATTATCTTATAAATGTGTAACAACATTTACAACAAATGTGGTGATCGTAATAAGAAAAGTATCGAATTAAAATAATTTGCAGTTCGGTACAGTTAATTCAAATTTCGTATAAAATCATTACTAGAAAAATGAAGCACATATTCTTTGTATTTAGCAAATAACAATATGAAATATTGTGCAATACCTACGTCGCGGTTAAATCGAATAAAAAGGTTTTCACGTTTTTAATGCTATTGAAAGACCAATTCCGCTACGACGAAAATATTTGAGACAAACAATTATTTGAAACTTTTGAAATAAGTCGCGTCGACTAATGAATTAAAAAGTTTATGGAACGGAATGTTACTACGCGCACTGTAAAAGCAAAAGATTTTTACGTCCTCTCTTTATAATTTTTTGTATACGATATTTTTAATGCAATGCACTTTTTTTGATGACCTTAATGTCGAGGAACTCTCCAACGAAGCAGTATATAAATACTTCTAAACAAACCACGTTGTAAAACATAATAGATTTCAGTAGCATGGGAAGTCCATTTTCAGCTGTCACCGACTGAAATATAAAATTATTTTTTAATCGGATATTCATATGCACATTTAATGCTTATTTCATTTAACTCGAATACCGTACTTGCCACGTTAGTGGTTAATTATGAAAACTAAAATATTGCGAGTGACAAATAATTTTTCTGAATTCTTTATACTCGGAATTTGTTCACCAAAGATATTCATTATTTCCTACTGAAACGTTTATTAAATTGTTGATTCTATTAAATAGAAATAATACAGGAATCTACAAATAGAACTATTTTATTTTAATATTTTACGTCTAATTACATTATATGATACAATAAGATACCGTTTAACTCGGAGGATACGTTGAAAAAAAAGCTAAACGCTAAACGAAAAGTAATGGGGATAGATGAAACAGGATAGTGAATAAAATAATTTTAAAAAATATACCATTTCTTAGTTTTATTTTGTAACGTGTATTATATGACTATAGTATATGCATTGTACTGAAACAGCGTTAAATGTTCTATTCTGTTTCCTGTCCTATCACATATGATCTATGTACACAACTCATCTTTTATACGCTTGTGTATAACATATGATGTACAATAGATTATATTCTTTAGGATACATATTTTAACCCTTTGCGGACAGAGATTCTATAAAATATATGAAACCTTCAGCAGATGAAGCTGAATTACCTATCAATTGCTTAAATAATATAAAAAATGGAAACTACGTACTGATCTCTTGCTGTTCAAATAATCAAATCATTTGCCGGTAACTTAATTTTCCAAATATGAAACTTTCATCTCGCCGAAATGTCAACATTCGTCCACAAAGGGTTAATTATATTTTTTACATATTTTTTGCAATACAGTTGTATGCATAGAAATGTGCCCCACTGGAGCATATATTAGGTACATGCAAAAATTTCTTATCGTATATGATAATGAATTTTATAGTGTTGCTTTATCAAACAGTAATTAAACATATGACGATCGTGAGTCGCCTCTCGAGTGCAAAGGGTTAATATAACATGCATTACTTACTATTACTATAAGATAACCCAAACAGCATGTTACGACCGTATTCGACAGAAGCTGACTAAGGGCTATGTAGGTAAAGAGGCGTTCGACCTTCTCCACGAATATGATAATTTCTTGCTGCCTGTTGATGAAGAATCGTATTTGCTCGTTGCCCAACGTATCGAATGAATCCATCATTTTCTGGCACAATATATCGATGTGACACCCTACATGAAGTGTCTAAAAGAATTCGATGTTATAATTCAAGACATAAAAGATTAAATCGCTAAATTAAATCATTCATTCAACAGAAATAATATAATTCAGGACATAAAGGATTAAACTGTCAAACTGATCGTGTATTTGAGAAGTGTTCAAAGTTTCCGAGCCTAAGCCGTACCCATTAGGAATTGTTTCCTGGCATTTTGCTAGCATTGCAGCTGACATTATCAGGGAGTTTGAGGAGTCACTAATACTGGTTAACCATAATCAGTGCTTCCTATTTAAGCATACCTTACACGGAGTTATGGATGTATGATCACCAATCCAGTGTTTTTACTTGGTCAGCTGATCAAGTTAAAAGATTCTTAAATAGGAAACACTGATTCTGGCTAAATAGTATCAGTGAATCTTCAAACCCCTTGATAATGCCAGCTGCAATGCTAGCGAAACGTCGGGAAATAATTCCTAATGGACACGGATTACACCCGCAAACTTTAAACACTTCTCATAGTATTTCTGGTCGTGAAACAGAAAACATAAAAATTTGAATACGAATAATCTTAATATTTAGTATATGAAAACCCCCAAGGAGAACTAAGTCGATTATTATTAGTATTATCATTTAACACGTTAACTACCGGTAGAAAATGTGAAAACTTACCCCGTACCCTAAGTTCTTATTACATGCTTTATAAGACTGTAGAAAATATGACTTGTACCAGTCTTGGGGTACGAAGTTAATACATAACACTAGTTAACTGATCCTCGGTAGTCAACGTGTTAATATCATTACATTATATTAAATTGTACTTTAACTGGATAATTTTTCTCGTTTAATACTTCTGTCCTGAATGGTACACACAGGTGCCACAAACATTTTAAATTACCGGGAAGCTAGGAAACGCCTTGAAAATAAAGGAAAATTGTACCACCGGGGATCTTTGCTTATGGCTGACAGATTAAGTGCTAAGTATTATTAGTGTTTATCTTATTTCTTTCACTGAAAAGCTTCAATTTCTTTTGAAAGCGGCTGTTTCTGGGCCTCTTTTTGATTTAGGGGGGAAATACATATTCAAGGACGAAAGGGTTAAGTAAACGCAACAACTTGTTACTCAATCAACCCTCGTACAATTCGGTTCACCCTTACCACCATCAAGAGGAGAGAACTGAAAATGCCAAACGTGATCGCCGATGTGGCTAGATGAAGAATCTGTGCGGTCATCACGAGCTCGTAAGCAGGTGACTCGTGGGCGTCGAAGGGCAAATTCATCTTGAAAAGTAGCTGCCGCGACGTCGAATCGTTGGCTTGCTGAGCTGCGAACGTGCCGATCGTGTAAAACGCCGTGGACATCAAGTAGCAGGAAGCCACTAGGCTCGTCAAACGGAACGAGAGTATCGCTGTTTTCGACATCACGTTCTTCGTATCGATAACAGCATATTTCTTGCAATCATATTCCATGGTTGACAATATTTCACGTAGCACGCTGCGAGGCATCGACATTAAGGTCAGTTTTCTTCAGCAAACAGTTACGTTTACATATACTTGGAACTAGATATAAGTAAATGTGACGATCAAACGGCGAATTTATTAGTTTCCCATGGCATATTCAACATTTTTTTAGTAGAGGGAAGTATTGATGTTAATTTTCGAACGAGTATTTCCGAGAATATTCAAATGCCTTCTCATGGAAAGCTAAATTATACATCGAATTCTTAAATAGTAACAAAGGAAAACTATGCATTGATTGATGCATCTTTCTGTTTAAATAATTAAGTCATTGATTTACAACTTTCAATTCTAGTTATTCGTGTTGTTTGAACGAATGGGTCTCTGGTGAACATGTTTATAAGTCTGATCTTACACAATTATAATTGTAATTACACGAGAACCACGTTACAGTTGAGTTTCGTCGAAATCAATTACCATTTCATGTTAAAAATACGAAAAACGTGTATATATTATACAAAAGTAATGTTCATTGAATTGCATAAGGTATGGACCTCTAGAAGACGGACAATCTAAAGAACTGTTATCAAATATACCATACTAAATTCAATATTCACTTCCACGACAGTAAAATAAAATATACAACACTGCAGTTGTATTTCTTTTATTTTAACATCTAAAATCACGATATAATATTCACTACATTAATTAATTCCAATTTAACATTGAACGTACCAGCACTTCGTGTGCACCAATTCCTACTGTAATCAGTTAAATAATTGGTGATAAAATAAAAGTAAACAAGTTAAATGATAAATATTTCTCAGTACAAACTGAACCAAAGTAAGCAAAGGAACCAAAAACATAAAGTGAAATAAACGAAAGGAAACACTAAAACTACCGAGCAATCGGAATGACTTATTTCCAACTTTTTATAAAAATTAAAACAACACATTTCCTGAGATTCAAAGTCCTAATCTTGTATCTGTGCAAATACACGGATGTAATTGAAAATCTTTCGCCAAAACGTCATGATAATTGAAATACTTGCGAAATAAAAATTCTGAGATAGGTCGATTTGACCCGTCCGATAGTTTCAGTGTTACATGACGTTTTCTCAAGCATAAAATACTAAAAATGACATTTACAAAAATCGATACGTGTCCTACGTGAAAACCCCGCCATCTTTTATCTTCAAGGACAATCCATTGAAGAGCTTACCTATGATTTATCCAAGCCACGATTAATTTAATACACACCAAAGTGAACGGGATGGCGATAGTCACGCTGTCGATCAGTATCATAAGACTCTCAGTCCTGAGCCGCGTTATTACGTACTCGTATTGATAAGTTTGCAACAGCACCATGGCTATCACCCAGAATGCTTTGTGTACACCCGGGTACGGCGTGCCGGGCCAAATACCAGCGAAGTGTAGCCCAAACTTCACGGACTTGCTGATTGTGCTGGGCGATTTCATTTTTCACGGCGTTTACTCTCTTCTTCTACGCTCTGCTTTTCTTTGATCCGCGAAATCCCATTATCATTTGACTGTCGCGCGGTGCCGGCCTCTCGGTAGTGCTATGCCAACGTCCTGCGTCAGACTGAAAGCTTTCTCGAAAATACTCGCGAAAACAGCGGCTCGCAAACAGAAGTTCGCTAGTCACTGGACGTGTACACGCGTGATCTATACATAAATATTCGAAATAACATCGCGCTGATTGTTGGTTTCACGGAAACGCGTGGACACGGGGGAGAACTTCAGTTCCCTTTAGTAGTTAGAGCTACCCCTACAATGTTGAATAATTTCTGTAACAAAATGCAGCGGTAGCTCGGATTGGAAACTTATATTATATTCATACGGCGAGAAGTTTCAATGAATTCAAAGTTCGCATGTGAAAGAAAAACATATCTAGAAATTACAAATGCATTACTCGCGGTAGATGCATCGTGAAATTGTTCTAGAACGAAAGCTGGAATGTTAGTGTGGTTCGTGTCAAAAGATACCGAGCACGGTGATGCTTTCGTTTTATCTGTTACAATCTGAAAAAAAAACTACAAGTATTACCTTTTACACTAACTTTGACCAGTTAACTGTGGTGACCTATATAGAAAAGTGTGAACTTAAATTCGCAGTATACATCGTTTTTCTATAATATATTTTTGTATTCGTTCGTTTAATTTCGTCTTGTTCCCTGAACTCTTAGAACATCTTGAAATTTATGAATTTGTTTTGATATTCACTGAAATTCCGATTTAAGTAAAAACTACTTTTAACTAACTACCTTTTTCACGAGTATACTCGCAGTAACAAAATATTGTCATTTCTTCAGGACGAGTATATTATAAGTTCCCCCAAAAAAGAGAAGCAGATTAAGATATTAAAAAATTAGAAAAGTAAAAAAGAAATAAAAATTTACCTATATTTTATATTTATATTTTGTATTTTATATTTCTATATTTATATTATGTTTTCATCCATGTATTGTTAACACGTTTCCCTTCGCTTTTTTTCAACATTTATTTCGCTTAAGGTAGATAATGTGTAAGTCGAATTTTCAATTTTAAATTCTCAAACGCTATGTGTACAGCCTTCGCAAAACTCAAATTTCAAGACATCGCGAGAAGCACTGACATGTATGATGCTGAAGCCTTCATAATCTACAAATACAGAATGTGGAATTACTTATCCTATTAGAACATGACGATTAAAATAAATTAAAACTACTCAGAATGTGTTAATAAATTATAGATTATATCAACGTAAATTTCATGTAGTTATATTCTCAACGTGTATTTCATTTTAGAAATCAACAGTTATTTTTAAAACTGTTCGCAGGAATATCAAATGTCGTCAACATTGTTACAGTTTAAATATAAGATTCTTACGCTGGTGAAGCTTTCCAAATTGAGATTCGAGAACTTTCCAAAAGTAAGTGGTAGTCCCTTCTGAGCTTTCATTATTAAAAGTACCAGTTGCCGACTGTTAATCGGCTTTAAGTTGTACCAGAGCGATTCGTATGCTGCATTGGCGATCATCTTACTCTAAAAGTTAAGAGAGTATTTAATAGTAAGTTACAAACTAATGTTTCATATTTAATGACTCTTTTTACTCGTTAATTTCTTGTACACATCTAGTAGAAAAAATGACTAGAATCAGTGATATTGGTAACATAGTAAATCATCAAGAGAGATATTAATCGTTCTCTCTCACAGTTCTAAAAACTTTTTCAAATTGAAAAACCAAGAAGCTAATTCTTCGTAACAACGAAGATCACAGTTTATATGAAAATTAAAGTGAAAACATTCATATTTTTTAATTGATGTATTTTCTATGGCCTCGTCTGTATATAACATACAATTTACTATATTTACTATTTTCTGTATATTTACTGTAAACTAGATATAATTCATTCCATTTAATGACCTTAATATCGAGGTACTCTCCAACGAAGCAATATATGAACGCTTCTAAACAAATAACATAATAGAAGAGAACAGATTTGATCAGCATAGAAATACTATCTTCGGTGCTTATTGTCTGAAACATGAACTTTTCATTATTTTCATGAGAAAAGCGCAAGCAAGCTGTGAACGTGCCACTAAATAAGATATTAATTTCAATTAAAAGATATTACGAACAATAATGATAAGATAACCTAAGCAACATGTAATCAAAGTGTTCGACAGTAGTTGACAGAGCGCTATATAAGTAAAGAGCGATTCAATTTTGTTTACGAATACAACGATTTCTTCCTGCCTGCTGATGAAGAATCGTATTTGTTCATTGTCCAGGAGAAACGGATCCTGAAGCGTGTTGCACAATATATCAATATTACATCCCACGTGAAGCGTCTAAAAAAATGATCTTATTACCAGTTTGCCAAAACATATTATTAAGTGCAGTAAAGAATTCTTTCCGATTTTTCGATAAAATCAATTGAAAATAATGTACAAATACTTAAAATAATAAAATTCTGTACAAATATTTTGAATAATAAAATAATATACAAATATCAAAGTAATCGCCATTAGTATTGTTATTTATTTATGTCTAACATTCTGTCACTTTTCCGGAAACCTGGGAATACTATCGCGATAGAAATTTGATGGCTTTAATAAAATGAATGTATTTAGTTTACTGAAACTCGTCGGAAAGAACTTTTTGCTGCATGTAATAGTATTTTTTAATATACTTTTTTTCGTAAAGTACTACTCGCAGCTTGCAATTTTATTCGGGGAAAGCCGGATCAAATGAAGTTTCAAGCGAAAGGAAGGTTTAAAAGGTATTTTAATACAGCTTCAACTCATTTTGCGTTAACTATTTAAGCAGACTTCTGAGCTATCGCATTATTTCATATTTTTTTTACTAAATTTAATTCAATTCGTTTAAACCTCTGAACAAATGAGTGCAACAGTAGAAGGAAACGATTTATGATAAGTGGTAATTAATGTGTTACACCTATAATTTTGCAAATATATAAAATCGTAACATTAAAAAGATTTAAGAAATATGAAAGAATTCTGTGTCACAAAACTGTATTTTCACTAATATTTTTTTAACGTCACAACAAAATTACAAAACATAAACTGACTTTTTGAAATTTCTCTATAGAAACTCCAAGATTGCATTCTACTGAGACTTTAATTGATTTACAATTCAATTTGCGTATTGCTAAACGAATTTCTTTAATAATTTCTCAAAGAAACGTCTGTTATCTATTTAATAATTGCAAAAGGAAAAAATCAGGAATGGGTGATTTTGTCCGGCCTGGTGGTTTTAGTGTTAAATTACATAAACAATAGACGCGAGTTTTATTTTGACGAGAGAATGGAGGGTCTACGGTTTTTAAGTTTCCCCCAAAATTGTTGTGGCCTTCTGAACTTACCAGCATCAAAAACAGAGCACTGAAGATGCCGAACGTAAATGATGATGTCAGTATATAGAGAAATTGAGACGTTATCACGAGCTCGTGAATAGGGGATTCGCTGGTATCGAATGGCAAATCCATGTTCAAGAGGAGACGTCGAGTCGTCGAGTCGTTGGTTTGTTGAAATCCAAGAGTACCGATCGTATAAAAAACCGTGGCCGTCGGATAGAGCATAGCGATCGCAGTCGTTAACCGAAACGAAAGATTCGCCGCTTTCGGTATCAAATTATTCGTGTCGATGACAGCGTATTTCTTGTAGTCCTCTTGCATTGTTGATAAAATATCACGTAAGACACTGCGAGGTATCAATAATTCAGGCATCAGTCTTCCTCGACTAATTGTAAAAGTTACATTCACGGATATTTCGAACTACTTACGTACGAATGTATCTGATAAATGAAACACTGCCTATTTATTCAACACATTCGTGACCAACGTTTGTTTCAATAGCAGTCGTAGTTACAATATTTCATTAAATTTGAATTTTGGATAAAAACTCGTGAAAGTAGTTTACTTTTCTTCACGCAAGGGGTAAAGTGTTGAGCGTTAGAAATATGTGACGACGGTCACGAAGGTGTTAACCCTTTAAGAGAAAGTAAACACTTTCTGAAGTAAAGAAGTAACTTTCCGAATAATTTTGTTGAAATTACGTAATGTTAAACAGTAACAATGATAATTGAAATAGTAATAATGATAATAAAACATTCTAAATTATTAATTTCATGATTCTTATTATGAATACGTATAAAGTATTAACAAAAGAAGAATGCTATTAGCGAGAAAATAATTTTCTAAAAGATATATCTCCCTAGAAAGAACAGAGAAAGTTTAAAACCAATAAAAGACTCGGACAGTGTCGACAGGGCTGGACGTTACCACCTGAACCATATTTAATTACTCCACTCAGTTGTTTAATTGTTTAGCTCAGTAATTAAAACTTTCCGGTTAATGACTACTCAACCGGAACGTGAGAACGATACACTTCAATAATGAACAACAGATGACACACCTCGGTATCAACGTATTCCACAGCGTTGAATAGAATTTTATTTGCAAAAGAGATAAAGAATGAGTATAACGAATTCGACGAAAATTTATATCGAAAGATATAACTAAAAGGATAGCAACAAATTCTATAATGTGTTCGTATGTAATTGAATGATTTAAAAAAAAAACAGTTTATTTAGTTCGAAATTCAAACTAAACGAAAGTTCGAAATAATTCGATCTTTTATGGAAAGAATTTTTAAACGTTTGAAAATTTTTCGTCAGCAATGGCTTAAAGCTATCGAAAGGGAAAAGAAAAGGCTAACGTTGTCTAAAATTAACATTAAATTTAGTTTCTAGTATTTACATGAAAGCGAACTGATGCTAAAAAAAGGAAATTTCCATGTGAAAATGATGTAGTGGTATTACAATAGACTGAATTAACTGTAACTGACGTTCTGCTGGATTTGAGCAGGAGAACCACTTCAACTACCACGCGTAAGGTAAACCGTCAAACACGAACGCTTTATGCTTTGACGGCACATTGCTGTATTTGGCGTTCGTACATTACATCTAATATAAGGTATATGCAGCCAGTATATGGACATACAAAGATATTCTACTTTTTTTGGCAGTATTTCAGTCGTTCAAAGTGATTAACTATATAAATTCAAAATAATTAATTCCGATTTTTGAATGTTTTTATAGTTTTGCATTAGAACACTTAATTGCCTCTTCAGATATGTAATTCTATCAAATTTTTCTACTTTTCCCTTGATTTTAATTAACTTGTAATTTAATCAGTTTGTAATTAACTCCGTTGAAAATATATCACTTTCTGAGAAAAATATTACATTTTTATCTAAACGCTTAGTCAAGAATTTAGAAAATTGTCTGAATACAGGCAAATCTTTTGTTTTATAGTAATTCTAACAAGGTTACGATTTCAATCTGAAAAAGTTAAAAGTCTTGTAACTTTCCATCATCATTAAATGTTAAGTTATACAAAAAAATCAAACAGCAGTGAAATCCAATTACTCGTGAAAATTAGTAGAAAATCCTAGGATAAGCAATAATAATTTTTTCCAAAATACACAGACGTAACGGTAATACCGATAGATTATCAGATTATCAAAGTTCTAAATCTCCAGAAAAAATTCCACTACATTAATATTAAATTTTATATATCACACAACTCTTTCCTTCCACCACAAGATTCATCTTACTACCGTACAACATATACCATTTAATTACAAGTGAAAGTTTGGCGTTATAGTAACAACAAAATTGCTCTGTCTGAAACGTGAGAACCACTTTCCAGCAGTCCAATCGCCGATAGAATCTTCCTCATAGCCCATTCAAATACTTGTAGCAGCTTTAGTAGCGAATAAACCTCTATTGAACGCGAGCAGCAACAAATATCGTAAATTCGTTCGTTCGCTTCCTTTCTCGAACAGTTTAACCTACCTTTTATCTGAAACGAGAAATCTGATCGCACGATCTCACGGAGGACGGTAAAACCGATCGAATAGAAAATAAAACTCTATCTCGGAGGAAACAATCGACGACTCAAACATTGTATAACACAGAATTCTATGATGAAAAAACCGAATGGTCTCGATACACTTTCATAATTTTCACCTATGCATGCCTAAGATGATTCTTGCGGAACAACTTACCCATGATTTATCCAAGCGACGGTTAACTTAATAGCTACTAAAGTGTCCGGCAAAACGACACTCAAACTGTCGATCAGATCTACGAGACTGTCAGTCCCAAGACGTTTCACTATGTATGTATATTGGTAAGTTTGAAACACACCCATGAAGACCACCCATAGGAGCTTATGCAACCCCGGTAACGGTGTACCGGGCCAAATGCCGACGAAATGAAGGCCACACCTGACGGACTTGCTAACCGTGCTGGGTGATCCCATGTCACGCAACGTTTAGTTTCTTCCTTTAAATCCTGCTCCCGTTTGATTCCAAAAATTCCATTATGCTTCAAAACCCCGCGTTCGTCAGCCTGACGCCCGATAGCGGTCCGTTAGCGTCTCAAGACAGACTGGAAACTTTCGCGGACGTGTCGGGAAAAGAGTAGCTTCCGGCTTTCCCGGCCACTTTTCTCAACAGAAACGGAACTTCCGTAGGCACCGATTTAAACCGGTAAAATGCAACTGAACTTCTCATATTTCTTTCACCGCGGCGAACCGGTGTTCATGAAACTTTGATAGGCGCGTCTTCATTTCCGAACGGTACACCTTCGACTCGTGAAATTTGCATTCGATGCAACTTACAACTCTATCAATTTCCCATCCTGTTCGCGTGTCGCGTTTCGTGTCCTGCAATTTTCATGAGAATCATTTAGCAATGAAGCATAGCTAAGACTACTGTTCCAGCAACGCTACCCTCTTTCTTTCTGTCCCCGGTGAACCTGTAATCAGTGCAGCGTGATTTGGAATATTTATATAGATCGTGCGAACGCGCGACCAAAGGTGCACTTTCAGGAGTAACAGAAGAATTGCTCGGCAATCTATCGCCACAGTGATAGAAATATGTGAAGTTTAGTTGCATTTAATGGTTTAAATCGACACTTAAGGAAGCCCTGCTTCAGTTGAGAACAGTACCTGAGAAATCCTTTCGGAATGCACGTTTAGCTTTTGAACCAGTTCTCGATCTTCTGCGTGAATTATTTTCTTCCAATATATTTAAAATTATTATTCATCATTTCCGTCTAAATGGTTTTCCTGCGTTCTACTATAATTTTATTAAATCCCAGTGGAATTTTCGTGAGTATATAGACACCGATCCACTGATTCAAAGAGACCAAAGTTTCTTTAACCGCTTCAGACCTGATTTTTGTACAAAAGTATGTTCACCTACCTAACAACAAAGGACTGCTATTCAAGACAAAGGTGTATACTATACGCCTCCCACGTTAGCCCCGTCGACCGTCATTCTAAAAGTGCACAGGAGCAAGGGGACTCTTCCACTCACGAAGCTCCGGCCTCCTCAGTCTTCGATGCATGATTGTTATTGGCCGCGCCGCGATAACAAAGCACAGAAGCGAAACTAAGTGCGGCGGAGTGAACTATAACGATAAAGAATGAAATTGACGACACAACGAACTTTAATCTCTATCGTTACATCTTATTCCGTTGCACTCAGTCTCGCTTCTGTCTCTTGTTACTGCCGCGCGGCCAATGACGATCGCGTGTTGAAAAGTGGGGAGGTCTGAACGTCGTGAGTGGAAGAGTCCTCTTGCCCCCCTGACTTTTCAGTTTGTGGATAGTCTGCCATCTTGTCGGAACTGTATTATAGCTTAGTGATCGATTGAGCTAACGTGAGAGCTGCACTTTACATGGTTGTCTGTCACAGTTTTAATATTTTCTTAGATACTATAGTTAAGAATTAGAAAGAATATAGATTATAATATACATCAGGTCTGAAGAGGCTAATTTTCTAAAATAGTAATTGAAGGGATGCGAAATTTAAATAGTTCTTGTCATCTCAGATATTTATTGAATTATGTATTACCTACATAATCACCGTGCGTAACAATGATTTTCTGTAGAATTTTCACCCCATGGAGAATACCTCCACTATTAGTACATAGCGTACAGTATCGATATATATGATGCAGAAGTTTTCATAATCTAAAAACAACGATTTTCATACGTTTCAAAATATATAAAAATTAAGTATATATATATATATATATATTAATTTTTCTCACTCGCATTCTTCACAAACTCTCAAACACATATCCTATCGAAGCCTAACTGGAAACCTTGGGCCTGCGACGTCGTGCTGGCCACTTTTCCTCAACTATTAGGCTTCCCCTTGTTATAACGTTCCTCTCACTCTCATTCTCGCATTCACACTTCTTAAAAATATTCTAAACCTACGCTGAAAATTCACAAACTACAGTACTTACATTTGCAAATCTTTGTAATGATAGGTCCATAATTTTGCCAGCGGTGATTGTTGACGGTCTCTGAGCTCTCACCATAAATAGTAACATTAAACGACTATTAGCTGGTTTCAGAAGATACCAAATTGAATTGTATGTTGCTTTATAAATTGACGTACTCTAAAAATGGGAGAAGAAATTCTTTATAATTCAGCCGTCACTGTTCTTTCTTACGTAGATTACAACATTTGATATTGTTCGTACAATTATTTACTCAAGTACAGTTGGCCCATCACGTTCATACCAAGCTCCACCAAACTAAAGGTATAGTGCAACTCCGACAACTTGGAAGACTTCCCACAAACTGAAAAGTCGGAGGGACAAGCGGACTCTTCCATTCACAATATTCGGGCCGCCTCGATCTTCAACACATGGTCGGCATTGGCCGCGAGGTAGTAACAAAGGACAAAAGCGAAATTGGATGCGACGGAGTGAGATGTAACGATAGAGAACGAAGTTGGCGGAACTATGAACTTTGATCTCTATCGTTACTCTCCGGCCGAGAAGTGTTGACGGCTATTCATATAAAGTAGGTTTGTGGAATCCAATAAAATGAAACGAACAAAGATTAAATTCAAAGTACCATCCGCTCCGGTACTGTTCGAGCTTCATTGTTTGCAGTGGCAAATTGAAAACAAATACTCTCAAACTCAACGCCAATCTAAAATATTTGAAAACAAGATTTTTTAAAGATTTTGTTCTTGAAGTGAAGTTAGGGAGACAAGGGGACTCTTCCACTCACGATGCTTCGCCTGTCTCGATTTTCGACGCATAGACATCATTGGTGCGCAGCAATAACACAGGACGGAAACAATACCAAATACGACAGAGTGAGGCGTAACTATACAAAAGAAAATTCTCTATTTACGTCTTACCCGAACGTCGTGAGTGGAAGAGTCTCTCTGCCCCTCTGACTTTTCAGCTTGTAGTTAGTCAGTCAAATCGTCGGAAGTGCACTGTAACAGTGCACAGGGGCAAAGGAACTCTTCCACTCACGACGCTCGCACTGCTTCGGCTTTCGACGCCTGGCCATTATTAGCGCGCGACAGTAACAAAGGGCGGAAGCGAAACCGAATGCGATGAAGTGAGACGTAACCGATAGAAAACAAAATTCTCTATAGCTCTGTTTCACTCCATTGCAATCCGTCTCGCTTCCTCCTTTGTTACTGCCGCGCGGCCAATAACGATCATGCGCCGAAGACTGAGGCGGCCCGAGCTTCGTGAGTGGAAGAGTCCCCTTGCCCCTATGCACTTTTAGAATGAGGGTCGACGGGGCTAACGTGGGAGGCGTATAGTATACACCTTTGTCTTGAATAACAGTCCTTTGTTGTTAGGTAGGTGAACATACTTTTGTACAAAAATCAGGTCTGAAGCGGTTAAAGAAACTTTGGTCTCTTTGAATCAGTGAATCAGTGTCTATATACTCACGAAAATTCCACTGGGATTTAATAATATTATAGTAGAATGCAGGAAAACCATTTAGACGGAAATGATGAATAATAATTTTAAATATATTGGAAGAAAATAATTCACGCGGAAGATCGAAAACTGGTTCAAAAGCTAAAAAAATACAGTAGTGAAGCCTCCGCGTCCCCGGGATTATCGCACTTACATCTCACTCCGTCGCATTCTGTACAGTCTACTTTCTGCGTCACGCGGCTCGACGAATAACATCAACTGTTGTTTTGTAGCTACTGACGCGAGCATCCTGAGTAGAAGAGTCCCCTTACCTCTGTGACTTTTTAGTTTGATGAAACTCGGCGTGGACGTGGCGAGCCAATTGTACATGCTAACCTTAGTGCTAAGGTATTCTCCAGCGACACAGAAAACGAATGCCTCTGATGCAATGCAAATGTAAAAGAATAATATTTTTATCATTATTTTTATTTTCTGATCGGACTCAAACGACTGCAATAACAAATTACATAATAGACATATTAACGAACTTACGCAAATGGTCCTTACAAATATTGTTACTTGTTGTAATCGTTAGTTGACTACTTAATTTCAAATACGACTGTCACGTAAGATGTTGTTCTATATGCAAAAATGAATTGAAAATGTGTAATACAATGTTTTCGTACTACCATGTACAACAAACTTAAATGCACTTTACAAAAACTAGTGTAATTACAATTAAGCATTTAGGAATCAATTTAATTTAGTACAATTATGCGGGAGGTGACTTATTTTTAAAAATAGATTGAAATTTTGTTCTTATAATGATAATGATGACAATAATAACATATACATTGATATAAATACAGAGTTCGACTTGGATAATGCAATTTAGTCTGATTTGAATATAGGATTTCGTTTCTAAGAAAATTAAATTTTCATATTGTTACACTCTTTTCTACACATTTTACTTAAGTTTATTTGAGACATCATTTCACTCTTTAGTTACATCATGATATAGATACAGATGCAAATTGCTTACAGTTAGTAAAGAAAAATTATTTGAAAAACGTAATGTTCAAGATTCTTACTTACTACCACAACTAGAAAACCCACACCACATATACTAAACGTGTTGCATAATATTTGCATTAAAGCAACATACGAGAATAGACTGTCAATGTATGTTGTAAAGTTAATAATCTTCTGGTGTCTGGTAACCAAATATTTGACAGCACTATTTGACAAACTGTGCTCTTTATTATCGGGAGATATTTCTGCCAGCGTCTGATGTATCACTTCTACCTGTCCACCAACGTGTAGTATCTGAAGGTTCATAATAATAATAGTAATAATAATAATAATAATAATAATAATAAATATATAAACAATTTGATACCAACACTGTAGTAATTACAAATTGAAATAATCATAATAAAATAATTAATTATCACGATAATTAAAAATATATCGCGTAATTACCTTAATTATAAATTGAAATAATCATAATAAAACTGAATATGCAGGATTATAGATGTAAATAATAACAACAACAACATCGACGAATAATAATAATAACAATAATAATAGAAAGAAATACGCGTAATTACAATAAATCGAAAGTCAAGGAACAAGAAAAATTCAACTGAAAATTCTTAGAGTTTGAACACTTACCATTGCAATCATTAGGCAATCTATTGTACCAATGGCGCAAGCTACCGACATTAATTGAATTGCTTGTCCGATCATTACGTATCGGTACGCCGCTTCATTATAAGTGAATGGAAGTTTCATTTTCATTACCAAATCTGTCAAATCAATGTCAGAATCACCACCGCCAATATTAAAAAAGACATTAACGTACACGCCGCTGTACAAAAGAACTGCTATAACGTATATAGCTAAAATTAACTGAGAGCAGCGATTCGACATGTGAACCTTTTCTTTCATAGTCTTTATATTATCCTTCGTAAGAGAAGCATTAGTCCAATCAGCAGCAATTGAAGCTAACGCGTCGTTAAATATTCTGTAAAAATAGTGTTTTCAACAGATCAAGCACGCGAGTAACCAACTATCACGGTAGAATTGTTTATACAACAATATTAAAACATTATATTATAGTATTATTGGGTTATTATTGTTATTATTATTATATTACACTATTTTTCCCTATAATTAATTCTATATTGTTCTATCAAGCACGGCAGATATGCTTTCTACTTCAACAGAATAGCCTTGAAAGGCGGAGCCCAGCTGACCTGTGACACGAGGAGGGGAACCAACAGTTGCTGCGCATTTCATGCGACGCTGTCATATTGTGAGACATAGTTCACTGTTTTTTTCTCTTCTAAATCAACTACAACTCTTTTAGCTACCGATAATATAAATATCTTCGACTATTGGACACATTTTACAACTTGATATTTAAAAGTTTTCACAGCATTTTTTTTTTCTTTAAGATTATTAATCGTACGCAATTAATTCTTCCTATAATTTAATAAAAAAGAAACGTACTTATTAAGGAAATTTGAACTTCTCGGCAAATTGATAGACGACTTTTTATTTTGCACGTCAGTTCCGTAAAGATGAGAATCTTTAAGTTTTGACAAAAGTGTAATTTATTATTGTAAAACAATGTTTATGGAATGCAAAGTATGAAAACTCATTTCTATGAATTTAGTTTAACTTGTAGTAATTTGATTTATTATAAATTATAATTATCTTCATTTATACCGCGGTGATCGCGGAAAGTATTTATGAAAATAGGCTGAGAGATATGGTATTTTAATAACATAAAGATTCAAAGTTGAATTTATTCAAGTGTACTATAACAAGTGCCGCATATAATGCAACTGTATAATCATCATTATATTCGAATCTGTTACATGCAATGATTGATAAACTATTCACGGCGAACTGTTGCCGTATAGTCGACGTTTGGTGCAAACGCAAATCGTTCACGTCTCATTGCGCCTGGCAACATTGAATAGATTCCAATAATTCGATGGCATTGAAATGTTTACGACAGGCTCATAAAATATGTTGCTTTGAACCCACCTACACCTAGTCTACAATAACATATAACATGATGAACTTGTCAGTCAACTCTATGACGTTTTACATATAATCACAATTCTATTTCATTGTCTCAATATCTCTCTCGCTCGCTCTCTCTCTCTCTCTCTCTCTCTTTTTATTTACATATATAAATATAAACGTAAATTAAACTTCATCGTAATGTAATATTATTCATCCTAATACAATACCCGTGGTATTACTTATTTTCTATACGCAAGCATGCAAAATTAAGGTGTCGCTAAATTTTTGATGAAAAATTGCCGATATTTTGATTGGATTATTTGTCAGGAATGATTTCACATTATGTTGTGGGTAGAAAAACAAAGGTAAATACTTCCTCTTTCTAAAAATTACATAAATTCAAGGAGGTTTACGATCATTCATCGATTTAAGACCAAAACAAGAGTATGAACATAACAATTAAGTCTCCCTTTTACACAGTCCCCTTAATCCTTATTCTGTCATCAGGATAATACGTCTCAGAGGGTAATCAGTATATTCGATTGGGCAAAAAAGTCGCTTGAATCGCTCCGTTGTCCACTTTTGGATCACAGCAATTTTGGATCTATTTCATTAACGAAATCAATTGCTTAATTTAGAGGTGGGGATTATTCTATCGTTTGCTCATTCTGTTACAATTTACGTCTGGTTATTCGTTTCAACGTAATTTCGTCCCAAAGTGAAATAGAGAAAATTTCGGTAGCCTAAGGGTTAAAACTTCGATGTACAACGAAAATATTTCTTCTAAATTTTAGCATCGCCGCTTACCCGCGTTTAGTCCAGAAGGTGAACAGTTTGAAACAGAGCAGGCTGTACGGTAAAGTGGTGCTCACGCACTCCACCAGTTCAACGAAACTATTAGAATCGAAGTGGTTTTTTATGTAGGAATATTGAAAAACTTGTACCGGACACATTACTGCGCACCATGCGAGGCGAAATACGTTTTCATAAGGCCACGGCCAGATTCCAGTTATTCGCAGGCCGATTCGTATCGGTCGGCTGATAATGTCTTTGGACGTCATTCCATGCGAAGATTTCGATTATTTCGAATATTTAAGTCCCATTAAAACAAAGTATACTGCGGGGCCGTTGTTTTATTGTAATATACCGATATTATACGCTATTGTGGTACTATTATATACCGATCACATGCGACCGACCAAGAACAATGAACTGAGGTGTCTTCAAGACAGCATGATACTACTTATTGCGCATCGGATATATTTCCATAAAATATTTAATACCAAAACGGAAGTTGGAACGTAGAATGCGCAAGCACACCGCACGATTAAAAGTAAAGGAAAAGTTCAGCTGTTATTTTTTCTATCTGAATTCAAAATCGCGAAGCTCACCAGCTGCGCATTCTCGGGCGATTTTCTATAATGTAAGGGATTGGAATACCGAACAACTATAACAGAACTCATAGTGAATACAGCTTTGCTGATAACAAGTATTGCTACGTAAGAACAAATCGCAAAGCAGTATATAGGAAGAATGTCTAGGAGTATCGGGTCCGTGCGTGAAAGGATATAAGGTACTTAGACCGCTCCGCTTGTGGCCATTTTAAGAATTTCCTTGAGTTTCAACGCGTCTGATTTTGAAAACGTTACACAGAAAAAGAGTGCGAGTTTCAATTAATTACACTGTGTTTTTAATCTTATAATAGAACTTATTTTTAAATAAGAACGTTATTGAATAATGAAGTTAAAAAGTAGTAAGTGATATGTGTTTTACTATTTCCAATTTCTAGCCACCTGCACGCTAGATTCGGTGCTAGTTTCGAAGATTTACAATTAAAAAGGATACATATTAGGAATAGTAATTTGAGAAATTACTTTATTATGCTTCATTATATGGAAATTAACATATCATGGTGTAACTATTATATCTTAATATGTCTTTTATAAGTTTTAAACGAGTTTAAAATGAATTTAGCTTTTTTGCTTTGCGTGTTTGTTTTGTTTGTCTGATCTTTCTTGTCCTCCATCTTTTTCTACAATTTTATTTGTTTTTCTTGCACAGTGGCTTCCAAAGTGTTCATTATATGAAGTCAATCGTAAAATATCGTTTTGATGTGTAAAATTAAACTCCAGACAATTATATAATTATATTTCTGTTAGACGTTCAACTCCTTACTTATTTCCAATACATCCTGTATATGTAATACATCAATTTCCTTAAATTCTGTGGTTTTATTTTAACAACTGACTACGTATTGTTAATAATTAATCACTCTTTTAACTTATTTATGATATTCAGTTTTTCACGTAACGTTTTCTATCGTACATTAGAAACAATCATTTACAGTAATTTTTTTAGGAATTTGTAGTACATGTTAAAAAAAATTAATTACAAAATATTCATTACATTCAAGATTTTCTAATATTACGAGAATCTCAGTTACATTGTATTTTACACATATTTATATACCATATAAACTAAATTAATATTTAATCAACAACATACAATTAATATAGTGACGATTGAGCGAAAAGAAACAAAACAAAAGAAAGATCTTGGAATTATATGCACTTCTCTACATAGGATGTCCCACGGAACTGGACCCAACTATATCTTTGAAAAGTTGGAAACGAACAAATTTCAAACATAACATTATTATCATGTTTTGCAGAGGATGAAAAACTGCATCGATTAATGTATGCAAAATTAGAGTGTTACTTTAAAAAAAAAGTGCAACTTACACCTTGCAATTGCAACGATATATGAAAACGCATAAAAATTTCATAAGAATATGTAACGTTTAGTAACATTTAATTTTGTCCTATGACATCTTTCTCTATATCCAAACCTTTCAAAGATACAGTTGGGCCCAGTTCCGTGGAACACTCTGTATAATCGCGTAACTAATCCCGTACCGGAAGCTTATAGGAAGGGAAAATGGTGTATTACATATGTACAATTACTTAATATCATTAAAATATCCGCCGAATGTAAATATTATTATTTTTAATGAACTCTCATTTACATCTCCTCATTAATAGTACTTCTTTAATTCCCTGAAGTATATTCTATAGTGAAACATTTCTCCAGATATTTTTGTGCATTATAAATATTTATAATAGATTGAATATCATTAAAAGAATTGGTGCTCTCAAAGGAAAAGCTAAATACAAATAAAAATGGATGTATGAAAGGTTTAAGGTATATCACATGACATTATAAATTTTAATAATTTTTATTCATATATGTAGATAAATCAGAATACAGTTTGAATTGCGTGTATAACAATAAAAAATACGTATAAAATTTGTTTAAATATATGAAAGACATACATTGTTTGGAAAAGAACACATACGTGTATATTTTGAATTATGTTACATAAATATGTAATTGGTCGAATATATCAGATTCACTAGATAAAACAAAACATAAATGTCTGGATTTTTGTTCCACGACCACTTTTATTAGTTGCCGAGTTGCTTCTGTTTTCTGAATGCACGCGAGGAATTCGCCATTGGCTTTCTCCATAAGATGAGCTGAATAGCAATCACACGTTATAAACGACGACAAAGCAGAGTATTAAGAGTGAATACCTTATAAAAAAAATTATAAATTGGCAGTGTCTACTTCGCAATAAATGTCGACCATTTCGTTCCTTTGAAACAAATAAGAAATTTAGCAATAACATTAAACTATTAATTTTACTTCCTTTTCATATTTCTTTTTGTTTCAAATGATAATTATAAAAATTTATTTCTATCACATTTGTGGGTATATAGAAATTTAAGATTTATATACATACGTATATAAAACGATATTTTATTGTACAAATCATACCTTCACCCAATACTTACAAAGTAAGATACTATTCAATGATTTGTACTAACAAACTTTTTGTATGCTCGAAAATTTGTAGACTTTCTTATATTTAATAATTGACGACTGGATTTATAATCGTTTATATAGACTTTGAACAAATGTAAAAAAATATAATCTAAGTGTATAACTTTTTAAAACATTCAACAATTTCCAATTGTAATTTACATCCCATTGTAAGCTGGACCACCACCGCCTTCCGGTACAACCCAATTAACATTTTGACTAGGATCTTTGATATCACATGTTTTACAATGGATACAATTTTGAGCATTTATTTGCAATCTTTCTCCTTCTCCGGATTCAAGTGGCACGAATTCATAAACACCTGTAACAAATAACAACAAAATTATAAATATTACTTATATATTATATATATTATTATTTATTACTTATTTAGATAACAATGGAATATTATAATTAATCGATGTTATAATTACTACTATTATTATATAACACTAAAAATACTGCAGTACCTGATATTTCTGTATAATCAATAATTTTAATTTTCATCATTATTACGGAAATATACGAATAAACGTATTTTAACTGTAACAATGGTTAAACTGTTTAAATTAATAATAATAAACACTATTAATCCTCTACAGCAAAAAAAGAATTTAGAATCATAATGAAAAAAATAATTAAAAACCACTTTACATTCCTAAACAACTGAAAATTATTTTCTTATCGAGAATGAAACCATAAGGATATAAAATAAAAAATATATAACCTTGTATGAATTTTAAAAATTATGATGCCAAATAAAAGTATTCAAATTTTTTTAATTATTTATTTAATTAATTTTCTTTTGTCTCTGCAGTTATTAAACAACGTTTTCCAGTTCCTCGTTTAAACAATATTAAATATAATTGAGTTCTTTTTGGCTGGCTAACTTTCAACTTTTTTTTATCAAGTTCTAAATTCACTTTTGACAGAGAATTATCGGGGGTTTATTCCGAAGGTCAAATTTTGCCCTCTGCGCCAGACAGTCGATAACCTGTTCCCTTCCACTTTCCAGACATTCGAATTGTCCTGTAGGAAAACAACTCCCCATCGAGCTCCTCCCCGTTTCCCCGACGACCGATCCTGGGGAAAGCAAGAGGCTGCTCCACCAGGGAAATAAAAAGAAGGCAGGGTGCAGTAAATATCAAAGGTGGTGGGAGGGCGGTAAGCATGGCAGACATATAAATTTCTTTCGCTTGTGAACGTACTGCTCATATTGAATTTATCTCGCGAATAATGAATGATCACTAATACTTAAGCTAATTTCTAATCTATTACCATTCATAAAAATCCTCATTTTCTAAGATTGTTTCACAAAAATCAAAATCAAAAACTTTATTTCATGAATTCCAAACTTCGTTAAATTGAATATAAAAAAAATACTTGATTGGTTATCGCGGTAGTCATACTTTTTGATTTAACATATTTTGCAAGTTTGTATATTTTATGCTAATGTCGGCTTAATGTCGTCATAATGCTGTGTACGCAATTGTTCTGAGGAAAACTGAAATACTTCGTTAAATTTCCGTTAAGTTCATTTACAAAAATGTGCGGAGATATTTTATTTTCCCAAAATTACTCATCATTTGCATGCAAGAGATTAATTAAATGAAATGTGCAAGTTTAGTGATAAATATTACACAGTCAAAATTTACATTTTTCGAAGAAGATCGAAAGGAAAAATTCTGCGGAAAGGTTGTTGGCCGCAGCTACGCGCACCCTGAATTCGGGACTTATGCTTGGTCGAGGGTAGTCTAGCCATGAGGGGTGCCCGGATGGCTCAAGTTCAAGGACACATCGGTCGATAAACCCAGACGAGATTCGTGGAGGGAGAAGAAAGAAGCGAAAGATAGGAGAGGGTGATATGTACAGAAAGAAAATGTGAATGAAAATGGAGGGTGCTTAATCGAATATGCAGAAAAAATCTTGAACATATATAGATATTGCTAATGGATGTTAAATTGATCACAGGCATTTCGTTCCCTAATGTAAAACGCAATTTATCATCGGTATTTCTCATGAAATGAACTTATATCAAGCATACCAATAAGCAAAACATTATTTGTCTACAAGTTCGTAAATATAAAAAACAAATGAACATTTAATAATTTGATTACAGACTTAAACAAATTGCCAGGCAACATTAAAAGTTAAAGTTACAAAATTGTTATTGAGATACAATACATCATAAATAAGTTGTACTTGAAATAAAGAAATTACTTGTATTTGCTGAATATATCAGTAGAATACCTTCAAAAATGTTTATAATAAGTAGATATGCTGCATTTCATCATAAATTGTAAGCATACATGAAACTAGTTAATGATAGTATTCATACTTGTATAAATAGTTTATACAACCTAATGAAAATATATAATTCATCTAGATATATTGTACACAAAATATAAATAAAAAAGAAAGTAAAAATAGAGATGAATAGAGATGTTAGTGCAAAGATTTATCACGCAAGTCTTTATTCTTGACTTACCTTAAGTGTCTGACCATTACTTGCTCTTTCCACTTCCATTTACATGAATTTATACATAACGATAGTGATGTTTTATAACAATTTGATTTGGGTTAAGAATTAGTAAATAATTTACTTAATAGGAAACTGATAATACTGTATTATTATAAGCGGCCATTACAAGTATTTTTAAATTATTGAACTTTTTTACTGCACCATTTTAGTAATGGCTTTTTCAAGTGTCCATTAAATGGAAATTTATCTTATTCTTTTAAAGATACTAAAGAGTGACTAAAAATACAATTGAAAGAACTCATTTATAAAACAGGTATTTATTCCTTATAAGACTTTTAGTTTCATGGGTAGTCGAAGTTATTTTTAAAACTCAGCACATAGTTCTTCAAGAAACACATTCTTGATAAGCTGAATTATAAATTTTATGCAATTATTATGGAAAGATTACATATTAATAATAAAATTCTAAATAAACAGCGTGAATACGTGAAAAATATGTTAATTTCTTTACTTTTGTCTTTATCCTATAATAAATTTCTAATAAAGCAGAATTAATAGATATTGAATACATTACTCACCAGCAGGGCAAAATCGACTTTCTGGTCCAGCATAAACTTCTAAATTTCTTTTTACTGGTATAGTGTCATCCAGTAAAGTAAGATGAGGAGGCTGATCAGCTTCATGATTCGTACCTGTAAGTGCTACTGAAGATAATAAATCGAAAGATATTTTATTATCTGGTTTTGGATATTCTATTGGTGTACATTCAGATGCCGGTTTCAACTTTTTGTAATCTGAACCTAAAAATGGCATAATAACAATAATTATAATAATAATTAAAATAGTAATAATAGTAACAATAATAATTGAACTTCTCACTTTAAATTAAATTGTATTCAAAATTATCTTACCTCCGTGAGATAGAGTCCAAGGCTCTCTTCCACCAGTCAACATAGTAAATCCAGAGTATATTATACCTCCATAGAGTCCAAGACTTGTATGAAAACTTGGCCTTACATTCCTGACAGCTTTTAATTCTTTATAAACCCAACTATTTTTTAGTTTGTCCGTATAAGTTTTTGGTTCTAAACCTTTGGTTGATGAAGAATTGTTTTCCTCATCAATAATAGCTTCTATAACACTCTCTGCTGCAAGCATACCACTTTTCATAGCATTATGTGTTCCTTTAACTTTCGGAACGTTAAGGAATCCTGCTGTGCAACCAACTAGACACCCACCAGGGAACTGAAGTTTAGGTATAGACTGAAAGCCTCCTTCAACTAAGGCTCTTGCACCATACGCTATTCTAATATTCGAATTATAAATATAAAAACAGAATATGAAAAACAGAATTTGCAAAGTATAATAATCTACCTTTTCCCTCCATCAAGTATGGCTTCAATACTTGGATGATGCTTAAATCTTTGAAATTCTTTGAATGGATGTAAATAAGGATTCGAATAATCTAATCCAACAACAAAGCCTATAGCAATAAGAGGTGCATCTTCATTAAGATGATATAAGAACGAACCACCGTAAGTGTTCTTCTTCAGTGGCCAACCAACTGTATGTTCAACAGTACCGGGTTTATGATGTTTTGGATCAATTTCCCAAACCTATGATAAGAAATATGTCTACTCCAAATATTTTAAACGTATAATGATAATAATATACATTAATTTAATATTATTACTACTAATTACCTCTTTCAGCCCTATACCATAAGTTTGAGGCTCACAGTCCTTTCTCAGATTTAATTTCTTTGAAACTTGCTTTGTAAGATGCCCATGACAACCCTCTGCAAAAATTGTACACTTTGCATGTAGTTCCATTCCTCGTTCAAAATTATCCTTTGGAGAACCATCTTTAGCAATACCAACATCATTTGTAGCTATTCCTTTAACAGATCCATCTTCGTGATAAAGCACCTCTGCTGCAGCATATCCAGGATATAATTCTACACCTGCAGCTTCAGCTTGTTCTCCAAGCCAAGCTACAACATGGCCTAATCTGTATAAAATAATAACTAAGAAAAAAACAGTCTAAAAAGTACATTTACAATAGGATTATCTTTACCATCACTGTAATGTATTACCTAACAACATAGTTTCCATGATTATACATTGGCATTCCTCTTAAAATTGGTATAGATATTCTGCTTTTTTCTGTAAGAAGTGCAAATTTGTCATGTGTAACAGGTGCATTCAAAGGTGCTCCCAATTCTTTCCAATTTGGGAAAAGTTCATTTAAAGCAATCGGATCCAAACAAGCTCCACTGAGAATATGACCTCCAATAGTGGAAGCCTTCTCAACAACGGTCACTCTGAGTTCTTTTCCATGTTTTTCAGCTAGTCTACGAGCTTGAATAGCAGCAGATAATCCAGCAGGTCCACCACCAACAATTAATATGTCAGTTTCATCTACATACCTCTCCATATTTACATCTATCAAATACATTCAATATTTTAAATACATGATTTATTAAATCAATTATACATAATAGTCACATTCATGAAATGGTAGATATATATATATACCATTCCATCTTGGGTCGGTTTCTCTGGGAACAATTGTATAATGTGAAGTAATTTTTGGAAATTTTTCTTGTGAGTATCTCCTTTGAAAAATCCATTGCAACCTCTGTACTGCCAACAGAAATTAATGTGGTTTGAATGGAATAATAACATGTAATTACTTTTATAACATCTAACAAAAACTTGTCTACTATAAAAGCATATTTTAAATAATCCCAGAAAAGTTTACACACGTATAATATATATGCAAATATTGATATTCATAAATATCAAATTATTTTCAATAAAAGTAAACACTCATTTGTTTTTTACTTATCACATATGATCTGACAGTTCCGTGTAGGCAATAACAGCTGAGAAAACAAATGACTTCTAACCTCGCAGCACAATTCTATTCTGTCTGACCATGATTTAAATTTTCTACTTAGTTCGATACGTGTGTATTTTAAAATTGTATTAAAATATTTGATATGTTAAAAGATTTTTCCCAAAATGACACTACAATTTTACACGCACAGATACGTACATATCTATATCGCAAGACCAAAGTTCACTTTAAATGATATCATAAAATAAACATTTTATATAATTAACCAGTTAAAAAAACGTATTTAATAAAGTCTAAAATATAAATTTTATTAAAATATTTCTGTTGAGAAAATATTATACTTACTTGACTTTTTATATAACTAAACTTTATAAATTCTTAAAAATAATATATATTGTAACATGCACCACGAAACTGAGTAATAATATTTAATCAATCTATACGTATATTTATTCATTTAGAATGTATTAATATGTATGCGTATAAATGGTACACATATGTAAAATATTAATGCCACAGAATAATAATATAATAAATCATTTTCTTTCAAATTTTGATTTATCTTCATTCTGACATAGTTTGGATGACCAACAATTTACTGTCGATGACTTTGTTATTACAAACACTTGACAAACTTGCCATTAATCGACAAATAACATTTCAATTTATATAAGATAAATAATATTCTTAACTTACGAACTTACGGCTATTTGATGAATTAATTAATGCTCGAGCCATAATTGTACATCAATAATAAAAGGAAACTGTATTCCCAATATTTCCGACACAGACTTAAAATTCTAACAGATGTTTCATAGATTGGAATGTTCAGTCTATAAATGTCAGACTTAAGTCTGCGATTTAAGCTGGTACCGTTCTATCACAAATGAGATATGTAGACTCATAAGTGTGTGCAAGATGTACAAGAGGTAGGTTGTCTGTGGTTCTGTCCAAATAGAGTTTGGTACTACGTTAGAGCACCAACGTGAAACATAATAGACTGGACATCCAATGTAAATGTTTGTTACGCGGCTGCGATGTTACGTGTTCCCTTACTATTTTTGCATCACTTACAACCTTACCAACAGAGTGTAAATAAATAGAAATAAATAAATAAAACTCGTGTTCTTGTTTATTTTCTTGTCTCAATATAAAATATTTCTCATCTTCGAACACGAAGACCTATAAGATTATCGATGACTTCGTATCCGATCACCTGAAATATCTATCGTCTAGAAAAACTGCACAAATTGCTCTATCGCGTGTCGATAAGTTAGATCCCTAAACAACACTGTGTAGTCGATAAGTTAACCACCCATGGACCGAATTTTATTTGGTGATTATAACAAAATTTATGTAGCATGAAATTAATAAATATCGATATATGAACACAAATTAACAGTGTATTCAAGAGTTTTAATAATTTTATTAAAACGAATATATTTTGTAACTTTGAAGTTACAATGATGTTAAAGGTAAACGCCTGTGCGTACAAAAGTTTAAGTTGATTAATTATTTAATGTCATTCGTCATTTTGCAATAAAAAATTAAATAAATCAATTTAACCCAGTATATTGATGTGTGACTTCAAAGTCACACGGGTCTGTGGAGGGTTAATTCTACACTTCAAATTTCTCGCTTTTATCTTTCCTTGCACTCTCACACACACATACACACACACACACACACTTAGAACACACGCATTCTTCGCCCGATTACTAAAACTAAACATCCGTTCGACGCATTGTCCCAAACACTTCACAGGCACGCAGTTCCACACCGCACACACGCATTCATACACGCAACTCATCACGCTCGGCCACCTCACATATATTTTGATGGAAAATATAAAATCTGCGTTTAAAAAATCAGAGAATTTTATTCAAACTTTGTTTTTAAATTTTACAATTGTCTCTTTATAAAAGAAGTAAATCGATAAGCTATATAAAATAATTTATGTTCTTTATAATCATACATTTCAGAAGTTCGTATATAACATGGTATAATACTTTTATATCCGCTCTCAGAAGTAATTATTTGACGATAACTTTTTCTTTACAAATTTAAAATTTAGATATACAAGGACATCCCAAGGCACGCAACACCAGTTTCTATCGACACACATAATAGCATCAATTGAAATGCAACACATCTGTTACTATAAATAGCAATTTTCTATACATACTTTCTCGTAATCATTTAACAACATCGTTTCCCTCTTCGGTTTTCTCTATGCTATAAGCAGATTAATTCAAGACACATCTCTATTTCTCGTTCGTTTTATAAAAATTAATAAAAACACAGCCCAAAATAAAAGTTCTTTGATAAAGAGATGAGTAATTTCGATAAGCGCAAATTAAGACTCACTGTTTGTAATTAATTTCTCATAACAGAGCAGTGTCACTGTACGTGTAATATTTATAATTTTATAATTGTTATTATCATAATTATATTATAATTTTTTATAATTTACTCTTCAGCACAGAAAACCATGAAAACCAAACGGAGGTATTTCTTTCCTTATCATAAATTCCACACGAATTCGATTACGAGTATAATGTTTTTTCTATCCACTCCTCCATTGAAAATGTAGCCGTATTAGTCGTATCGGGATCTCGTTCCCTAAAAATGTCTACAGAAGAAATTATTTTGGAGTTGTAGAGCACAGACTGGATTAATTAAAAATCAATCGTTTACCTATCATTGTCTTTAGCCGTACTGCACACATTATGTAGTCGTCGAAGGTGACCATACCGTCTTTCGTTCCGTAACGGTGGACCAAAATATTTAAAATATGATTATTGAGTCGATACCCAGCACTGTTCAACGCTTGTCGCAATTCGAACGCACTTAAGTATCCTGACTCATCTTTGTCGTACAATTTGTACACCGCCTAAAAGAAAATATTGTAATAGCTTTATATTGATATCTTTCAACTAAAAGTGCGAGAGTACGATTAAAATTTGTTTTAAAAGTATCGTATATTAAGTATAATTAACGTGCCGTACCGAAATATAATGCCTATTCCTTACAACCCTTTGAACATAGGTAAATATTTTAATGCGATACAAACATTTCAATAACAACTCAAGATTAAGACATGTATGAATAAAGACTTTTATCTGTTTTGAAAAATATTTCATATTGTTTAATAATTTTTAAGAAACTGTATCATATTAGTTCGTAATTTAACATTTATAACATATGCTTCCTTAATGAATTTATGATACATGAAATATCAACATTATGGGGAAAACCCTGTATCTCATATTTTTGTATTAATTGCCTAGGCCTTCAACTTTCATTCCATAAAAGAACCACGATTGGAAGTTCAAATTTTGGGCTAAATTTCTTTTTTTCACAATACAATTAACTTACCCTCCACTTCCTTATATCATTCCACAAAGTTTTGAATTCTTCGAATCCGAGTTTACCAGAATGATCGACATCCAACATGGCAACCATGCTGCGGCAAACATCTTTACTGAATCCTCTATCGTTCGTTTCTGAAATTCGAGAGAAACACTTCCAACTATCACATTTGTCCGATATTACACATTTCTACTTTATAACAAACACGTGTCTCTGAGAACATGAAATTCTGAAATTATAAGCAGCGCAAAGGTATTAAGGGATTATCGTCATGATTTGCAATTGGCAACACCATAAATGTGAACATACTACAAACGAACAACACTAGACCATGTTAACGAAATTATAGTCAACTATATGAAAGGTTTATGCATAATTCAATCAAGATTTAGTGAATTATTTTCAAGCGAATTTGTTAATTGTTTCTGTCTTCGTTCTGCCGAGGGGCATGCACAAGAGGTTCCATATCAAAATTCTTCTTAATTATGTTACTGATATTTATGCAATTTTTGTATGTTAAATTACAAAACCGGAATCGAATAAACATTGATTTGTTTCTGAAAATTGAATTCGAATATTCGATACATTCACATGACAAAGGTTTCGACGCACACAAGGTACTCAGCAAAATTGAGGAAATTTCTAAAAACGACGAAAACCACCCCAGTCGAAGGTCAATAACAAATATACACTCACAGAGAATATTCAAATTCGATTTTCTTAAAAAAGGAGTTACATTGCTTAATATCTTTTGCATATAAAATTACCACCTGTCTAGGTGTACCACTTTCTTTCGAACCACCTTGAATTTCATTTCGAAGCTTACTTATAATACTCGTGATTTACGCCACTAGGTATTCTCATTAAAAAGAAAAAAACGAGAAAAAAAATGAAGCAATGAAAATGTATAAAAATTATAAACGTTTCGAATTATGAAAGTACAGGCAATTATAAAGTTAATACAAATTTTAATATTACCACCTTTGTTAATAAAAGTGCTGCTTACTCTAAACAAATATAAAAATCGTATAAAATTTATAAGTTGATTATTACGTTAAAGTAAAATATATAAATTGAATTTGTCTAATACAAATTCCAAATAAAGCTACTGCATCATAAAGATACAAAGAAATTTTTTGTATTTGACGTAAATCATAGTGACAGTTTTAATGTACAACAGTTTCATCTGATAAATAAACACTTTCGTTCTTCATTAAGTTATAAGTAAATTTCACTGTCACATATTGAGATTTAGATCCTGCAGATTCCTTTATCCCTGAACGGAGTATTCAGTAGTAAGTACAGTTTCCCCATCTTAACGTCGCGCAACTTACAATCAAGAAGCTGGGCAAGGATAAAAATGAGACGCTAAGATTGCCAAAGCGCGACGTTACGGGGGAACACCGTAGTTAATAAGTTACATACGATTGGATGACCCGATGAAGTATGTAGTATATACTAGATGATGCCTTACCTACGGGCTTATTGTACTGTTCATTATTACAAAAAACGCCGCACAGCAGTGAGATGAGTGTGTCGATAAAGGAACCATATCCTTGTACAGATTCTGTGGCATGAGCCTCACTACGACCCGTCGATTGTGGTAGTTCTACCCGCAACATACAGCTACATGTTAACATTAAATTATACATACGTACACTCGGGTCGTGTCGACGATGGTATACATTTGAAAATCAGCTTTCTGTTTGCAGGTTGACTAATAATTTTCTTTTATCAACTCATGCTGACAAATATCGTCTGCCAGGAAAGATTTTTATATAGTTACGTTGATATTACAAATATTCAGAATAGTTTTAATTTAATTTACAACATTATTTTCATTTTACTTTAAAATAAAATTTTCCTTCTATATATGATACTTACAAAATTAAAGCGTCTTTTTTTAGGATAAAAATTTATATGTTACAAAACTGTTGACAAAGCAAATGAATTTCATTGAACATTAACATTTTTGTCTATACTTTAATTACGAATCTGTAAAGCGTACATGTGAAATTTTTACGAATTATGTGATGATTGTTAATTTAATAATATTCTGATTGATCAACTGCTTGTTTATTGCTGTTAATTAAAATTTTAATGTACACTGAGAACATTAAATTTTTACTCCAAGTAGCTTTGTTAATTTTAATATGGACGGTTATGCAATATCCGGAGAGTTTTCGATTCGCGTAGCGACCCAAATATATTTATGTATTACGTACGAATGTAAAGAGAGAGAAGATGATGATGCACAATAACGAAGTGCAGATACTAGTGCAATAACATTCACGCAATAATTGATTCACAGTGCAGACAAATTAATATAATTGGTGCAGTAACAGACATCTGAAACCGGGAGTGTCATTTGCGCGTGTATTGTAAAGTATTCGAAGTGAGTAATTAATTATTAAGAAGCGTAATTATAGAAATTATGCTGAATCAATAACCATAAACAATACTTTAAGAAGCATGAAACAATACATTAAGAAGCATAAAACTTACAGAAAAAGCTTTTGAATAGTAAGCAAACACGGGAACGAAAACAAATTTGCATTACGTACATCAAATTCTAGTACTTATACTGAAAGTGTAAATCTCAATTATACATACTAACCGCATTTATGCAACATATAAACATAATATTTGTAAACATGATTCATTAATTACATGTATATTGGGTCTGTACATATGAAATTACTAATCGCGAACAATGTAAGATCCGCTACACATTGTCGATTATAGTTTGTATCAGCGATTACTAATAAGTGTACATATTGAAGTAACATTTACTGATTTTTATGAAATTTTAATGATTATTTGATTATTTAATTATTTCTTATAATAAAGGATGCATTCTACCTTTTCATTATTTTTTAAAGCACTTTGTAATTACAGGAAACATTGAACAGTTTCCCGAAAATCATCAATTATTGCAGAAGAAACTATTTTCATTAAGTAAGTTAGAAAGAAAAAAATATTTTTATTCACTCGAATGAAAGATCTATGTGAAAGAGCAGTTTCATATGCACCAACCTAACAGTTTTAAAAAACAAAATTGAAGTGCGGTTAATATGAATAATTTAAACGAAGATCAATCATACCTTTTCTCATTGCAAAATCTAAGATTTCCTTGAGCTCCATCCAATCTACCTCCATATCATCACCAGCAAGCTTCTTGAAAAATTCTCGAACCTTATCAGCGTTTCTGTCTGGTTCTGGATCACTTGGAACCTTAACAATAAATGAAAATAAAAAAAGGTAAGAAAAGTAGAATGAATTAGTATTATTTACAAAGTTATTTTTATTATAGTTAAAAAGCACAAACACTGAAGTATGTAAATATTAATGTGCATCTGTTTTACCTTGCCTCCATCTTCGCGTTCCTTATTACCATTAGGATTAATCACCTAGAATGCAAGCAGTGTGAACATGCGAATTATTGTGATTAATTGACAAGAGTCCATGGTTATCCACTTTAGAATTCAGGTTCATTATAGGACAATTACAAATATTTATGACTACATACACAATCACTCTACTGAAACTAATACTTAGAAAGCATTATAAAAGCATAACGCATGTTAGACAGACGTGACATCAACATGTTAAAAGATTGTCCCAAAAATGTATTTATTTTTTAAAGACTATAATATTTAACCTTTATTCTAATTTGTCTAATATATAATAACTTTCTTACAATGCTCAGTGTCATCGCACGGATTGTCAATTGCATCTGAATTAATTTTTGGAACAATCTACGTGAATCGACAGTATAAATAGATTCAATATATTTAGTATGCATTTTGCACTACTACTTGTTACTTTCGCGAGTGATCAAACTCTGTTTACAGTGCAGACAGTGCACACTTTCGTTAATATATTTTATCGTGAATATTGTACAGAAATGTGCGTTCTAATAAGAAAATATCTTACCCTATCATCGATTTCTCCAATACCAACTTCTTCATCATTTTCTCTGAAAGATACAATGTTAAAATAAATATCATACTTTGTACAACTCGGCTTAATCGAATAGGATATACACTTACTCCATGTTATTTTTATTTTCAGAGAAAATTCGAAGCAAGAATTCACCTTCCTCGTTAGGGTCGAATGTACTTGGCACTATACAATATACTCCAGGTGGCAATTTAAAACGGCATGTAACTTCTCGCAAATTTATAAATGCTGGCGATCTAGCCACTGAAGCGTTGTATTTGAAGAAGTTGATGTCTAATGGCTTGGGCAACCGTTCAGGATACTCTAACTGTATATTTAAATAGTTGCAATATACATCAACATTGTTTACTACTTGTTCACTACTCCATTAGCACGATTGCTTCCGAATAATTTTCTTCATTTACAAGAACTTGTTGATCATCGTTTAGTGAAACTTAAATGTTTAAATTATCAATACTCACATGGTATATTGCAAATCCAATAGTGAGACACTCAGCTCCCATCCTTCTTTGTGCTCGTCTATTCTTTTGCATCAAGGCAACAATCACTGTACACTTGTCGTCATCTTCATCGGGATACTCCAATGTGATTCGATATTGTGGATTATGCCAGAAAGTTTCTGAATATATTATATTCATTTGCAAAAAATATTATATGAAAAATATTGCAAATAATTAAAGACACGCTGAGGCAGTTAAAGTATTTACCCAAAAAGTTCCTGCAACCTCCAGCTGTGACGCCTCGTACCCATTCTCCTTCGAACACGCTCATTTCCCACTTCTTTTTACCAGCGTCTAACTCGGCCTCAGCTAACGAGTCCGGGTTTAAGTTACATATTTCTAACTGCGTGAAGTATCGTGTGAAGTCCTGGAACGACATCCAGAATTCACCGTCCATGTCAAAGGTCAGGCCTAACTCTTCTTTCTCATGGTCGGGTATGAATCTCCATTCCGGTGACCTGTTAAACGAATTATGTGTTAACTCGATGAAATATGTCTTGAAAGACTTACATCATGGCATATAATTTTTCGCAAAATAATCTACGGTACATCGGTGTCCTGGTTTAACTCTTGAATAATTAACTTCAATATTAACTTTCATATTGTTATGAGATGCATCGATTTTCTTTTTAAATTTAATATAATAAATAGACAACTTGAAGTAATTATAAGAAGGTGAAGTGTTAAATAAAGTGTGAAAATTTGAATGAAAATAGTAATATTTTTTTTCATTAGAAAGCGTATACTTTTCTCTTGCATCTTGAAATATGTGTTGAAGTTCATTCAAATATATTGTATTCAATGTAGTGAATCATCGATATTGATAAACTCTCTCTTATTATCCTAAATGGTAACTTACTGATCGCTCCAAGGACCATTCCATTCCGCCTCGTTTCCCCAAGGATTCCTAAGCCTAAGCAAGGGTATTTTACCATACTGATTCGGTGTTTGTATTTCCACGTATTTCACTCGAGTAATACTGTATGCGTGGCCCCTGATTAGTCCTTGAGGCGTTTCCGCCTCCAATACATTTGGATCAGGCTAAAATAGTAACACGTTTTATTTACTCGCTGGCTGGACAAACATTAACAATCGACATGTGCACATTTATTACAAATGTGAACAATTTTCGAACGTTTTATGTGTAGATAATGTACGGTTTATATTTAAAAATATTCATATGCTTTGATCAAATGAAAATTCATTAGTAAATGAATCAATGATAGTTATCACAAGTTCATTTCCGGCAGTGCCATTAAAAATTACGTAGACTACGTAACGATATAAGATAAAAAACAAAGTCTAATTATAAACATACATTAATAAGCTCGTAAATAATGATAAACATACATATAAGCAAATAAAAATAAAATGATAATAATAAGCAGATAAATATTCAGATTAAACGACAATATTTTATTTCCTGTTCTCATCTATAAATAAAACTAGACTACAACATAGTATAATTCAAGCATCATCAGAGTTTAAATAAGTAAAATTCAACGACTATTACAATCCAATAATTATAAAAATAGTGCAAGCCCAATTACGATGGAAAGAATATATTGGTATAGTTACCCTTTATAAAAGTCATTTATACAATATATTTATTTATATTTTAATTCACACAAATGTACGTAAACTCTATAGACAACATTAGTATTTTTTAATCAATTTCGAATCACCACTTTCAGATATTCCAACACAAAAAGGAATTAACTTACACGATTTTCACAAGAAACGGTCTATGTGTAAATATACTGTTCGTTCAATTTTACCTCTATCGAGCAACCCATCAGCGAGCTCCTTTCGTAAGCCTTTAACAAAATACTGTACAGATTCGGCGGGGTATCGTCCATTTGGTACATTTCCGTGACACCACCCGTGAAGTCTTCCATCGCTTCGCAAGTGGTACCACCTTTCAATGCCTCGTACGAGCCATGGAGCTTCGCATAGGCTTTCTCCAAAAGGGCGCTCCAAAACTCGTTACTCTCAGCCGATCGCAGGTACATTAATTCGCCGTGATAAGTCGGCAACCTGTCGTCGACCACCACGTCCACCCACCTACCATACTGCCAGAACCTGATTTACATTGATAACAAAAAAATTAAGTTGTCTAGATATATTCATAATTTTCCAATGAAACAATAATTAAATTTTCGACTGTATTATATGGAAATAATATACGAATCAAGGGATAGAACTGTTGTATTTCAGTATCTCATGTATGTCAAATCAAATGGCAATCGTGAGTCACCTCTCGAGTGCAAGGGGTTAAATCAGTAGGAGTTCTTTGATTTTAAATATTAAATTAAAATATTCCTATTAAACACGCCTCTCACCAGAAAGTCCCGAACGATTAGAACAGGAAAATTAATTTCATATTCGAATCAGCTGCTCCATATACGTTTCTCTGATACAAATGGGTTTCTCCGTACCTGAAGTGGAAAATACCAGCGTAATTTTCCTCGAAGCTCTGATCTTCTGGTACTACTTGGAAAAATAAGTTTGAATCCATGGTAAGATTCGCAACAGCTGCGAGCAACCAACAGTCTCCTAATTCACCCTGCTGGACATCGAACCTGGAGAAACCCTCCACAAATAGCTGAGGGTTGTCTGCGATTTCCTGTAGTAAAGAACGTGCAAATAGCATCTTCAGATAAACTCTTTGATCACTTGTTTTTAAAATGGTAGTCCTTAACACTAGGTTCACGGAACGCTTCAGTGTGACGCATATTGAATTTGACCTAATGTTAAACAGGATTTCTGATATTTTTATTTCAATCCTCGTAAATATTCATAAAGAGTAATTAACATGTAATTAACATCAACCGAAGGAAACTACAATTTTCCCACATTAACGTCGCGTTTTGACGATTTTTTAACATCATATTTCTATCCACATTATTCTGTATGATACCCAATGGTGGAGAGGTTTCCAAAGAAGAGAAATACAATGGGACCTCAATTAATCGAATCACTATTTTTTGGTATTTAAATCGTCCGGAGTCTTGATTATCTATAAACTCAATACTTTGGATCTTTGGATTATACCTCAGGGTATACAGTATCTAAATATTATGGCGCACAAATGAAATAGTGAATAGAACTCACTAAATTGATTGTAAGTGAAAAACCCTAGTATACCCTGGACAGAAAAATACAAATCTCAACGGTATCCGAGATAAAAATAAGTTTTATCTTAACAAAAATGTGTTAGAACCGAATGGAAAACACGTAATTATCGCGAAATACTTATAAACCTTTATTGATCACTGTAAATAATTAATTTAAAGTTTCTTACCATTGGCCTCTTCCATTCTATATATCTGTCAGGTCTTTTTGAGAAAAACAAGGACGAGTCTTCTGCCGGAAACTCGGGGTCTTCGAAAAGCGTGCCTGTCGTAAGACATTCTCGCCTGAGTGTGTTGAAATCTTGAACAGCACCTCGCGGTCTAAAGCCAGACCCTTTCTCCCCTAACTAAAAAAGAATTCACATTTCCTCGTCAACAATTGCACTAACACCATATTTAAAAATCGATCAAATCATTTTTCCATCGAAATAATTTTGATCGATGAGAGTAGCATACATTGTAACATCGTTTCCCGATGAAATTATTCCTAGTTTTTATAGGCTTATCGTTGTACAGTTTCTTTTCAACTCGAAGTTTCGGCTGAATATTTATGCCTTCTTTATTCAAACCATGTGTTTTCAAGTTCGGCAAAATTTGAACTTGCGAAACATTATGAACCGTTTCCTTCTCTAAAACACTTATAGTTTTTCTCTTGTTATATTCGGAGATTTGTGGTAATTGTAAAGTCGCGACACCGTCTTGAATGTAATTTGTGAAACGATAATTCGTGTATTTACGACGCTGTTCCATCTCAGTATCTTAGAACATAGACAGCAAGTGACAGACAGCAAAACTGAACTTAGAAAATTATTTGCTAAGTTCTATATTAATATTGATTTCTTCAGATGTTCCATGAATTCTATTGTTAAAACTGAACTATTCACAGCCGCGTATGGAACTGTACTGTTATAACAATCTTCGATTAAACTTATCTATTGCGGTACTACATTACTATGGCCGGAAGTATACTAACCACATGTAGTTTAGATTGTAAGGTATCGTCACATTTGTTAAAGATAGGAACAAAATCCTTGCAATTACAGATAAACGATAACAAAATTTAAGCTGCCAGAAAGCATTATTGCTTTTACTGATAGCATTTTTGCAAGGATTAGAGAATATTATATATAAATTAAAAAACTTTATGATACCAAGGTAATAATTTCTTATTGCCAAAAGGTGCTAATCAATAATTAGTTTAAATCGTATAAATCATCTTTTATATATCCGTAATAAAATATATTTAAAGTATTTGATACTTTCAGTACATTGTTTTAATGTAAATAATACTTAACCCTTGTCCTACTGATACTGGGTTATTTTTCAACGTGGATATTATAGGAAAAAGATATTTGAAAAATGATTATTTAAATAATAAATGATAGCAATGATTTTTCTGCGAACTATTTCAACAGTTGGATATCAGATAAAATACTTTCCCATGCTCTTATGACAACATTGTAGGCTGGCCACGAACTTAGACACATATAACTCAAGATTAAGTTTGTAAACACTTTGACTCATCATTTTACGGTGGGATTATTTTATATTTCGTTTGAACGAATTGATTCAATTTAAAATTATTTGCGAGTAGCTTTGATTAATTTCAGAACAAAATTGAATTATTTCATTTTATTATTTTTAATGTTTCTATTAAACTTCCTCATTCCTTTTTACAGTTACTATTTAATTTTTCGCGATGTGCACTTTATATTGCAACTGTTATTTTTATAACTTTCTTACATTCCTATAAGATTTACATAATAATACCTTATAAATATTTTTGATACCTAAACAACCCAAAAATTGATCGTTTCCTACCATTCTCCTTTAATATTTTTGTAAAATTCTGATGTGCATAGATAAATATTCATAATGTGGTACGAATGTCATACTTGAGAAAATTCCAAGGTTCAACTGGATGTTCATTTGCCACAGCCAAGTAGTAAATTCGCCGAAATGAAGGGAAAACACACAAGAGTGAGTCAGGAAACCCAAGAAATAACAATTTCAGAAGTTAACAGATTGAAATAGAAGGGAAATTACCAGACTAGAGGAAACAAATCCTAGAATTACTGTTACAGAAATAGCGGTACAAACGAAAAGTGAACATAGTACCTTATAATTATTCAGGGATTTCCGAAAAATACTGGAAACGATTCAAGAGTACCAAGAGGAAAGATGTTGAATAGATAACATAGCTAAAGGAAGAGATTAAATATTCGAAAGATGTATTTGTACGAAAACTTCAAATTTTGTGGAAAACAGAACATGTTAGTAAGTTGAAATAAAAAAGTTTTACAGGTCAATTTTAAATCGACAGAGTGGACGTTCTTGCCTTGGATGATTGTCTCAATGCACGTGCGATGAATGAATAAAGCGTCCAGTGACGCATGCAATGAGTATTTTGTTCAATCATAATTCTAGCAAACATTTCGCATGGGATAGAGAATGCGTGTACATAGATCCAAGTGCTACAACCAGAGTCAGCGCAACGATCCTATCGTCATCGTACTTAATAATGATCACTTGTCATTCTTACTAAATGTATCAGTGCCTTTGAATGAACATTAACAACATTCTGTACAATCTATAGAAAACTTTGTTAATGAATATTAACAATATTCAGTACTGGACGGATTTAAAACTCTGTTAATAAACATTAACAATGTATTATACGATCTCTTTTAAAATGTTGTTAATATATATTAACAATATTGTATACAATCCATTTAAACTCAGATAAATTCTCAATTTTACTGAAGGTGTTCACATTGTTCATAATAAATTTATCACAAGGGAATAATTTTAATGTCATAAACAAGAAAAATTACATTGTTAAACGTACATTTTATGTTACAATAATCAATGAATTACTTTTGTAGATATTTGTAAGCTGAATGTGAACTTGCAAATCATTCTTCAACACGTACAATTTTCGAAATACCAAAACCTGCTAGAGAAAGAGGGTTTTTCGAAGTATATTTCGTTCGAAAAGTTAGTATTGAATTTTGTAACATGAAAAAAAATTAAAATTTGTTGAAGAATATAACTTACACTACTGTTTATAATCACAATCAATTATTTAAGTAATAATACCATAGTAATTAACTAATCGTATTCTCATTAATATTAACTCATTTACATAGTTGTAATAACGATTATTATCTATTATTTTCAATTTTTTGAAGAATTGAAGAATCAGAACCCTCAGAATCAGTATAATCGAATTACTTTAATCAGATCTTCAATTAATTCAATTATACTGATTCTGAGGGTCAATTTTCAAGGGTAACTGCGAATGAGTTCGTATGAATGAACCACTTAACTCGAAATTTCAGGAAGGCAACTTCCTATTTCAATAAATGTGATGTTGCGATAGGCCATGAATGTATGACGAAATGTGTTGGTGAAAATACGTAACCGCAAATACTTTGTTTACATTAGAAAGGGATGATTGTCACTCAGAAATCTGGAACATTGCCAATACATGTTATTATTAGAATATCAATTTTGTTTATCTATTAATTTTCTATTCGCGCCCATTGATTATTTAAAGAGTGAACTACGCGTATTCCTATTTAGGAATAAATATGAAATAACGAATTTTCTTAATATAATTTTATTTTCGATTCCACCTAATTCAACCAATGCCTGTAATAGTTATCCGCACAGTAACAAGAATTAAAAAATTATTGGAAAGAAGTTAATTTTACATTTCATTATTTAGGTTATTTTCAATAATACAATTTGTTAGTAGATTCTTCATTGAGAAATGTCTAACAAATTTTATACATACGGGATCAATTTCAGTATGATGAAAAAATAACCAAAAACACGATATAATCAAAAAACATTCTTTTATTTATTAATGATATTTACAAATATATTCTTTTAGAATACAAAAATTAAAATTTACATATCGTCTAGAATATATTCACCAAGTTATTAGTTTTCTTATATTGCACATAAGAAAATATGTACATGAGTTTAAAAATTATTCTTCATTATTGGATATCTTAGACAAAATAATATTAGAATAGATGGCATAGCAAGATTATGAATGAAATTCTCGATAAAAATTTACAAATGGAATTACCTTTAAAATTGTATTCGCTACTTTATTTGTTTTACAGATCAATCTCAGCTTATCCAATATTTGTTATGCAAGATAAAACATTACGTATTATTTATGCAAGGCTCGTCACACTTCAATATTTATATAAAAAGGGTAAATATGTACAAAGTGATACAATTAAATGGTTCACTCTCCGTTTGTCGCTTCAGAGATACATTTCTAATTATACTTTTTATTGCATTTCTCGCAATCCTTCATGCTACAATAAAGAATGTTTTTTGATTTCAATAGAATTTTCTTCGTCATAAACCAAAATCCTATTCTTACGTCGTCATGAAACGAGATTACACATATGAACATTTATTTTATCAGGTTGGCAATTAACTATTTACACTATTTGCACTTGAAATTTCGAAATCAATTAATGGTTTAATTAGGATTACGTTATTTGAATGAATACCAAAGATGAATTTTGTAGGAAGAATGCGTACAGACTTTTGCGCGCTAACATATCCAGAAATAGTGAGTGTTTCATCTGGTAAATTGGCATTATGAGATTACGAGTAGCAAGAAATTAAACACATCAAACGTAGTAATGACTCAATAGATGCTGTTAAAAAACAGTAATTCGTAATTACTAACCATTTCCGCGACACCTGCATTCTTCTAGTATTTTATATAAGCTGCCTATTGTCTTTAGCGTAAGTTAAGTTTTTTCCATAATTATGGTGCAGCTCGTAATAATTTTTTTAATACCTTTTTTAATGCTTCAAAGAATTACTGATTATTTCAACATTCAAAGCAAAAGGGGGAGAGAACATTACTTACGGGATAATTTTATACTTTTTTCGTACAGTTCGATGCAATTATACTGATACACTATAAATAATTATCTTCCATAAAATTTAGAAAGCCATTATTATACTATGACACGAGTCGATATTAATAGATATCGACATTTACTTTACTTGCCTTAAAACTGACATCATCGAAATATTCGACGTATTTCGAAATATTACAACGAATTATTCTGAATATTTTTAATAATAGGTCTCCTCGATATTTTATGCTTCAACTAAAAAAGGCGACAAAGTTAAAACGATTTTAAAAATGTGATATATTATCGCCATTTCACCAATTTACATCATAAAATATTTATTTTTATACGAACGATAAGGGTAAACGTACTGATTAAGAATCTTCTTATTGGTAATTTTTTTGTTTTAATTCCCTGGGAACTCCAATCACTTATCCCAACGAGATACAATTTTTATACATGCGTTTTTTACGGGAGAGACAAAAACAAAAAGCAACATAAAAAATTATCATTTAAAAAGAAGCCATAGAAGTTACTAAATTTTGAAACGTCCACAGAGGAATGCGCGTTTAAAGATCTATTTTAATCAAAAGATTTTAGAAACTTAAATCTTCTTCTCTTCGAGATAGTATTCTTCAATTTTAGCACTACTATTCGATACATTTGATCAATGACAATATTTTAATACGTTGGCTGCCATGTTATCCAAATTCGGATGGCACGTACAATTGTGAATGGGCTACGTCAATCATACGTGGGTAACACTCGACTGATCTCGGCCGATAGAATTATGCATAGATATTTCGAAAGATAGTCGACAAAATATAATAGAAATATTATCCATTGTCACTTATTAATAGTATTATTATGAAAGGATATATATTATTAATATTAATATGTAATTATTCATAGTAATATTATTAAAGGACATATATTAAGAAAGGTAGTTAACAATAACGCAAATATTACGAACCTAAAGGTTAACAGTACGCAAATGTAGTGTATATTATCCTGACGAACGTATTAGCAAAGATTTTGACAAAAGTATGTTGATAAAGGTACGCTGATGAAGATATATTAACGATGGATGTTGTTATTATCTATATGCCTTATGGAATCTAGCGTGTCATTAAGTGAAACTAAAATGTAGTAGGAATTCATACTAAACATTGGTAAAGCTTAGAGAGACTGACATTTTATAAGAGTTGGAGTTTATATAGAATATTTTTTCGATATTAATAGTACACCAACCAGCGATCCGTTTTAGATTCAGCACAAAGTATGTCTTTTGATTTTTTCGACTTGAATAGACGCGGCGAACAATCGAGCACATGGTTGCAAAATAGAAAGATGGGAACTTGGGCCAGGTGTTCAGTAGGTAACTGAAAAATTGTGCTATGCTATAATAAAAAGCGTGCTGCAGTTTTAACACTAGTAAGGTTTTGTGCTACACTCGAAATGTGTGTCACAGAACAATTTTTATAGCTTTTACCGATTAAACCAAATTCTATTTGAATTTACGAATTGCGAGAAGGTTAAATAAGTAATTGCCACGGTAATTCTAAACTTTTATTCTAGTTTATTAAATAAATTAGTTGGAGTTTTGGAGATTTTTATGGACGTTGATTCAGCCGTTAATATGTTAAAACAAATGAAGATCATGGATGTAATGTTAGGTCAGAAGTCGAAGAGATTACGCGAATGAAAAATCTAATCATCATTGATTAAGAATTTTTTTTATTTTTCGATTCGGATGGAAACAAGTGAAGTTTCTCTTTATTCATTCATTGTTCATTGTTTTCATAAAAAGTATGTGAACATTGTCTTTTAGTCCGTAAAATAATCCCTTAAATTTCAAATGCAGGTGTTCAAGAATGGTAAACATGCAGTGGGTAGATAATACAGAATGAACTTGTAAGATTTATTCGGATATTCATGGAAGTATTATTTATGTCAAACAAGTTTCAAAAGTGAAAATCCACTTTTATTAGCTTCAAAGAAGTCATTTTGCATTACTCGAGAAGACCGCCATCATAGAAATCTCAGACTTAGCTCAAGGTCGTTGCGCATATCTTAACCCTTTCACAGTATACTAAACTGGCACAAAACGTACTGAAAAAGTACATACTTCTTATTTTGTCTAAATTGTGTTTCCAGAATAACTTTATAGCAGTTCTACCGACAAATGTATAATGAAAACGTAAATTTGCATAAACATCTGCACATTAAATTTTCCCGGAAATAATTTTTGCGAACGACAATAGAAGTACATTTGATACTGCTTTCAGAGACAATTTCGCAATGTTGTGAAAAATCAATAACCCTTTTATTCAGATACAATATAACAAACCGAAATTCGTTATTTTATCAAAAATAAGAGATTAACCTAAAAAGGTAAATAATCCTATATACAATGCATAATCCATGTTTCTTTGATAATATTAAATATTTTTGCGTATTTCGTCCAGGTAACAATGTGAAAGAGTTATATTCAATCTCCAATACCGTCACTAAAGAAATAAACGTTTTTAATTTAAGACACTGTAGAAATGCCTAAGGCTTAGGTCACAGCGAGGTCGGTTTAAATCTCGCTGCATCGACGAAAGCCGGTCTTCAGGTGAGCAATGTGACGAGTCTACTGCATTTTATCTACCAACTATACCAAACTGCGAGTTAACACAGCGCAAATGGAGAAGGCATGTAAAATTAGCTCGAGCTAACGTGTCTAAAACACGTACCACTTTAATGTTGAAAAGCGACGGGAGGAACCGTTTCACCTCAACGGCCGCCTTGACGAAAATGTCATCCAGCGGAGCTGAGCCCCCGTCACCGTAGTAACTCATCTTTCACGTGGACTACGCCCTGATAGTTTTTCTAATCGCGATCACCACTATCTCACCCACGATCTAAGTCGAGAATATTGACGCGAGATTAGAACGACACTTCGCTTCGATTAAAGCCGTGTTCGGCGTATGGGTCCGTGTCACGTGTCACTGAACGCGGCGAAAAGTTTCAGCTGCCATCGATGAAATTCGAAGGAGACGCGAACCTGATCTTCCACAGGATTCCACGCCACGGATATAGAACCGTTACGTTGTCAAGTCTGGAGCCACGAGCTGAGCTCATTCTCCCATTACCCTCACCCATGTCTCGTCACGCGGCCTAGCCGAACAGGCGCGCCATTAATGCATCAGCGTTCATTCTCCTCGATTTTTCAACGACAAATGTCAGTCGTCGCATACCAGAAAGAACAAATTGAATACAATCCAGCGCGTGGCTACGTTTTAATATAATTTCGCGGTCTCACAATGCTCACGTTTCGGTGTGTACATAAAGCGCCGGTATAAACAAGATCGACTGAACTCGGCTGCCCTCTGCTAAATGCAAGTGCTGCTGTTTCCTAACCTCCTAGTGTACATAAAGCTGAACATTTGTGGGTTTGCGCAATCTTTCTTTTATCTTCTGTGTCCTGAATATTAACATTCTTGTTTATATTATTACTTTTGTTATTATAAATATATCAAGATTAAATAACCTATGAGCTGAGCATAAATGGTTTTTACTGGCCAGAACATAAATGTACCTAGTGATACTGTAAATTAAAATAAATTACAACAAAATTTAAATATAATAGGATAATTGATGGTAACGCTTTCATAAGAATGCTACCATAGATGGTATTATTAGATAGATTGAATAGATTGAATAGAAGTAATTGATACCATGTTATCATTTGTCTGACAAAAGAAATATAAATATTTCTATACCACTTTTTCCTAAAATAAATGTGCATCAGACATAGAATTAAAAACAGTGAATTCAAACAAAAATTAAAAATAGTAGCTGCTAACCGTTTTCAACACATGATAATTGAACGCATGCCACGTTTTGGAACGTCTCTTCGGTTATTCTGAAGACCCTGTTTTTGGATTCGCTAAAAATGTCTAGCACGAATCCAAAAATGGCGAATATTGCGGTAAATGTACTATAGTAAAGTCATAATTATAAATCGTGAATTATTTAAATACGCGCAGCGAAGCCGTCTACATAAAATGAAAGTTGTCAGCTGTTTGCTATCTATGACGAAACACGCGATAAGATGCGCAGTAGCGTTGAGCATAAGGTACTCCTAAAAAAATGACTCTACACACTCAAAGGATAATTGCTTCTCCGCCTATAAACGTTTCTTTCAGAATAAAGTAAAAACGATACAGCCTTGACGTTTATTAACCTCTTAAAAATATATCGTCGCATGATTAATCCAATTTCAGTTAGATCTTTGTGCGAAACGGTTATCTTCGATCCGTCGGTGTATGTACATACAGGGTATATATAACAGAAGGCGCACGCACCATCTGTGATGCGCGACACGATTTAATTTAAGCGCGCAGTTTCAAATTCCAGTAACGTCCTTGTGTTCCAAGTTCCAATTGCCGTGATTACATAATAAACGCGTTACCCGAGCATCAATTATTCGGTCCCGAACACGAGTAACGGAAAGACACGGAGAACCTGAGTTCACGCTTAACGATCGTCATATTTAGAGCACAACAGATACTCACTTCCGCTTTCTTCGCTTCCTGCCGTACGAATTGGGGTTCAACCACTTCTGGTTTCCATCCGTATGATTGAAAATGGTTCATTTTGATTTAACCGTGTTAGCGGCGTACCCAGGATTCTGAAACGTCCCACTGCGTTAGAGCCTCGAGCAGCAGGAACTAGGCATCTAAGCTTTCTTCGGCCGAGTCCGATTGAAAACAAATGTAATGACCGGTAATTGTTCGGTTAACAACGACTTCCTTCGACATTAATCGCGAACGAAAGTAGCAATCTGTTCCGTAGCACTTGGCGCGCGTCCTTCTAGGAGATCGACACCTGACGCACTGCCACGAATTTTCAAAATGTTCCCATTATTCGTACGCGATTCGCCTACTCTGCCGCCGCTTGATAGCAAGGAAATTCCCTGGCCTCTGGCTACGTCACGAATCGAACTTGTATCGTTGAACTTTCCGGGTAGCTCGGACGTTCGTCAGACAACGTTGACGCGGATGACAAACGACTATGTGACTGATTCAACGGCGTCTACTTTAATATCTGTTAGTTATGTATACAGTGCGCCACGTGATATAGTTCACCAGCAGTATACTGTTGTTTTTGTTGCGGTTTCGTAACCGCTTTAGTCACCGTTCACGTGGCCAATATTCAATTAAATGGAGAAATCGTTGTTGTTATCGCAACAACGTTCGATCCGCGGTTCGGATTTTGATTTTTCTTGAATACCTTTTCTTTGAAGCATAAATTGATAATAGCCAAAATGGCGCATGTTGTACTTCTGCGAGAATTTAAGTTTCCATGTCTTTTTTTGAAGTAATCTTTGTTTGAAATCGTATTAGTTAGGTTGCGACTCCATTGTTTACTGGAAACAGGATTTTGAATTCATTTTCTAAATGGACTTAGATGCGAAGCGTGTATTTAAAATGGGGCGTGTCTCGTCTAGAAACTTTAATGTGTTAAGAATTTAATTAAACGAGAAGGCTTGGCAGTAGAATATCTTGCTTTCATCATTAATTTTCTAATCACTGGAAAAAGGAGATATGGCACTCATGAAGATTATGAAATTTTTATGCAATATGATTCACGAGACTAATTTTTTAATTTATAGTTTAATTAATTAATTAATTTAGTTTCTGAATAATTTGAATTCTGTGATATGCCCCTTTTTCGGACAGCAATTTGTATAAGACTTTGTTTATTTATCGTGAACGTTTATTATATATTGCTGAAATTGCAATGAACTGGATATACTGCGTGAGAAATCATTTTTTTTTATCATAGATGAATACGCGCATGGGTAATCCATGTTCTACTTTTTTTACTTATATTGATCCTTTCTACATTCAGAGACTACAGTTAAAATAGAACGCTTATGCGATATTTATACAATTGTGATATTTAAATGTTATATTTTAGAAACAAAAACTGGTAAACAACATAAACTGATTTTCTAACTATGATCCGATGCATATTAAATAAATCATTGACGTTACTATATTTAACGAATTTTCTTGAGAAGGATTTTTTTGAGAACGAAATGTTTATATGTGAAAAATTTCGTTTTTTTAATGTATAACGTGGAAAGCTCCATTTCATACGTTTTTAATGACTTTTCCCGTTATAATATTAAGACTGAAGATACCGGACCATTAAAGGAGATAAACGAAAGTGGGTTTCGTCCGTTGTGTCACGGTTTCCGGGCGTGACCCCCAGATTCACCTTGTTGTATTACCTTGACGTTCACCCAAATACCGGTTTCAGAATCTTACACTAATTTTCGAATTTTTTCAACCGTACCATATTTGTACATCTTTACATTTTGTTTCTCGAATCATCTAACAAATCATCTATGACAATTATTTGCTGATACATTATTCTGTAATAAATCCCTATCTTGTTTGCACTAAGTTTATCATCAATAGCATTAACATTGGAACCACCGTATATTAAAAATGATTTATATGTAACTTGTAAAAATTGTAATTTTACATTTTTTAAGTTCTTGTGAAGCATTCACTGCCATTTACAAGTGAAAATATTAATTTTTTAAATAACTTTAAGATATAAACACCTTTGTGATTTGAATAATTGCAAAGTAAGGTAACTGAAATTAGTCATCTTGACAAATCTGATATTTCTACTATTAAAAAGGATAAACATGGGAAAAATAATTAAATATATCAGTTAAGATTATTTAAGGCTTAAGTTACTCCGATACTTGGATGTATTCTATAGTCATTATCGTTTAAAGATTAATATTATAATTTTGTAAGTTTCGCATGAATCCTATGCAATATTCAATAATTAAAAAATTTTATTTATTTGACTAAGTTTCCTATTCATTTTTCATTTCCTTAAATGCGTGCGCAGTGCGTCAAATGTCTATACGGACGTAAAGATCTGCTGCCAACGTGCTTAAACAGAATATTATAACAACTTTTATTTCGTTTCTAATGTTTTTATCATTTACCCTTTATTACCCTATTTTATTTAATTCAGAAAAAAAACACATAGATATATAGTAAACGCGAACAAGTCAGAAAAAGAATTATATAGATACATTCAAATAATATTATTTCATAAAAATAGTATATCTCAGAAGAATGTTTCGATACTAATAAAACTATTCAAACGTGATGATAAAATTACAATGTACGATAAAGGGTTAATCATTTTTTCCAAAATGGCACATGACTAATGTTTGTTTTAGCTAATCCTGATAACTTTTCACACGGTGTAGTCACCGAACCACGACGTATCTACTAACGTATCTTCTAAGCTGTATTGTAACGATCTGATAACAGCTGGAACGGTATGTGATACACAAACAAGAAAAATCCGTATCGATCAGAAGTTACACCCCTTTTGGGTGCATTCTACGATGTCAATGTCACTATGACGTGCGACCGTGTTCTCACCCTGTATTCTCGTTGCTCCAATTGATAAAAAAATATTGTTTTCTTCAACAACTTATTTGATTTTCATCACTAACAAACTCTCCTCGCGTGTAAAATGAATTTCTTTTTCCCGTTATCAACTTCACGGCACGTCACTTAACTGGATCAAACAAGGGCTTTTGTTAGGATTATCTGTTCTTTCATCAGAAATTCGTAAGTTTCGTAGTTCTCCCGTGAGACACGTCTTCGAAGTCGAAAGACACGCGATATACTAACCAGATATTCCCTAAAAGATGAATGCCCGAACGGGGCATCCCCCGCTCAATGGCCAACCGTGTTCGCGTCGGCGTCCCGACACAAACGAAATATACACGATACGCACAGTATAGCGTGGATTCTGTATACACATTGTACATATAGTTATTCGAAAAATTCAGCATACATATAATTATCCAGTAAGTAAAAATTTGCCAGTGAATAAATATAAGTACACTTAGTTCTGTTGTTACACGAATTTTTTTTACATGATTTCAACTTGTACTTTCGTACTTCTACTAGATTATTGCAATATCAATTATTTTTATTATAGATCTTCCGCGTGATTAATACAAAATTTCGTTTATAAATTGGAACTAAGACAAGTTCCGACGGGTAAAATATTTTCGAATTACTAAACCCCCTCATTAGAGACTCATTTTGCTCGCATATCTATTTACTTTTTTTGTACATTTATGGGAAACATGAATGAGTAAAATATAAACAGTACATTTTTCATAGATAATAATACACTTGAGTCAAGTTATAACATTCTTATTACATATCTTCTTCTTTATTATATAAAGTAAGTACACGATCAATAAGCGCTTTATCTCGAGTGCACGGTCATAAATGCAGTTCCATTCATAGCGTGTACACTTACTTTGTCAAATCAAGTAGAGGAAATGCTTGCTTAACTGGTTCTTAAATTGGTTTCCACGTTGGAAATAGTTCATAAAGTAATATAGGTGTCCTATAATTCTAAAAGAACAATTTGTTCTTTGATAGTTGAACTTTAAATACTCTTTGAATACGCGTACAGTTAACCGTAACCTGACTGATATCAATTACGTTTCATTGCTAGTGATAAGACAGGTTGCTTTTATTCCACTGACATTTCGATGTGTAAGCAATACAAACTTCGCTAATAGAATTTGATCTCTGAATGCTAAAATAACTGAAACAGATTGCATACAACGAGAAATAGCCTTGAAAGATAGAGAAAGCGAAATGTAAACATTATTTGCAAATATAGCAATATTTCTATTCCTTAATGGATAAACTGTGTTTTTAAAATGCAGTTTTTCATAATACTACCTCTATTTGAACTTTTTAAAATAATTTGTTTTAAAAACTTAAGATATAGTAAAATCTTGGCACGATAAAGTATACGTATTGATCAAAAACTTTTCTCAGTTCTTGGAAAATTTTCGGATTCGAGAGTATTGTGATACTTGGAAGTCAGAAGGCAGGAATAGTACCTATTTTTATATTTTTAAGGAGAAGCTCCATTCGGGATGTTTTCCTCTTGGCAACACACGTATCTTTCTTCTCGTCTTATCACTAACTCGGTATTTACAAAATATAAAGGAGTATATATAAATAATAAGAATACGTGATTTCTTAAATAGAAAAATAAGGATTTTTGTTATATAATATTATATTAATTTTATTACTCATTATATATAAATAAAAAATTTCATTGTTCATTATTTATTATGTATCGATTGTCTTGTTATGATATTATATACATGAATTTTAAGATTTTATAGGTGTAGTTCCTTAATTGCATTTTCATTTATTGTTGATCTTGACTCTACAAAAACTACTATGTACCTACTTAAAAACGTACAAACTAATGAATTCAATGTGAATGATGTTTAATATTCCGAATAACAAAAAGTTATTCTCGTTTTATCATAAAATCCAAAATATTTTGTGTAATTCTAATTTCATTGTAGTGTACTTTTGTAGTGTGATGAATATATTCATAGGACACCGCGCTAAAAAAATTTCAGAGGTAAAACATTATGGCAAAAATAATATAATTAATGAAAATGTATGTTGCATTTTGTTTGAAATACAGTCTGCTATTACAACTTGTCTAGTAATTCACGTGAGCAGATGTTCTGGGAACAACCGTTTGCCAGAAGAGAATAACCTACAGTTTCATAACTGCCTCTGCCGTAAATTGATGGTTTAAAATGTATTTTCAAAGAGATCGATGATCCCACTGACGTTATCGCTATTAGTTAAACAGTTTCACTATTTTCAAATTATTTATCAGATGTACTTGACGATCTTTGAATATATTTGACGAGTGCTGAAGACAAAGTATTTGGACGAAGATTTGGCACAAATTACTGTTAAATGTCATAACAGTCCATCCGATTTCTCTTATTTATCAATCACAGATGAGTAATGTCCTCAATTCTATTTTTCGTAACTTTTAAATATGGTTATATTCTCCCTCTCTTACATTTCAATTATGTTTTAAAAATAACTATTTATAAACGTTTTACTCCAGGCTAAAAAAAGAATGCTCCCCTGCAGTTTACGATCTTTTTAGACGCTCACAATTTGTAGTGTCTAAAATACCCAATACTTCGTTAGAGCATCCAGAAAAACTTCTTATCTGCGCCCCCAACTGAACGGAGCTAACGATTCCGTCGGTCTCCTGATTGCGAACAGGAACAGGAGATCACTGTTACACCATCGAAGTCGATAAACAACAATAAGGTGGACTGCTAACAGCATAAAAACGTGGCAGAAACCGCGAAAAACTGGGTAACAACCTTGGCAGTAGCCGAACTAAAAATATGAATCTGTTATGCGTTATACGCAGCGCGCGAGGGGTTCGTTTTATGTTAAAAGCTGAATTTGGCGGCGTTCCAAACAGAAGCTCTGAAAAATTCCCCTCCCTGCTGACATTGCTCGACCATCGCAAAGCGGCTCGGTTTCATTCTGTCTCTACCGAGTTCGTCTCAATGCTGTTAGGCCTCCGCGCCGAATGTACCCAGCTAAATGTTCCATAAAATCTCGTTAAAACCGACGGGAAGACAGCCGGACAAGGAGAACAAAACTTTGTTGGTGACTCCCGAGTATACTGTTGGGAGATGACTCGATGTCTAGGTGTCTAAAGGGATCTTTCGCTGAGTATGTTATTTATTGTTTTAATTGGTTACGTGTAACCATATTGGTCAATAGCAAATTAGTGTTGAAAATAAGATGAGAAAAGATAAAACCGATCGATCAGGCTCGCATTCTTTCGCCTAGCCATCAAGTGACCTGCCAACTTTACTGCATTAGGTCCTCGGGGTTCCGAAGTCTTAGAGGATGATGAGAATACGATTGTTAAGAAGCGAGCAATGAGCACGCACCTTGAAAACAGCGTTCGCTGGATGATAGATATCACCTGAACCAGAAAGTCCTCCTCTGAGCAACCGCGAGAGAAGATTATAGCGGCCATGTGTGGACCATGTGTCCCCCGGAGGTTGGAACAGGATGGGATTCCTACGAATAAATGACATTCACGTTATTTCAAACACGTAAGGCTTTTTTCTTCCCTTGTGATCCTTGGTTTGATCTTTCCTTGCACGGATGCTTCAGGGTTGAGCAATCAAGCTTTGTGGACATGTGGTTCTACGAACAAATATACGAATAGACGTGTTTGAAACTTAGTTTTGCTAACACTGTGCCATTTCACTTTTGCGTGGGTGATATAGTTCAGAAATAGAAATTAATATTAAAAAAGACTTGTTAACTAAAGAGAGATTAATTGACGTTTCACGAGGGTAAGAATTATGAGACAAACAGCGAATATGAATTTTATTACTATAGTTATTTGAGTTGCTGTAATTCAAGTAAATTCCGTGTAATTTATATTATTAGTAATTACGTAAATGAGAAAATGAGTCGTTATCAAAGGTTGAATGCCAATACGAGCGTGTTCCTTTCAATTAATAGAACTTTAATTGACACAAATGCTAAGTAAGATTACTACGAGGCAGTAGCGAATCAAAAAATCATAGCAACAATTGCTACACGCGGATCGCAACTTACCCCTTTAAAAATCTGTATGTCCTCGGTGTGTTGGTTTCGTCCACGATGGTTTTAACATAATAGTAGGAGTAATTCGACATCTCCCTAATGAAGATCCTTTGGTAAATTTAGTCACGAGCGTGTGGAACTACACCGCAGGCCTCAAGATTCTCGAAAGGGTAGCACAAACGTACTGTACGCCGCAAACTACACTCGAATTGTCGTCCATACCCCTTCCTCGTTTCATCGGTGCTCCGTTTTCACTGCCTGTCAGAAGGTTTCTTCGTTTCTGCTTATCTATATTTTTCGATGGCTGTATGCACATCGTTCGTAGCCAATAGTTGTCACGAAAATGAATAGCGCAAGAAGACAATGACAAGGAATGTCTTCTTGGTGTTCCTCAGTACAACTATTGAATAAGAAGGATCGCTTGTTCTATAAATGTACATTTATCTTTTATCAAGTACGCTCTTTGTCCTTTTGTCAAGCGGGATTGATGTAAAATATATCTAATATTTAAGGCTTCGAAGGACTTCAGAAAAACCATATATGACAAATGAAGCAAATCTTTATTTTTATTTTTATAAAAAAGAAATTTCTTCTTTTATTATGTAGATGTAAAATAAACATGTAGGTTTCTTTGATGTAAATAAATAATTCATAATTGAACAATGATTGACTGAGTACTCCTTTGTCATTATTAGCTATGTGTAATAATTACTACAGCTGGTAAAAATTCGTAAGACACAACAAAATGAGTACATTACTTCATTATTTATATTAAGGGAATATGTTAAGATTTGTGCACTGTAGTACAAGCATCTATTGTAATAAAGCTTTAAAACTAGCGAATTTAGTTACGATGTTTCATGTGACACGATAACAAATGCATGCATCGCCCACAATTAAACTATCGGAATATGTTTTAAGCAATATAATATTAACAAAAAAGAGTTTTTATTTATTCATAAGCTTGATTAGTTCTACACACATAATTTGACGTAGTTCAGAAAAGATCTGCAATATAGAATATAAAGCTGAAAAATCACCGTAACTCTTTCTATGATGACATGTTCTGTCCATAAGCATGTTCGGTCCATATGGACGCGAATAAGCAAACAAGAAGTTAACCGAAAAAAAATGAAGACTATTGATGGCTCAGGGCAGTTCCAAATTATGAAACCCAAATGTCTAGTGAAAAAAAACCGGAACCTTTGAAGTTAAAAGATCATCAAGGCTGTGTCTATGAAAAAATTTGTCTATAAGCATTCTCTATTTATAAGTACTCTTGATCAATAGGGTTGAGCTCCTCACGTTAATAAACCGATCAAAATAAAGGGCTGCTTTAGATTATGCTATTTTAAATACGAAAAGGTCGAGATTTCTGAAGTTGGAAGATTACCAGTGTTAAATCTAAGAGAATGTTTTGTTTATAAACTTGCTCTGCTTTTATTATTTTATATTTATTTCACTTATACACAATTTATCCATGGAGACCGTTTCTCACGCGGAGAAACCCTCTAGTAAGCCAGCTAAACAGAAGGGCAGACGTTTACTAGTTAAATTATAGTGTACAAAATACTCCATTCTAATTAATAAACTTAAATTCATAAAGTAATATCAAGCAGACAAAATGATACGGGGATACCAAGGATCCTCTGAAACCTAAATAAGAAATTCCCTACATGGACACATTGAGACTGAGGCTTACGTCTATGATCTATGATTAACGACACAATATGTATATAGTACATCTGGCGACATGAAATTTAACTTGTGATTCAAATAAAACTCAACAAAACAACATGGTTTTGCTTAAGCCTATTTGAAACAGGCATGATCCTATACAACAAAAAGAAAACCAATGAGATGTACATCACGTGACTAAATGTTCATTGTTGTGTTGTGTTTTGCTTTGATTTTAAGTTGAACACATGATTGGTATTCAGACAGTTCGAGTACACTACAATGTACTATAAAACGTAATAATATCAGAACGTTAGAGTGAACTATCATTTTGCCTCGTAATTGTCGTATTGTTGAAGTAAAGTAGACAATTGTTTTGACCATCAGTGTACTTATCATTGAGCCATATTGTGCGATTGCAAGATTATACTCATCTTCTACCATAACATAACCTTGTTTCCATTCTAAAAAAGTGAGTAAACTATAAATAATGAGCTATATGAAATAAACACTATATAAATAATGAAAGAAATACAAGTTTTACTGTCAATTTTTTTTAATAAAATGTTTTTATACTTTTTATTCTTTGCAATTTAAGTATAAATACATGGTGCGTTGAAAAATAGTATTTTTAATCATTTTTGTTAAATGGAAAAAATATAATAGCATGATTTCTTTATTATATTGCATTTCTCGCTATTAAATTAATATAAGTTGTAAATATCTCTGAACTTGTTTATGTACTAATAGTCATCAATTTGAGACATTAGTTTTTGACACTTTATGAGATACAACATTTATCAATGATACAATATAAATAATATAAATGTATTATATAATATAATCTACAAAGAAATGGAAATAGTTTTAGAATATTAATGTACTATACAAACAAATGTTTTCTTTTTTGTAACAGATTAAAATCATGTCTGAAGTTGAAGAAGCACCATCAGAAGCTGCAGAAGCAGCTGTTGAACCAGATGTTGTATCTGAAGAAGACAAGCAATATGTGATAGATTATGTAAAAGAGACAGAGCAACGATTAGCAACAAAAGAAGAAATTCGAGCAGCTAATTTAAATCCTAATAGACCATCAGATACATATTTTAGTAAATTAGATTCGACACTAAAACGAAACACAACATTTGTCAAAAAATTAAAAAATTTCAGCAGCATGCAATTGGATACAGTTCTAAAAGATATGATACACTTAAATTTAACAAAATATATAAGTGAAGTTGCTACTGCTTTAGTGGATGCAAAATTAAAAATGACTGATGTTGCACCTGCCATCAAAGTATGTAGCTTTTTACATCAGACATACGCAGAATTTTCAACACACTTTTTCGAAAATTGGCAAAGAATTTTATCTTTGAAAGTTGCTGATAAGATTGCAAATCCAAGTAAACTTAGAGTGGATCTAAGATTTTATGCTGAATTAGTTAATGCAGGAATTTTTACACATAAACAAAGACTGCCTTTACTTGGTTCAGCTTTAACAGTTTTAATTAACATGGATAAAGAAGAACATAATAATGCAAGTATTATACTAAGTTTTTGCAAACATTGTGGTGAAGATTATGCAGGTCTTGTGCCCAAACGAGTAAGAGAAATATCAGAAAAATTGAATATATCAATTCCTAGAAGTAAATTACTTTCACCTGATAAGCAACAAAATGTTAGACTGTTGCTAAGAGAATATTACAACTCGCTATGTAAACATTTATTAAAGGAGTACAAAGATCTTCAAGCTTTTGAAAAACAAAATCGAAAAATCTTACAAACCAGGGGCGAATTAAGTTCTGAAAGAAAAGAAAAGCTTGAGAGCCTTCAAGTATCTTATGAACGTTTGCTCAACAATGTGCAAAGTTTTTCTGACACTTTAGATGAACCCATGCCAGAACTTCCTGTTGATAGTGAAATGAAAGCAGAAGCAGAAGAAACATTAAAAATGATTAGCGAAGGAGAAGAAAATAGCATCCTTGAGGATATGTGGGGAGATGAAGAAACTAGACGATTCTATGAAGTTTTAACAGACTTAACAGTATTTCTTCCAGGATCACAGTTTAAAGAAGTACCTAAACAAGATGCACCAATAAGTGAAGAAGCTTTGGATGAAGAAATTACATTTGATGAGTTAGAAGAAACTGAAAAAGTAGATGAACCAGAAGCAGAAGTAGAAGAACCTCAGGTTGCAAACATTAGTAATAAAATACTCTTGGATGCATTCCTAACACATTTACCAAATTGCGTTAATCGTGAAATGATCGACAATGCAGCTGTTCACTTTCTAATAAATCTCAATACAAAACATAACAAAAAGAAATTAGTGAAAGCATTGTTTGGAGTATCTAGAATTCGTTTGGACTTACTACCATTTTATTCACGTTTAGCTGCTATTCTTTACCGTGTTATGCCTGATGTTGGGAACGACTTATGTTCAATGTTAAAACAGGATTTTAAATACCATGTGCGTAAAAAGGATCAAATTAATATTGAATCAAAAGTAAAAGTTGTTCGGTATATTGGTGAGCTTGTAAAATTTAAACTTTATTCGAAGATAGAAGCGTTATATTGTTTGAAAGTATTGTTGCATGATTTTACACATCACCACATCGAAATGGCATGTAACTTATTAGAAACATGCGGAAGGTACTTGTTTTGTTCTCCGGATTCACATCAAAGAACAAAAGTATATTTAGAGCAAATGATGCGTAAAAAAGCAGTCACTGCGTTAGATTCACGTTATGTAACGATAATTGAGAATGCATATTATTTTGTAAATCCACCAGAATCTACTGGTGGTGTTTCTAAAAAGGACAGACCACCGATTCATGAATTTATACGAAAATTATTGTATCAAGATCTTTCAAAAACTAATACTGATAAAGTTCTTAAGTGGATGCGTAAATTAGACTGGGAAGATGAAAATGTATCCTCTTACGCTATTAAGTGTCTCACTGCCGCGTATAATGTGAAATATTTAAATATTCGATGCGTTGGAAGTTTATTAGCAGGACTTGTTGCACATTATGAAACTATAGGTCCCCATGTAGTCGATGGTGTGTTAGAAGATATAAGACTATGCATGGAAATTAATTTACCAAAGTTTAATCAACGTCGGATTGCCATGGTTAAATATCTTGGAGAATTATATAATTATCGTATGGTAGAAAGTGGCGATATTTTTCGAACATTATATTTGTTAATTACTTTTGGAGTTAGCATGGATCATAACATACCAAGTATTCTGGATCCCCCAGATCACTTGTTTAGAATTCGACTAGTTTGTACATTATTAGAAACCTGTGGACAATATTTTAGTGGTGGTTCTAGCAAGAAAAAACTTGATTACTTTTTAATATTCTTTCAAAATTATTTCTGGTTTAAATACACAGATCCAATCTGGACTCCTGACAATCCTTTTCCTGTAGGTATAGATTATATGTATCGCGACACACTAACAATGTTAAGGCCTAAAATGCAATTATTTCAAAGTTACAAAGAAGCACAATGTGCTGTGGAAGAATTACGAATCACACTGTATCCCACTCTTGGAAATCCTATTGCAGAGGATGGTGTTGATGCCGAAACTGATATGGGTGTAATTGCTGAGGGAGATGAAGAAGTAACTGTAACATCTGGAAATGGTAGTGGAGATGCAAAAGGAGTAGCCGATTTACATTTTGAAGAATCTGAAGATTGTTCTGAAGCACAGTCAGAAGAAGAATGGACAGCTGATGCAGAAAGAGATGATACTATGGGCACACAAGAAAATACACAAGGAGATCAAAGTCTTTCAGAAGGTGGTACAGATGGTGTCCTAATGGATGTCACAGAATTAAATGCAGCATTACCAGCAGGTCCTAGAAGAGTGAGTTGTCCTGAAGATGATGACTTTTTATCCGCTCTTGATAAAATGGTTTCAGACAACATACAAGACAGAATGCGAGATTCCGTAAAGCCGCAGCAAGTAGATATTTCTGTTCCTTTGCATGTAAAAAGTACTAAAAAGACATATGAGCAACTACAAGAAAGACCTTCTGATAATAGCACGGTTGACTTTGTCCTTATGCTAAGGAAAGGCAATAAACAACAGTACAAAAATTTGGCAGTTCCGGTGTCATCAGAACTAGCAATGAATCTTCGAAATCGAGAACAAGAACAGAAAGAAGAAAAAGAACGAGTTAAAAGATTAACATTGAACATAACAGAAAGACAAGAAGAGGAAGATTATCAGGAAACAATTAATCAGAGTACAAGACCAGTGACGGTAAATTTAAATAGAGAGCGAAGACAAAAGTACAATCATCCAAAAGGTGCACCGGACGCTGATCTTATTTTTGGTCCCAAAAAGATACGATAAATTCGTTTACTTGATGTTGGAACGATATTTGTCACAATATAAAATTAAAAGTGACTTTACACAAAACTCTGAATCACTTCGTCGTATGTTTATATATATGATTTATAACATCTCACTGTTTTTTTATTTATGATCTGAAACCCACAAACGTTCTTCATATAGATCTTTAGTTCTTCGTACTTTTCATTGTAAAAAAATGTTATTTACTAAGTGTATTAAAATTGCATGAATTTGATATATATAACAATATATATCAATATGTACTTTAACATATTTCTATAAACAAAAAATATTGAACAAAGTTAATATTTTTTTTTACAATTGTTACATATAAATATTACTGTTTTCTCTTTCATTGCATAGTAAATTATACAATTACTACATATGGATAAAAACAATGATCAAATTAGAAAGAATCTATTTAGCCAAACTGCCATTCTAATTTTCTTTAATATAAACATGAAAAATTTTCACATTAATATAAGATTAGTATTAACAAGTAATGTTTTTTCCGTTTATTAAATATAAAAATATACATTCAAAGCTGCATCATAGAATTGTGTTATTTTGAAAGATGCTACAGATAACATTTTTTATAATAATTTCCTTTTTATTCTAAGCAATATTAGAAATTAATCGCTCTATTTTTTAAGAAACTGATACAAGACGTTAAATTTGATATACATTGTTTATTTTTATCTACGAAATTATTCCCGTGTACAAAATGAATATAAATAAATGTTAAGTGTTTTTATGTTTGTTACAGCTCTGTAATACAGTCTGCCATAATATCACATATCTACAATAATATAAGATACCAGTAATTATAAATTAATACTAAATGCATACATGCATTCTTTCATAATCATTCTTTATGGATCTTCCTCCGCATCTTCAAATTGACCTGCTTCTATATCCATTGCATCATCTGCTTCTGTGCCATTGTGATTAGTCCCTATTTGTTCTATTCATACAAAGTTAGAATAAATATTATTTCATATAAAAAGATTCTTTCAGAACTCATTTATCAAGTATTCTACTTTATATCATCATTAAATAAATTCAATACTACCTGATGGTAAAATGTAGGGAGCATCACCAGCACCAACTTCATAATTTTCAAAATCATCCTCTTCTGCGTCTTCATAAATATCTTCTTCAGCTGTAAAATATATGTACTTTATATAAAGTTCTAACAATGTGTGCAATGTCCATATGAAAGATTGTAAGAGTAATTTTACCATCTGAAAAAATATCCTGTGGATCAGGATGAAGTGCCTGACAATCGTTCATTGCTTGAAACATTGCATCTAAATTGTTTATGTTATCAGGAGCAAAACGCATTTCTGTCATAGGTGTATCCGCATCGTCATCTTCATTTTCTGAGCCACTGTCAGAGGGTGGTGGTAAGGGTACATCTATGCAAAAAATTATATAAAAGTTATAGATAATTAAATTAAAATAAATAACAATCTCAATTTCTAAAGAAATTATTTAAGATAAAACTAAAATATTAAATAACGTTTACTTTCTGCATTTAAGTAAATTCTATTTAACTTTTATGCTATATCAAAATAGACCTGACCCTCGATTTACGCCGAACATTTTTACGCGGTAAAATAGAACACTATTTACGTGGTAATTTTTATGCGAAATCTGAATTTAATAATACCAAAAAAAATGTACTTTTTTTTGCTGAAAAGTCATTCTAATTATTTCTTTTGTTTGGCTATGTAAAATAAATATATATTTCTAAAATTTATATCAGCTTTTCTTTCCAATGTTTTGTTTCCTCCTGTACCAACAGACTCTATTTATGCGATTTCCATTTGCATAAAACGCATCCACGTGAAACAGATTTTCGAGTACATCGAGGGTCAGATGTATGCATACAAAAATGTTAAGAAGGAAGTTAATATACCTGGAAGGTCTACTTTTGCATTAACCATAATATATAAACATTGTCTTGGATGTACTTGTTGATCTCTTGATATGGCATGTAAAGATATATGAGAATATTCAAGAGAAAATCCTTGTTGTGTATCATAGTTCACCCAAGAAAACAAGCTACCGATGCGAACATTATATTAAATTACATTAGTGCTACTTTGAAATGTACATTTATTTTAGTTCCATCTTTACCTTTCCGTAATATACAGAGTTCCTTTTCCCACTTCTCTGTCATTAATATATGCAGTAGTATTTGGCTCTTCGTGGCGTATTCCTTCTTGAGGTGCAAGAAAATTGCTAAGTACAACCATCTTTATCTATAACATTTAATAAATCAATTTATCACTTATATATATTTTTATTGAAAATTTTTATAAAACAAATAAAATTTCATTTATTTAAAATAATTTTCAACTCTGATAAAAGAGAAAATACTTGTAAGGTTATACAAAAATTCCACAAATAGAACACTGATTTTATTACAGAAATACACACATATTGCAAAAAAATTAATTGATAAAATATCTAACTTAATAACTAGACACACATTTCATTAACCCAATTGTATAGAAACATAAAAGTACTGCAAATAATGCTATATAAAAGTATAATTCCACAGTGTAAATGTGACCCTGTTACTTTAATTATTTTAGAATTTAAAATCTTTTATTACACTTATTTGATCAGTCTTATTGTTAATTCTTAATATAAACTTACCACTTGCTTTCACAATATAATAGCAAGCAAAATTAAACGAACTTTTCCCTAAAATGAAGTTTTAAAAAATGAATAACTCAGTTTTAAAACTTTAGATGCACAATACTAGTCTTATATTGTAGCACGCGTATATTAACAATAGTACACTAAAATCATTAACGCTTAGTAGTCACAAATATCAATGTATAAATTTTTCATTTTATAACATTTGTTAACACAAAATTTCACCGCACGTTACGATGTTGTGTTTCTATTTCACGTTATTGATATAGTAGAGTTCAATTCAACTTTACTATAGTACGTGACGTGCTTTGCGACAACACACTATAATCAATGAAGTATGTATATATAAGTACCTATGTATGCTCATAAGGCGGGAAATTCTTTTGTACGTTTTCAAATTTTTGCAATAAAAGCAGTTTCAAATTTTTCAGACGAATTTTCCATAACTATATCTATTTATCACAAAAAATTTCTCTTACTTGTCAACTTTATAGACATGTGCTGATCATTATTGTACATATTGCAAGTATATATGTTTCATGTATAGATTACATGTATTATTTGTTTTTAAAATGTATATCAAATATTAAATATATCTTGGTATAAAATAATAAAGATATATAATAAAAGTACATGAAATTAAAGTTATATTAATAAGAGTTTTGAAATAAACTTTTTATATATTGATTTATAAAAAACATAGGTACAATAACATAATTGATAAGTGAACACAGGAAAGCCATCTGAAAATGTTTTATTATGATTACATGTGGCAAGCGAGGCTTTTGTTTCCAATTCCTCAAATTTAAAATTTAACTCTGCAACATTTTTTACGTACATACATACATACTGTCAGTACAATAAAAAGTGCTGTTTTTAGTATTTTGCACTTCTTTCGCTACTAGAATTTATTGTTACAAGAAATATCACCTTGACATCTTTTTGAAGATCGGTCAGAGTCCTTGGACAAAAGATTTTCTAGCGAACCTATACTATTCAAATATAACATATTGAAGAATATCTGGCTTGAATGCTATAAAATGCTTTAAAAATTAGTGACAAGTGAATAACAAATCATTTACATTGGAAAACATTAGATTTATTTTTTCAACAATGAATCAATGTATATCATGGTCTTCATGAAAGAATTAACAAAACATTTTGCACATTAAAAACATCTTTTGCACAATAGTGAAACATTTGATAATCCTTCAAGTTGAAACCACTAAGTTACCCACTGTAAATGAACTATATTATATAATTTTTCTTCATGCCATACTTTATGATAGGTATCAACGATACTGTACAGCTCATGCCAGACTCTTCAATTTCATATATATATTCTTAGACTATTGATAAAGGTAAATAATATATGATAGAACAATATGGGTACAATGTACAGCTGAATTAAATAGTTTATACTACATAATAGAGTACCACTAAACGTTACTAATGTTAATTGTGCATTCATTTCTTTTAATTGTGTTCATGGGTAACTGAATTTTTATTGTTGATTTCAAGGGGCTAAGTTCCAAAAAAACATTGAGAGACATGTATCACACTAAATCTTGTGATATTTTTGATATGTTTTATGTTTCTAAATATCATAGAAGTTCTAAGCATGTAATGACAACCTGATTGACTGTAACAGTAGTAACAGTTATAGAAGTAGCACTAACGATGATACTATGAGTAATAATAACAGCAAGTAGTAGTGCAGCAGTAGTAGCGGAGGTAGTTATAATAGCATTAATAATGATAATCATAGTTATAATAGTATAGTAAGAGTTGTAGCATAGTAATGAGTTAAAGATCAATAGTAATAAGTAAAACAATATTACTAATGATGACTACAGTATAATTGCAATTATAATTTATTTGGTATACATCTAAACATAATTGTAATATAAAGTCAAATATAAACCTCAATCAAGATATATATAAAAATCTACTATAATAAGGTGTATATAAAAAAACAATAATACATTAAATATTATTTAAATAATTAATTTGTTTCAACATTATTCTTGTGATGCAATATAACAGATCTACAATTTTTAAAAAAGATTCTTATTATTATCTGTGCACAAGTAAAAACATTTTCTGTATTTATATTAATACATGAAGTTCTTTGTACGTGCAAGAGTATATAAATAAAAAAAATATAATATATAAAACAACGTTAAGAAAAGTATTCTTATGTACAACGAGAACGTGAGTATGGCACGAAAGAAGTTTACGAAATATAACGTCAAACACTGTCTTAACATAGAATAAATAGTTTAAAATGATGCAATTTATCTTTATTATTGAAGATAGTGTCCTTATAGTTTGTCTTCTTAAGACCATTTTTTAGTATGTATGTTTTTTTTGGAACCTTTCCCTTTGTATTAATCTACACCGTCCATTTGTATACTTCACTTATATCATAAATACAAAACTTCCAAGAAGAATATTCTCAGATTTACTATATGCAAACTTAAGTTTGCAATGTGTTTGTGATTTCTCGATGTACAGTTACCAAATCTTGTATATATCCAGCTAATCTTGCATTTAACGTATCCAAGTTTTGCTTCTGAACTTTATTTGCACTTAATGCAAGCTCTAATTGTTCATGGACAACCCTCAACATTTCACGAAGTTCCGCATTTTCTTTCTGTAATGACTGGAAGAGATACAGTATTAATAAGTACTAACTAAAGAACATAAATGAAGAAAACAATTCATACAGTCTTTACTTCATTAAACATTGCTATATATCAAATTCAAGTTTTAAATATATACATACTAAAAAATCTTTATTTTTCGTAGCCATAGTAAGAGCTTTGATTTCATCGTTTCGTGTTCTAAGTTCACTTTCTAATGCTTCAACTCTCAACCTTAGTGCTTCACTATTGCCTTCTGCAATTTTTCCAGCTTCTAAGTCCGCATATTTAGCTTTAACTCTAGCATTTTCTTCTTTATACAACTGTAATTGTCTTTTCCATTCATCAACATTTGCTGTAGATTCTTGTAATGCACTTGTTAATCTTGCATTGCTTGTTTTCAAAGTAGTTAATTCAACCTGTAAGCAAATTTAAGTTTCAACAGTTAATAGGTTCCACAGAAAATTTATAACACTGTTTACATGTATATAAAATATATCTGACCTCCCACTTCTTAGCATTTGCAGAACTTTGAGCTAATGCAAATTTCAGCCTATCATTCTCATATTTAAGTTGCATTTCAGTTGATTGTCCACTTTGTGCAGCATTAATCTGTGCTTGTTTGCCTTGATGCTGTGGACTCTCTGTACTCTGCTGAGAAACACTTTGTGATCTTGAATGGACTGCGTTTTTCAATTCGTCATCCATTTTATTCTGACAATTACCAGGTAAAGGACTGCTGCTTACCAAAGACACATTGTTTTGAGTAGAAATATTAGCATTTGGGTTTGGGTTATTCGAAGCGGATACATTGGAATTAATCATTGATGAATTTGGTGGATCTATAAGATCTTGTTCTGATGATGGCATACCCGATCGTGACGTAATCGGGCTAACATTTGCACTAGTAGCAGGAGTAACAGAGGAGCTGTTTGATTGTAACTTAGCATTAGCTAATTTAGTGGCTTCCTTCACTTCATGAAACTTCTCTATAAACTGCCAAATGAATGATATTGTCTCTGAGATTGTGGTGTACACATGGCTGTACGTTAACTAAAGACATATTTCACAAACCTTTCCTAATTCTTCTTCAGATGAAAAGCCAAGACCATATACGGTATTAGCTCTAACATCTGACCATTGGCCAAATTTTTGCGATGTTTTCGTGAAGGTCATATTTGGAGTAATAGTACTATTTATTACTGCCTAAAAGTTAAACAAATAAATATAAATAAATTTTAATATTAGACAAATTTATTTCTTAAAAAAGTGAAAAGTGACATTCAATCACCTTTGTTCCTTCAACAGAAATTATTCTATACAGACTTCTGGTCGAGTCATAAAAAAATGAAACAGACACTGCTGCTGTAGATGCAGATACCCAAGACCGTTTTGTCTTGGGATCAATATGAAACACGTGCGCTTTGCACGTGAAAATAGGTTGTTTACTGTAATTTATTAAAAGTAATATAGGTATTTAAATATATCTCCTTAATTGGTACATGCAGTATCTACTTATGCCTCATACTAAAAACCAAAACTATAGGATTTTAATAACGAATATCTTAAAGTTTGTCTTTTCACATAGTTTTATTCTATATGTTCTACAGAAACATAACAAAATCAAATACATTAAAAAGTCTTAGATGTATATGCATGCCTTAAAATTAACGGGATCAAACTATAATGATATTTGCAGGAAATAAAAGGAAATAATATGAACAGGCATTTTTATTTTATATTGTTTGTGAAAAATAAATATAATTCTATTTGAAATTTGTTCTAAATTTACTATACGTGCAGTATATGTACAAATTATATACATTATTTAAAAGTAACAAGAAACTGCAACAGTTCATAAATCCTTTATTTAAAAGAAAAAACAACTGTGATAAGAATGCAACATATTTATTCTTCTACTAAAGTGTAAAATCTCTTATGCTGCCTGTCTGAAAAAAATGACATGTAATAATAATAATAATAATGTGACAATGAACAATGCCTTGAAGAGAGTAATAATACAAAAAAAATTATTTTTGTATGTTTTAAAATTATACGTAATGACGTCAATAGAAAATGAAACTTTAAAGGAAAAAACATAATGTCATAGGTAATTTAATAATTTACGGAACAAATTCTTTATTATACAAATCTAAAAATATATCGAATAATGCACGAGTAAACACCTAGAATAAACACATCTCCCGCGGTACTAACTTATCCCGCTTTCGCTGTTCTAATGTGTAGTTATATATAGATAAAAGAAAAGAAAAACATTCTGGTCCAGACTCTCTTCCCTTGTACGCACCCACCTAAACGCGTATCTCCGATGATGTCGGAGATAAGATCATAAATAGACAGGAAAAGATAGTAGAGCTCATTAGTGAACGCAATGGAATTGACCTATTTCATAGTAATCAACAACATTCGATAATAGAAAAATTAAGGATAATTTATAGTACTCATATGTGACGTGGAAAGTGTGCCTCGTGTGTACATGTACTACACACCCTTAAAAGACGGTGCGGAGTATTACCACGTTCACTTACCCCATTGTTTCTTTGCCGGATGCCATACAAGTATTTGTTAATTTCACAGTCTCATAGAAAATTCAATTAAACGTGTATATGTAGTAACTTTTTACTAATAAAAATTCTCGAAATTATTTGAAAATTTATAAAAATCCGTCCCACAAGAGATCAAGGTACACCAGTTGACAGCCGCCATCGGCCAAAACTTTATAGCGAACAGCAACGATCACGCAACAACATGAATCTAGTCGAGTTTCCACCATATACCTGGATTTAATCGATTTTCCACGAAAGGTTGATGTCTACAGTATGGTCACGGAGAGAATTCGCGTGGCGCTAGTGAGGTGAGCATACAGCGCATAAATGTGTGCAACGTTATTTCAAAGGTAGAGTTTTACCCTCTATAAAAGTAAATGAAACCACTTCCACTTTCCCGCTACAGATTAACTTCTAAAGCGCCACCTGACGGTTCGCAAATAAGAAAATTAAAATGAAAAATATGAACAATTTTCAATTATTTATAGAATTTTTACTACTTTTATCATATTTCTAGTATATTAGAATGTATCTTTCGAATAAAAGAAACACAAAATTCTGTGAAATATTATTATTACTTCGAACATATCGCGTAAATCAAATTAGATTTCGTAAATCACAAGTAGAACAATTCTATAATGAGAAATTGCACTTAATATTGTCCAAATTCAGACATCGGAAACAGTAAATTTTTCATTTTTAACAATGTTACTATTCCCTATTTGGATAACTGTTCAAGTTGGAGTTTTGATATCTATATGAAATATGTGAACACAGGTATAGTGACTTTGTGGTAATACTTTCTATGTTCGCCACTAGAGGGATTTACATTTTTCGTACATTTCATTCATTGTTGATCAGTATATATATAATTTATAATAATTACTCAATACTTTCGTGTTTTTGAAAGAGTCTATTAGGCAACTTTATTAACGAGTTTAACTAGTCTTCCGAGAATTAAACATTTTTTTCCTTCTTTCTCCTCTATCTTTTTAGTGAAAATATCTTAGCAAATTATTCTAGTCTTTAGATGGTGTACAGCAAGGATGTTGCAATCGGTGCCCGCGGGCACTCTAGTAACACTCCCCAATTTCTATAGTACGTTGAAATAAATCATTTATTAAATGTACGATGACATTTTAGCGCACCCTACACACGGTCAGCAATAAAATGATATTGAAACTATAATATACAAAATATCGAGAAGATAAGATATGGATTTGTAACAAATGAATGAAAGAAGGGGATCTTAATTTTTTTTTTATAGATAATACTATGCACACCGCTAGATAGTTTACGAGTGATCTTTTTATAGACGGGAAAACTCTACCTTCAAATGATGTCACATAATACCGTTATGCGCTATGTGCTCATCTCACTAGCCTATGCAAACCCTTTCGCACTGACGCTGTACTGCTAACTTTACAAAAGTTTCCGACTAAATTACTAGATACAGTTACCATCATAAGCCGCACACTTATGTACCGGAGGCAGTGTTTGCATCGTTTTTAGAATGTTGGTAATATTATCAAAGCGATGCTTGAATATGCGACCATTTTTCGTTACGTATCGAATGATCCCCGTTGTTTTTAAAATCTTCACCAATAGCGAGCAATGAGTAAAAGACTAACACAACAAAGTAGTACCATAATCTTTCATCCTTGTCCGGTATCCCATTTTATCCGAATACAATGAAAGTGCGCAACGTTTAGTGGGTGGGGGCATTGTGCGAGAAAGAGAGAAAGAAGGAGGGGGAGAAATTGTCCGTCTTGTGAGCCGTCATAGCTGAATCATCGTGAGAGGTTCTTGTAGGAGTGTGATAATAAATGACATTGTGATTGAATTAGTAAGCGTTGGAGTCACAGTGTGTGGAACTACTTTTAAGATAAAGCTCTGATCTCGATGCGGAGATCCGACGAGGAAACGTGATAAACAGTGGCATTCGCGTGTGCGTGACTCCCCCGTGAAACGATGAACGGGTTAAGTTTTAGTGAATTGTGTTGCTTGTTTTGCTGTCCACCTTGCCCGTCCAGAATTGCTGCGAAACTAGCATTTCTACCGCCTGAGCCTACCTATACGTTCATCGAGGATGAAGGCTCCAAGTTTGCAATTTCTCTGTCCGAGAGGGCAGAGTGGCAATTCACAGAAGTGGCGAAAGAGTCAGTAGAAGGTTTCTATGCAAGAACGTCACGAGGCAACCGAATAGCTTGTGTGTTTGTACGGTGCTCACAGACCGCACGTTTTACCATTTTATTTTCCCATGGCAATGCGGCCGATCTTGGACAGATGTCTAGTTTTTATTTGGGACTCGGCGTCAGAATAAATTGTAACATATTCAGCTATGATTATTCAGGTTACGGTATTTCTGGTGGTAAACCATCGGAAAAGAACCTTTACGCTGATATAGACGCTGCGTGGCATGCTCTTAGAACACGGTACGGTATCAGTCCGGAAAACATTATTCTGTATGGTCAAAGTATTGGGACTGTACCCACGGTCGATCTAGCCTCGCGATACGAGGTTGGTGCAGTTGTTCTGCATGCACCTTTGATGTCGGGAATGCGTGTTGCTTTTCCGAAAACCAGAAGAACGTGGTTCTTTGATGTCTTCCCCAGGTAGGTAAAAATTTCTCTCTAATACGCGAACCTCTTGTTTACCCTGTTAACGAGACGCAAACCATAATCCGTTTATCTTCGGCTGTCAATCGCATAGTCAAGGTTTACGCGCATGACACTATCGCCAAGTTTATGTACTCGATACTAAATATTTTGGACCGTTTAGAGCACTTTTTTTAATATATTCCTTTTCAAGGCAGTTTTGTTTGAACATACAGATAACATCGCAAAAAAATGTATCTCGCAGTATAGCTTTTATTTTGTCAGCGGAATTCCAGTTGTTATCAGAACACTCATTTGCCTTTCTCCTTTACCTTTGTATCGTCTTCCTTGTTTTTCTTATATATTCGTTTCGGTAGCGCGATGTCTCTATTTCAAATACGCTGACCTATGAAGAAGTGAAGTAGTTAGCTAATGCAGAACGAAAAGACGATATATAAAGCATCAAAAGGGTTAGATGTTTCATTAACCTTTGCTCTTCACATTTATAAATCGATAAAAATATTTTGTGTCACGTAGTAGAGGTAATAAAAGATGTTCTAAAATAAAACGGCAAGCCGAGTATGTATAGGTAAATCGAATTATTTTAGAATCTGATTTTTTGGTTTCTGGTTATATAGATAATCAGGTAAAATCTGAAAGTTCGATTTCCGGAACTCGTTATTTAAATTCCAGTCAGTTGGGTGCACGATCGTACATACATTCACTCATACACGTGACTTACGTTAGACGTTACTTTTCTACATATGTAATGTTAAAGTTA